CATAAAACAGATTTCTGAATTGAAATTAATACATTTTTGGATAAGTTATGAAATTTTTACATTTTGATTTGTAGTAAAATTTTTCTATAAAAATATATATAATATCGATTAAAAAATGGTATTGCACCTTCAGTCAGAAGCTTAAAACTATATGAAGATATCATTTCCGACTCTATAAACCATAAATCTGCTAAAAATGAACATTAAAACTATGTGAAGATGTCATTTCCGACTCTATAAACCATAGGAAGTTTTATAAATCTGCTAAAAATGAACATTAAACCGCTTTCTGAATTGAAATTAATGCATTTTTGTATTAGTTATGAAATTTTTACAGTTTTATTAAGCTGCTAAAAATGAACATAAAACAGATTTCTGAATTGAAATTAATGCATTTTTGGATAAGTTATGAAATTTTTACATTTTGATTTGTATTAAAATTCTCCTATAAAAATATATAATATCGATTATAAAATGGTAAGCTTAAAACTATGTGAAGGAGTCATTTTCGACCCTTTGAATCATATATATTCTTGAGCAGCATCAACAGGCGAATCTTTCTGGCTATCTTCGGGCAAAGAAATTTGTTTTCAGAAATTTAAAATTTTTTTAAAAATGGAAAGGGGTTACATCATTAAAATGTATAAAAATCGGCCAAATTGCACATATTAAATTGAATATGCAGTTTTATTAAGCTGCTAAAAATGAACATAAAACAGCTTTCTGAATTGAAATTAATGCATTTTTGGATAAGTTATGAAATTTTTACATTTTGATTTGTAGTAAAATTGTTCTATAAAAATATATATAATATCGATTAAAAAATGGTATTGCACCTTCAGTCAGAAGCTTAAAACTATATGAAGATATCATTTCCGACTCTATAAACCATAAATCTGCTAAAAATGAACATTAAAACTATGTGAAGATGTCATTTCCGACTCTATAAACCATAGGAAGTTTTATAAATCTGCTAAAAATGAACATTAAACCGCTTTCTGAATTGAAATTAATGCATTTTTGTATTAGCTATGAAATTTTTACAGTTTTATTAAGCTGCTAAAAATGAACATAAAACAGATTTCTGAATTGAAATTAATGCATTTTTGGATAAGTTATGAAATTTTTACATTTTGATTTGTATTAAAATTCTCCTATAAAAATATATAATATCGATTATAAAATGGTATTGCACCTTCAGTCGTAAGCTTAAAACTATGTGAAGGAGTCATTTTCGACCCTTTGAATCATATATATTCTTGAGCAGCATCAACAGGCGAATCTTTCTGGCTATCTTCGGGCAAAGAAATTTGTTTTCAGAAATTTAAAATTTTTTTAAAAATGGAAAGGGGTTACATCATTAAAATGTATAAAAATCGGCCAAAATTCACATATTAAATTGAATATGCAGTTTTATTAAGCTGCTAAAAATGAACATAAAACAGCTTTCTGAATTGAAATTAATGCATTTTTGGATAAGTTATGAAATTTTTACATTTTGATTTGTAGTAAAATTTTTCTATAAAAATATATATAATATCGATTAAAAAATGGTATTGCACCTTCAGTCAGAAGCTTAAAACTATATGAAGATATCATTTCCGACTCTATAAACCATAAATCTGCTAAAAATGAACATTAAAACTATGTGAAGATGTCATTTCCGACTCTATAAACCATAGGAAGTTTTATAAATCTGCTAAAAATGAACATTAAACCGCTTTCTGAATTGAAATTAATGCATTTTTGTATTAGTTATGAAATTTTTACAGTTTTATTAAGCTGCTAAAAATGAACATAAAACAGATTTCTGAATTGAAATTAATGCATTTTTGGATAAGTTATGAAATTTTTACATTTTGATTTGTATTAAAATTCTCCTATAAAAATATATAATATCGATTATAAAATGGTATTGCACCTTCAGTCGTAAGCTTAAAACTATGTGAAGGAGTCATTTTCGACCCTTTGAATCATATATATTCTTGAGCAGCATCAACAGGCGAATCTTTCTGGCTATCTTCGGGCAAAGAAATTTGTTTTCAGAAATTTAAAATTTTTTTAAAAATGGAAAGGGGTTACATCATTAAAATGTATAAAAATCGGCCAAAATTCACATATTAAATTGAATATGCAGTTTTATTAAGCTGCTAAAAATGAACATAAAACAGCTTTCTGAATTGAAATTAATGCATTTTTGGATAAGTTATGAAATTTTTACATTTTGATTTGTAGTAAAATTTTTCTATAAAAATATATATAATATCGATTAAAAAATGGTATTGCACCTTCAGTCAGAAGCTTAAAACTATATGAAGATATCATTTCCGACTCTATAAACCATAAATCTGCTAAAAATGAACATTAAAACTATGTGAAGATGTCATTTCCGACTCTATAAACCATAGGAAGTTTTATAAATCTGCTAAAAATGAACATTAAACCGCTTTCTGAATTGAAATTAATGCATTTTTGTATTAGTTATGAAATTTTTACAGTTTTATTAAGCTGCTAAAAATGAACATAAAACAGATTTCTGAATTGAAATTAATACATTTTTGGATAAGTTATGAAATTTTTACATTTTGATTTGTAGTAAAATTTTTCTATAAAAATATATATAATATCGATTAAAAAATGGTATTGCACCTTCAGTCAGAAGCTTAAAACTATATGAAGATATCATTTCCGACTCTATAAACCATAAATCTGCTAAAAATGAACATTAAAACTATGTGAAGATGTCATTTCCGACTCTATAAACCATAGGAAGTTTTATAAATCTGCTAAAAATTAACATTAAACCTCTTTCTGAATTGAAATTAATGCATTTTTGTATTAGTTATGAAATTTTTACAGTTTTATTAAGCTGCTAAAAATGAACATAAAACAGATTTCTGAATTGAAATTAATGCATTTTTGGATAAGTTATGAAATTTTTACATTTTGATTTGTATTAAAATTCTCCTATAAAAATATATAATATCGATTATAAAATGGTATTGCACCTTCAGTCGTAAGCTTAAAACTATGTGAAGGAGTCATTTTCGACCCTTTGAATCATATATATTCTTGAGCAGCATCAACAGGCGAATCTTTCTGGCTATCTTCGGGCAAAGAAATTTGTTTTCAGAAATTTAAAATTTTTTTAAAAATGGAAAGGGGTTACATCATTAAAATGTATAAAAATCGGCCAAAATTCACATATTAAATTGAATATGCAGTTTTATTAAGCTGCTAAAAATGAACATAAAACAGCTTTCTGAATTGAAATTAATGCATTTTTGGATAAGTTATGAAATTTTTACATTTTGATTTGTAGTAAAATTTTTCTATAAAAATATATATAATATCAATTAAAAAATGGTATTGCACTTTCAGTCGGAAGCTTAAAACTATGTGAAGATGTCATTTCCGACTCTATAAACCATAGGAAGTTTTATAAATCTGCTAAAAATGAACATTAAAACTATGTGAAGATGTCAGTTCCGACTCTATAAACCATAGGAAGTTTTATAAAGCTGCTAAAAATGAACATTAAACCGCTTTCTGAATTGAAATTAATGCATTTTTGTATTAGTTATGAAATTTTTACAGTTTGATTTGTGGTCAAATTATCATATAAAAATATTACCAATTTCGACTAAAAAATGGTATTGCACCTTCAGTCGGAAACTCAAAACTAAGTGAAGGAGTCATTTCCGACCCTATAAATCATATATATTCTTGATCAGCATTAACTGGCAAATTACATTTTACATTTTGATTTGTAGTAAAATTTTCATATAAAATATAATAATATAATGTCGATTAAAAAATGGTTGCACCTTCAGTCGGAAGCTTAAAACTATGTGAAGGAGTCATTTCCGTAATTTTTGGCTTAGTTATGAAATTTTTACATTTTGATTTGTAGTAAAATTTTCCTATAAAAATATAAATAATATCGATTAAAAAATGATATTGCACATTCAGCCAGAAGCGTAAATCTAAGTGAAGGAGTCATTTCCGACCCTATAAATCATATATATTCTTGATCAGTATGAACAGGCAAATCTTTCTGGCGACCTCCAGGCAAACATTTTTATGGAAATTTCCCATTTTTTGAAAAAATGGAAAGGGAGTTACATCACTAAAATTTATAAAAATCGACAAAAAATTCTATATTTTTATAAAAATTTGTTCTACAAATCAATTCTTCAAAAACTCATAACTGAGCCAAAAAAGGATTGATCTTAATTTGGAAAGCTGTCCAATGTTGGTTTTTATTAGGGAATTAAATCTGGAACTCAAATTAAAATTTAAAAAAATCCAAATTTTTGTCAATTTTTGACAATTTGAAGGATGGAACCCCTTACAAATTTTTGAAATATTAAATTATTTTTGGACATGGCTGAAAAGATTCGCCTGCTGATGCTGATCAAGAATATATATGATTTATGGGTCGTAAATGACTCCGTAACAGACATAAAAGCTTCTGACTAAAATTATAATACCATTATAATGACTTTTTTTCTACAAATCATTGCTTAAAAACGTATAACTGAGCCAAAAAATCATTAATCTTAATTCGGAAAAGCTGTTCTATTTTAGTTTTTCTGCATATTTAAATTAAAATTAAAAAAAAAATCAACATTTTTGCCAATTTTTGACAATTTTAAAGATGTAAGCCTTATAAATTTAGAGCATTTTTAAGAAATGAAATTTTATCGGACATGGCTAAAAAGATTCGTCTGTTGATGCTAATCAAGATTATATATTATTTATAGAGTCGCAAATGACTCTTTACGGACCTACAAGTTTCTGGCTAAAATTTAACACCATTATTTGGGTCGATATTTATCTGTATTTTTATAATAACATCCACATTAAAATTATCAAAACGGCATTTTTGCAAATTTTTGACAATTTTAACGATATACCCCCTTTCTTGAAGGCTCTGAAAAGCCAAATTAAATCCTTGTTTTTGCCTACAACAACATCTATTTAAAACAACAATTATATAATAGCTGTTATCTGTTATTTAAATTACAGAGTTAATTATCTTTGCTTTTGATTAGCTCTGCTTCTGGAGCTTATAGGTGGGCAAAAACGGAATGTGATAGGTCCAACGCCAGCTGCGAAGGGCATTCATACCACACGGGAAATCATAGTCGGTGGCCGTGCCGTCGTTAATATTGTCATCACCAAGGGGCATCTCGTTGGCCCATTCAATCAGACCCCTTTCCGACGCAGTTCCAGGTATCAGATTGTCCAGCAGGCATCCCAGAACTCCTCCCACCAGAATCGTTGTACCAAGCAAAACCGATAACGTTGAATCCACAGTCGTATTGCCGGTGTCGATTGATCCGGGATGCAATTGCATCCAGCGGCACAAAACCATGGGGAAGAATATGGAAAGCCCCAATATATAGAGATTTCTTGCTGAGCGCAAGTCAACATACTGCAGCGTAGACAAGCCGAACGCAATGATCATGCCAAACATCACGCAAAAAATCCCCCCCACAACGGAGTCAGGAATGAGTATGAAGATGGCTCCGAACTTTCCAATTACACCTTGGAGCACCATGATAAAGGCAGCCCACTGAATTACGCGACGCGATCCAATCTAAAAAGATTGATTAATGATAAAGGCACTAGTTCTACTTTTAACTTAAACTCACCTTGGTAACTCCAATTGCACCGACGTTCTCGCCGAAGGTATTGGTTCCATTCCCGGCGCCCCAGAGTCCGGCCAACACTGTTCCCAAACCCTCGGTGCCAATGCCCCGATTAATAGCATGCAGCGGCGGTGAGTGAGCACCGGACATCTGGGAGACGGTGGGATAATAGCTCAGCGACTCCACCGTGCACGCAAGTACACCCGCCAGCATTCCCAGCACGCCGGACAGCGTCACTGAAGGCAAACCGAACTGACCCGGATAGGGCACGTAGAACCACTTAGCACTGGTCAGCACATTCAGTCGCACATCGGTACGGGATGGATGACCCGGAGGAAAGACGTCCGTAGCGGTCAGGATGCCGCAGAGTCCCCACATGATCATTATTGTCAGTAAGACGGGAAAAAGACGGAACAACTGGAACTGGCGCACTTCCATTCCGTGACCCTTTCGATACGCCGGCACCGGTATGGGGACATTGGACATTATTTGCGAAAAGAGCGTCAGCATCCCAGTGGTTCTGCGTAGAAACAAAAATAGGTAATGCATTCAGTTTTCTGGCTTTTGAGTGCTCTTGCCACGAAATCTATAACTTTAACGTATGCTCCGTTGCCTTAAAAATGGGGGGGGTAATCGTAGAGTATTAATTTTAAATACCAGGGGATACAGAACAGGTTCGCAAGTAACCAACGAACCCTGCAAAACAGCTGGTAACGAAACTTTTGCACGGTGAATTTTAAAACGCGAGAGTTTATAATAATTGAAAATAGGATTTCCCGAGTTGACTTTTAAGTTTAAAACGTTTATCCCTTACTGAATTTGGTGTTGACTGTTCCGTTTTAATTTATAAATATGGAGGTTACGCTAAAAGACTGGTGTATTTATACTTACCCCACCGCAATCCCCCAGTGCTTCGAGGCCGTCTCTGCTGCGTGCTCAAAGAGTGTAAGGCCCACCAAAGACACAGTGGGTACAATGGTTAATGGAGTGACGTACTTTAGGATCTTGCCCACCAGCCCCGTGTAGCCAAGGATGACCTGCACCACTGCGGACACTGCGATGGCACCGGATAGCTCGCGCATACGAACTTGCCACAGTTCCTCCCTATCGGCCTGATTCATGTCATCCATTTCGGCCTGCGACGGACACTTCCACTGCGGTAGGGACAAAATGGCAAGAGTCGGGACCAAAAAAGAAATAGTTCCACCCTGGACAATCGGTAAACGGACGCCCCAAGTGGCCTGGAAGTAGGTCACGATGCCGGTGACAAAGATCATGGTTGAAATGATAATGCCGCGATTCGCATCCTCATCGGACATGCACAACGCTGGTGTTAGTATGAAGGGTATTGAGACAATGGCTCCGATCATAGTCAGGTAATGCTGAAATGCCAAAAAGATGCTCAGGTACCACGGTGGATTGTCATTGATGGCGTATAGCAATTGCGGGTTTGGTTTCTCAGCGCCCAAAGGTGTAGTAGCAGTTTGGCCGTGGGACTTGGGTGCTTCACCCTGGAAATTAAATTCAATATGACTTAGAAACAACTGTTGAACACACAAAAAAAAAGGTACAAGTGCTTGACAAGAAGAGTATTATAATTATTTATTTAGAAGTCTAAAACGCAGTGGTAAGCATTCCATTTATATTAGCATTACAATTACAAATTATACAAACTTCGGAGTGCCGAAGGAAGAAATAAATATACATTTTTCAAATACACGGCCATATAAAACCAGCTCTACTGCAAACATTTCTGAAAAGTGAGTTTATAATTAATTAATGCAAATTTCTATTTGCTTATGTTAATGAGGAATAGTATTTGTTGGCAAGCATTAAGATATTCCGACTTTATATTGTGTAATTGCCGAGTGCGGGAAATTTTAATGTTTTATTTATGAGAATCGCCTTTTAATTTGCGCATTATTTTCCATAACTACATGGCTTAAAGCGACCAAAAGAGGGGAAGAGGGGACTCATCGACTTAAAACTGAAGTCGTCAAAAGTGATTAATTGAGCGAGAGTATGAGTGCACGAATCGCTGAAAGCGCCGGTACCTGGCTCTCAGCTTGTTAGTGTCAGCTATGTTAATTAGACCATAAATTAAAATAAGATTGGCTGGGAGAGTTAATCAATCAGGTAATAAATCAGGGCTGTGGTCGATTTCCGAATGGTTGAATGAAAGGTTGTGCCGCATAACTAACATATTATGACAAATTGACATTCTATATTGTGCAGTCTGGGAGAGTGGTTTAAAACATATTTCTGAATGAACTGTTAATTGCAGGGTGTTGTCTTCCCGGACTTGTTTCTTACCCTCCCGAAGAACTATGCAATGTCACTAGCAACTGAAAACAATTAAGCAAAATAGGCTATTGATCAGGGAAATGTCTCACAAAACGGAACTGATGAACATCTAAATAGGAACACATCGCTGCCAATCAGCATGGGCGGAAAGTCTCTTACATAACCCTCGCGCGAAAATTATAATGCTATGCAAGACCCAAACACTTACGCCGATTTCAACATTATTTAGCTCCATGATCCAGAAAGCGAGCTCGATAGAACCAATAAACTAATTCTAATCGCAAGCACGGAAGAATTCCGCTGTACGTCCGATCACGACAAGATTCCGCGACTCAATAGAAAGAACTTCTCTTGATCGAGAACACAGTTATATCGGATGGCTAGATCTTCGAGAGCAGGGCCTTTAATTGAAGAGCAGTAAAACAGCCTGTAAGAGGGTGTCACCGACTGCAGTTGGTGAGATTTTCACAATGAATGGGGAAGGTGAAGCACTCTCAGTACTATAACTACTCTCTTGTAATGAATAGATTTTCTATTTCAACAATATAATGTATTTAAAACAGACGATACCCGACGTTCAAAGAGAGCTGGTTGGCCAAAGCATTGGGAAAAAAAAGATTAAAATATTATATATACGGCTCCAAGCTACCCTATAAAAGCGACAATGTTGGTGGTATAAAGATATCGCCCCAAAATATTTTTCTGATGTGATAAACGAATATACAATCTTCCATTTTCGTTGGGCCATGTTAATATTTTATGATCAAATTTGAATCAAGGTTGGGAACTAAAATGCATACTTTTGGGGGGAAATAATACATCGCAGTTTATTTCAATTTTAATTGGACAATGCAACTTCACATTCAGCGCTGACAATATTTAACTAAATTGCTACGTACATACATAGTTTAATACACTTTAATTAAGTTTGGTGGTTTTGTTAGTCACTAATTCATAGTTGTGATATTTTCAATGACTTCCCTCTTCGATCTTCTATTCTATTCTATACACACACGTCTAGGGTTCTGGCTATTTTTGTAAAAATCAATACAATCTATTATTTGTTTACGTTATAAGCATTTATAAAAAGAGTTCGATACATTATCTCATACATTCACGTATGAAGATTATATGGATATTTTTTCGTTTCTTTTTATGGAAAGTTTCTGGCAATGCGTTAATTTTTTTTCTGGGAGTGTATATGTGGCGCCGGGTCCATTAAGTAAAGCACACCAAGTTTTGTTGCAGTCTCTCTCTTACAAAAAATGACACAAGTAAAGGCGTAAAATAAAACTCATAGCATATACATAAATAATAAAGGTGTCTGGGGCTGCGGAATCGAAACTTGGGGAATGCAGTATCGGCATCAGCTTCTCCTACTTCTTCCTTAGGCAGCTGTTGGATTCACGGGGTATCCTCTTCCTCCTCCTCTTTTTCTTGCCACACACTACTGCTCTCGTTCTCCGTATCACTCAAAATTTCCACGACCTCTTCGTCGCCAGTCAACAGCAGTCCTTCCTCCTTCTGGAACAAGTAAGGCGGTGTAGTGTCACCATCAGCTTCGGCTTCGGCATCGGCATTAGCATCGGCATCAGCATCGTCCGTCGTCTCGTTGAGTAGGTTCAGGTCTGGCACCATTACCTCATCCGTTCCCACATGGGCGTTGGATTGAGTGCCTGTCGCCGCTGCAGGCGGTACAGGAACGTCCATCGGTGGTAAGGTGGCTACAGGATTAAAAGGTGCATCCAAATCTTCGAGGCCGCGCGGCGGTTTCAACTTGGCCAGCTCCTCACGCAAGTGTCGATAGTGTCGGCGTAGTACCATCGAGTTAAAGGAGATGGTGCGACTGGCTCGGTCCGTGTACTGCGGCTTGCTCAGCTCTTCGATCCAGCTTTCGATCTGGGAGCAGATCTCTTCGCGCTTTAGCCAAAAGTGCTTATGGATAACCTGCAATTTTGGGAATTTTATAAGACTCTAGGTAATCCCGGGGTATTTTTGGGAATACTTACATCTCTGAAGCAGGGACTTGGATTGCGTATCTGCTCTAGCATAGCCCAGCGAACGCAGGCCTGATAGATGTTGCTGTTGTACTCCCGCGAAGAGTTGGTGCCACTCGGAGTGCCTCGGCTCCTCTCAAAGCCCGGCTCGTTGAAGTACGGCTCCGGTACCAATATCAGGGACTGGATGGAGACGAGGACCTGCAGAAAGCTGGACGTTTGCGCATTCCACTTCTCCTCGGGTCGGCCGTGCCAGGTGTTGAGCACCGAGAGACACACCTTTCCGTCGTTGTATAAATTGGGATTGAAACGCACCGAATGGCGGCCTGTCGTCTCCAGATTAATAAGCATGGGCAGGTTGGGATAGTCCGGCGGAAAGAAGACATCAAATTCAAAGCACCCATTGGCATACGGCGTGTCCGCTGGACCAGTGATGAGTACCTTCATAATGTCCAATCTGTCCGTATCACATCGCACAAATACCGAGCTACTGAAGCTAAGTGGCAGACTGGTGGACAAAGTCACCGCCTCCTGGGCGAGCCGCTTGACTCGCGACGGATGGTAGCGATCGCCGGCGAGCCGTACCATTTTCTCAAAGTGGTGTGCCACCACGAAGCGGAAGCTGTTGTTGTCCGACTCCACAATCATGTCGTATGTGTCAAACTGGCGTTTCTTCATCAGCTCTAGGTAGCGCTGCTCAATTGACTTGCTCAGTGGCTCCAGCTGCCCGCTACCATTGTCGTTGGTGTGCAGCATGTTGATCAGGGCGTCTGCATCCGTTGTCTTCTGCACGAGTACACTGGTCTCCTGGATATCCGGGATAAGCAGAGCGAGTCCCTCGTCATCGCCGTCATCAATGTTAAATGTCAACTGATGCGTCTGACCCTTTATGTTTGACTTTTTGTTGACTCTATGGGTATAACAGAGGAAGATTAGTATCTTTGGTTAAGCCAGTAAACGGAATAGACTTACTTAAGTCGTTTGGCGTATGTGTCCACGCAGGTCTTCATATTCGTGAGTAGCTCCGCGATTGGCGGTGCACTACCCCCACTGCCAGTGATCGATGGTTGGAGCAGCGAGACGAGCGTCTTGGACAGCGAGAGAGCGCGCAGAAGTTTGAGTATGGCACGATAGAGAGGAATGTGGCGTGTGATGTCGAGCACAGAATCGTTGCGCAGGTAGGAACTGAGAGCAGGGATAAGACAGGACTGTTGGAGCAGAGTCTGAAAGATGGGTGGTAGCTCGCCAGTCACATCTCGCACGTCGTGATAGGCCAGTATGTCCTCTCCACACATCTCACTGGGTATGCAGTCTCCAGGATTAATATAGCTGGCTAGGACGAGCAGCAGCACCGTCACGTGCTCCTCCTCGCTCTTTTGTCGCAGCAGCGCCTGCTCCACGTTCCAGGACTGGGTGGTGGACCCGGTGCCGAAGCCCGTGCCTTTGGCCCAGTACATGTGACTCTTGTCATCCGACGTGGCACTAGGCGGGGCTTCTTCCGCAGCATTTCCCTTAACGCCGCTGACACTTGCGTTTCCGCTTCCACATCCATTTCCACTTGCACTTCCGTTGTTGCCACTACTTGCCCCACTTGGTGACGGCTCATTTATCGGCGCCCCAATTCGGTTGTTGTGCGACTGGTGCGAAAAGATGCCTAGGCAATTGAGCACTAAGTGCATGGCTCCCACCTCGATGACCACGCGTCGGAGCAGTACCCCGTCGTCGGTAGACAGCGGCACGCTGTCCAGCAGCTGGCGGAAAACCTCGAAGGGCAGCGTGGGCAGTGAAGGCGCCAGTGACAGGCTATAGATGTCATCTGTTTCGGTGAAGTAAAATAGAAAATAAAAACTGAGATTCTAAGTGTGAGCGTGTGTATACTTACTGCCCTCTCCATCTCCCGTGACGCCTAAAACTAAACGGAGCAGGCACTGTGCCCGCAACTTGTCTCGCAAAAGAACATCCGAATAGGCGGGCAAGCGAAGAAAGAGTCCAAAGGCCGCCAGTGAATGCTGAGGCACAGAGCTGACCGTCGTCTGTTTAGTTGCCGGCTCGCAGATAGTGTCCTCCAGGTCCTCGTAGATCTCATCGTTCGGCTCCAGCTTCACCCAGTCGGACAGCGGCGGACTCTTCTCCTTCTCGCTGACCACTGAAGTGGTCTTGCGACCTGAGTGCTCCGGGTAAACGGTGGGCAGATAGTGGGCAAGCAACGAGAGACCGCCGCTGCTGGAGAACCGTTGCAGGGGCGACGGTAGCGGCTGCGCGCAGACAGCCTTAGTTTTTTTCGCATCTCCGACCTCATCGGCACGCTGCTGAGGCACCAAGTTGAGCGTAATACAGGGCGTGGAGAGCGAATGTCCAGCGTCCTGGAGAGTGGCAAGAACCTGTGACACGGTCGCATCGCCTGCTAACAGTATGTCGGGATATTCCGTAACGACCAGTTGGTTGCCGTTGGCAGCACTTGCCGTTTGCAATAAAAACTCCTCCACGTTGAATATATCTGCAAAGGAGCGATCGGTTAATGAATCTTTTAACGCAACCCCACGATTGTTCCTACTGGAAGCCAAATTTGTGGCGCAGGTTTGGGTCTCCTTGTCCTTGTTCACGGCCGCTTGGTTCTTCGCATCCTTGATGCGCTTGTCTTTGGCGGCCACTGCGGCGCCAACGGTAAGAAACTCCAGGCTCCCCGCCTCCACGTTGTTGAAGTTCATGAAGGTGTTCTTTTCTAGCTTGCCATCGTTGCACTTCACAGTCGCACTGGACGCGATACTGCCCAATGCGGAGGCAGAATTCGCATTTTCGCCAGCTCGCTGATCTGTTGGTTGTTGGTAAACTAAGTTACTAAACACTAGGGGACCAAAGCAAAAACAACGGAATTGAAGAAAGAAAATTAATGAAAGGAAGAAAAACAAAAACAAAAGCCATAGGTTGTGTGTGGCTTACCGCTAACGCAGTTTTGCATAATCTCCTGGCACGTGGTGTTAGTTGTCACAGTGAAGAGCATGTGATGAGCACTGCTGCGCTTTGCCGGATGGTTGTTGACAGCCGCTACAGGTAGACTAGTACTGGCCCCCACACTAGAGTAGCCCCCCATGATAGCCGATAGCGTGTCTCTCCGCTGCAGGGGTTGCTGACTCCTCACTGAGACGGTGATGTGCTCGTTCTCCAGAAGGAGTTGCAGAACCAACTGCCTGGTGAATCCGGAGATAGTGGGTCGAACCCCCAGGCTCGATTGCAATGGCTTGCAAATTATAGCTCCGATGAGTAGCGATGTAAGCACCTCCTGGTTGCCCGGATGACAGGCACTTACTCGCGTAAAGAATTGTATGGTGGCCCTCTCCAAACGGATGAAGGACTGCTGCATGGGCAGCGTCTTGCTAAACTGAGCGGCATGGGTGTTGCAAAGCAGCTGCAACAGAGGCTTCCAGAACACCGAGCCCTGCATAGTGCCCAGCCAATCGCGCATTGGTCCCTCCGCGCAACACTCGGCGAAGAAATCCAGCACCTTGGGTACATTCGCACTGCTTAGCAGCGGCGAGCTGTGGCCTACATGCGCTTCGGCCTTGGCAAAGTCCGTCAACGAAAAATGCCCATCATCTGATGAAACAGCCTGGTTTCTAGTGGTGCCGACGGCCTTCTCTTCTTCAGTAGCAGATGCAGAAGCCAATAAAAGGGCTGTCTCTGATCCAGGCAAGAGATGTGCACAATATTCGTAGATGGCGTGGGCCAACAGCTTAGGGAGTCCAGAGTCCAGCATCTGATACACCGCTGCCGGCGACTGGCATGCCAGGGCAAGGGTCTTCAGGAATGTAGGACGTTGCAGCAAAACTGTTAAATTCTCGCTGCCCTCGCGCTGGAACCACACACTGCCGCTCTGCACCTTACTGTCGTCGGTCTGGCCACGCGCCTGTGGCTCCAGCTTCACTCCCAGCTTAACCAATAGTTGGTTGAACAGCTCTGGCTTAATGAAACACAGCGCGCATAGCAGTGAGTCGAAGCTGCTTTTTAGCGGCTCATCGTGCTCCAGTGACGAGATCCAATCGAAGCACGTCTCGAAGAGGGCCGACGAGATTAGAAGGGGCAGCTCGGGGAGTTGCTGCTGCGTCTGCACTTTCCACAGAATTGAGGCAATTACTTTGACGAAGCCGCTCTGTGGATTGTTGCAGCGCGCCTGCTTGCTGTAGTTGTCGTGGAGCTGCATTACCCAGTCTATGAGCACGCGCAACTTGTCCACTAGGTGCTCTGTAGACCCTGTAACCACTTCGTGGATGAGATCACACACCGCATCGCTGGACAGCTTGAAAACTGAAAAGAGAACGGAATGGAAGAAATATTATAGGACGAAAAAATGGGCAATAATGACTTATCAAATCAGACTAGGGACCCACCTTGAGGCGTGGTGTGCCAGAGCAGCGTCCGCAGCAGCTGCAGGCTAAGTTCGTGATTGTACGCTCCAAGCTTCAACAAAATAGTTTCTAGGTGCTGCTGCGCCAGGCTGGGAATCATTGGCATTATGTTCAGCAGCGAGCAGCACGCCTCCAGGAAACCTGGGTAGGCGGCCGGATATGCGGCGATTAGGTCCGCCAACTTGCTGTCAGGCTGCAAGGCTGCCACGTGAAAGCAACGTGACAGAATTCGAACCCAGCCAATGCTCGTCTTGGCAAAAGCATCGTCCTCGGGCATGGCGTCTGCATCCATAACTGCCAAAGAAGCCGTTTGAAGCGGCGTAGAGCAGGACGTTAGGGAATCGATGAATGGGCCCTGCGATCGCAACCCTTGCATCCGATTCCCAAATATTGTCTGGCCAAGAACGGCGATCTGCACGAGACCGACATTGCCGCAATCCTTGGGTCTTTGAAAAAAAGATTAAAAAAATATAGAATTTACTGTATTTCGCAGGGGGTCTTTGACACTTACTTGTACAATCTTAGAACAATGCTGGTGGCCACTTCCGCCTTTGAAAGCTTTAGCCTGATGCAGGTCAGCCCAGTGGTAGCCATGGGAGCTCCTATTGGGACGGAGCCAATGCCATAATCCCGTGACAATTCCAATGCCACCGCCGACGGACATGACGCCAGACTGGAGGTGTGAGGCATCAACTGCACCTCTTTTAGTAGAATAGCTGTGGGCAGCGTTATGGTCAAGTCCACGTGCGTCTCATTCGGGTAGAACATGTAGCTCCAAGCCGGAGTGCGTGGTCTTCTATGCGTTGCATTGGGATTGGAAATGAGCACTTCGGCACTCTGGCCGGCATCGTTTTCGGACACGATGTGCGAGAAGGGAGCAAAGTTAATAAGGCCATCGTACTGAGCACCACTTCTCGGCGGCTGTGCAGTTCCGGTGGCTCCGGCAGCTCCAGTGCCCGTTCCGGTGGTCTTTTTGCAGGCACTGCTGACTCCCCCAGTGGTGTGAGTGTTCAGTTTGAGCCGCGTATTGCGGGTCATGTGCTGCATAATTAATGAGATCTGCAAAATTTACGTATTTTTTGTTAATTATTTAAATAAACACAACTAATTGATTTTAAGGCTCTCGCTTACCAATCCTGGCTGCATGTTGATGATCGTCTTGTTGAGTCTCACCATATTGTGACAGATGATCTGTATGCCGCCGAGCTGGGTGAATGTTTGAACAGCTGCCGTCACCTCTAGAACCTTGGAGATGTACCACAAGAAGGGCTCCGAAAGCGGCAGCCGTGGCAACGTGGCATTCCTCTGTATTGTGGCTGTGGGGAGGTGGAAAGGTCGCTGGAGTACAAGAAGCTGACACCTGAAGGTATGACTTACTCTCCTCCAAATATTGACAAATGGGCGCCACCACTAATCGCGGGTTGGAGGCTTTATCGCTAAGAGTTATCATCAAACTAAAAACGCCATCGGCGATTGTTTGCGGATCATCCAGTACCACGTTAGATTTAGGCAAAAAGAAGCAGCCGGAGGTCATCATTGTAAAAGTGTTAGTAGAGCACTGCGATAGCGTTCCAAAGAGGCGCTTCATCGTGGGGAAGTGACGTAGTACTGAATCAGACCGCAGAACTAGTTATGTACAATGAGACAAGTGTAGGGATTATCCTAATCTTACCCCAATCCGCTATGCAGGGCACTTTGGTGCGATGTCCTTCGGTATTCAGCTGTTCCGCCTTAGTCTCGTCTGTCTGACTTTGATTGGACAGCTCCTCCTCCTCGGAATAGTGACCTCCTGCGGAAATTGTACATACCAATATGATTTATTTATGAAATTCAATAGGCAGGTCATACAGTTGGCTGCCTGGGCATCTCCGTCAGCACCATATGCGTGGATAGCTTTAACAAATTGATGATCAGCGAGTTGTCGCATATTGTGGCATTTTGCTTCGATGGGTTCTCCGAACCCAAAACATTTGCAAACAGGTTACTAAAATTGTTTCCGGCATTGTTGTTCTCGTTTCCTCGCTGGCACTGCAGCTTGTCGCCGTTGGAGATGTTGTTGTACACCAGGAAAGCTTTCGAAATTTATCAAGGATAGATCAAATCGGATAAAAGAAGTGTCGTTTCCCTCTACTTACAAACACTTTCAGTGATTTTGAGCGCTATGTTAAGATCGCCCTTGTCATTTGGCATCATCAGCAAGTCGCGAACCAGCTGGTTTTGGGCATCGATAGGTCCCTGCTGATTGCTGATGGCACCACCTGGCTGCACCAGCTGCAGGACAACATGGAGTAAAATGTCTTTAAGCCGACGCTTGCAGGGTATTCCACTGGTTTCGCTTTTGCTGTGCAGCCAGAGCAACAGCTCGTGCAGGTGCTTGCAAATTGTGGGTCCCGCCTGCAAGGACTATGGTATGAAGTTGCTGTGTCAACAGAGAAGCACTCGCATAACTTACACATCGGTTGGTAATGATGGCGGAGCTCATTCCGTAGCCGGAGAAGAATCTGAGCAGCATCTTCTCGAAATTCTCATCGTTTACGATGACCTCATTGATGCGTGTACAGTCCACATCCTCACCAATTGGCAGAGAGTTGCAGGCGAGAAACAGGCACTGGAAGCCGAGACACCAGGTGCGTAGCTTGATGTCGTTGTGCCAGGCAAGGGCGAGCAGAAGTCCTTGCACAGCGTTCGCACCAAATGGAATCTTTGGTACGTCCGAGTGAGTAATGCCACTGCTGTACGGCTTATCCGCCAGCTCGCAGTTCAAGGTGAGCCACATATGTAGCAGCTGCTCCAGATGCACCCACGTGTCCTCGTAGTGCAGATCCGCCAGAATAGAGTCAAAGACCTTCTTAAACATCACGTAGGTGTTGCGACCATTGTATTCTGTGCCGGACCACAGCTGGGTCAGGTACTCCGGCCACGGAGCAGCCTCTGGCGGCGGAGAGACAAACTCATTGGTTAGAACTTGAGGCAGTGAAGAGTAGAGATCTAAAGAAGTGCGATTCGTGAGCCTTCTAAGCTGTGTCTCCACATGCAGCTCCAGGCCCGCATCTAGGCGGGAGTCCAAAGCAATGGAGATCGATTTACAGAAGAAGTTGAAAGTGTTTTTGCAAAGGGCGTTGCTCTCCTTCCTGGTCACCGGTTTTGTCCGTTCGATCATGTCGATGTCATTTAGCATCTCGTCAAACTCAGTGTCGTCGCACTCGATCAGCGACGGAAGGTAATTGTATTTAACGGCTGCAATTTGAAAGACTAGAGCAGTTAGAGAGGGTAACCACTGTGTGTTGTACACGGTGCCACAGAAATTGGGAGAAAAATCAAAGGGTGTCAAACTAAAAGCTTGGCTATAGGAAGAGCTGCTTGATGGCTTCCCATCAAACAACCTGTCCAAATACCATGTCAGGTGTATGAATAGGTAAGTGCTACGGTTAAAAAAAGACTCGTTTACCCTCTTGATAAAACTCTCTTGCTGTCGGCATTAGCATCTCAAATTGTGCCTCGGAGCACGAGGAAGCAGTTGCTAAAAGAAGGGAAACATGAGTGCATTTCTGCATCAAATTCATAATGCAACAAAGACCGACTACAGGATACCCTCGCAATTGTTAGTTTTTAATTATTTCATACTTGCAGACGTATTTGTCTGCTCAGGATAGCTGAACAGAATGGTGTAGGAGGTGGTGAGAAGATACTTACCCGTATAGTCACTAAATAGATCTCGGGTTTCCTGTACAGACGTCTCCATGGTGCGTGGCACATCGTTAGTGGGCGTGACATCGTTGTCTCTGAACTGTTTGTCGGCGTCTAAGAGATCCTGTGGCAAAAATTACAACTTCATAAAACCTAACATTCACGCACGCTAAATTTACGCACTCACCTGGAGCAAGCACGTAATGGCATGGACAGCCCAGGGCTGTTGCTGGTCGTTCCACACGGACAAACGAATAAGCTGCTCCAGCTGAGCGCTGGTCACAATCTTGCACAGCTGCACCGAAGGCCGGCAAGCGGCCACGAGCCTTGCAATGACTTTGCAGGTAAGCAGGAACTGATCCATGTTACAGTTAAAATCCATCTCCAGGAGAAGGGCAAAGAGGCCACGGATAACCACCTTAATGTTGGCCATTCGCAAAGTCTTCAATCCTTTGTCAAAGTTGCTGTCGCGATCGAGATCGCTGCCTGAATTGATGTCATGGTGTTTGGGCGAGGATGTGGATGCTGCCGGTGTTTTAGATGAGCTGCTTGTCGAGCTGCCGCTGGAAGCACATAGGCCAGAGGATCCAACGTTAATCTTGCCGCCCGTGGAGGTAGACTTGCTAGCACCACTGCCTTTCGACTTGGTAGACAACTCCATAAATATACCGGGATGCTGTTGGGATTCGCACAATAATTATTGCTTTCTTCCCTAATTTTTAACAAAACAGACTCACCTCATTCTGGATCATAAAGATCTTTTTGCCCCAATCCGTGTACGGCTGCACGGAGTATTTGTTCTGCTGAATAATTCGTTTTTTAAAACATCGCAACTGCTTGCTGTTGGGAGTGTTGGTGGGTCTCGCCTTGGTAAAGTCGCTCTCGCAGCTCATAAAGTCCCAGCGAGCGGCTGCTATAAGTAAAGCACCATTAGTAGTTGAAGTGGTAGTGGCCTTTACCTTACATTTATCCTTTCGCTCGTTGTCGTCCAGGCAGACTGACAAGAAGAGAAGCAGCCAGGTGATAAGCTGCATGTCAGACGAAGTGCCCATAGTTGCATTGCGATCGGCAGCGTTCGCCGATGTGCTCGGTTGCTCAGATTGGAATTTGTAGTGCGGCGAGATGGGGGCCAGCAACTTGACGAGCGTTTTGAGTACGGCATCGATCACAATGGAGCGACAGGCACCCATGGCGATGCTCCGACGTCCTAAATATGTCAGCAGAAAAAAAATGCTAAATACAAAAGAGAGCGAGAGATATTGGATGAGGGAATTTTTTAGTTGATAAAATTGCTCTTTGGCCGGAAAAAACCTACCGATCCTGCGGGAAGGCCTTGCAATTCTGCGTTGAGAATAGACTACAGAAGGTATCCGCGAGGAATTCGCCCCACCACGGCTGGAAGCAGCACATACGCACCAGCAGTGAGCAAGTGGCCAGTTGCAGCTGAGCGTCTCCGTACACCACGAGCGAGTTAAACAGCGCCTTGGCCGCTGCCACGTTGAATTTTTGGTGCACTGGCAGGATGTTCTTGATGCCGTACTCGATGGAGAAGTGTAGCAGTACCTCGACCAAGCTCAGACTAAGCACACGCAATTTGTCACGCGAGGCAGAGACCAGAACTTCCTCCGCCAGCGGCGCCTCAGGTGATGGCATGCGCAAGGCATTGGGCGCCAGAGCTCGTTCCAATCGGATCACCACATTACGGATCACGTTAATTTGGTACTGCAGCAGCATGCACTCGTCGTACAGGGACACAACTTTGTTATTGTTGTCTAGGCCGCTCAGCTCCTCGTCGCGCTGCTTGTTGATAAAGGCCTGCAGGTGAGCCACGTTCGAGAGCTCGCTGTTCCGCATCGGAGCCAGCAGATCCATCAGCTTGCAACTGGCCAGACTGTAACGGCAGTGCACATCCTCGTACAACGCATTCAAGGATTTCAGCTGCGACTGCAGACTGTGTGCTGGCTGCTTGATGAATCGCATCAGCTGGTCACCGTAGCCGTCGTGCTCCAACACCACGGGATGGCCAAAAAACCGACCTAAGGGCACCTTGCACTTGGTAGACGACATTCCCATACGTCCGATAATGGTCAACTTTAAGTAGCGACAAATTGGCGGAGGCTGAATGTCGCTAAGCACCAACGTCTTGGTCTGGATGTCGCCGACCTGCACCAGCCGCGTGCAGTCCGTCTCCTCATCAAAGCACCAAATGTCGATGGTCAAAGAAGTGAGTTCATCGCAGGCGGGGATCACCAGGTCCGTAAGCAGAATGTGCTGGCAAAAGTCCAGCACAACGAAGCGCCGCGCACCCGAGTGCATCCGATCGATGACGATCATCTGCTTGGGTGGAGGTGTAATCAACTTATGCCATGCAATCGGCTGACAAGGATTTGCGTTTAGGCTCTCCATGATCTTCTCAGCTTCCGCGGCGTCGTCCATGGCGCCGTCGCCTGTGATAGTTGCCTGATGCTGCGCAGGCTGATGGTCCAAGGGAGAGTCCAGACCTGCATTGGCCATCATTCCTGGCTTCAAATTACTGCCTAGTGCTGTGCCGTGTTCCCAGTTATCCAGCTTCCCAAATTCGTCGAACGAGATATGGTCGTTAATCTTCTTCTGGAACAGAGATAGCTTCGGCAAAAACTTGGCTATCTTCAACTTGTCCATGATAGCTGCCTTTTCTATCTTAACCTCCTCCTTTAAGGCTTGCTCCAGGTCGGCAAGCGAGGAGACTGCTAAATATGTATATTTGATAAAGATTAATAAATGATTCGGATAATGCTTCATACTGATGACTTACATGTCTTATCCTTAAAGCCGTATGCATCGAGGGCATCGTAGTGGACTTTGCTCTCGTTCTCCTTCATTTCCTCGACCAGGCACTCGACATCGTTGACCAGATCGTTGAGCTATACACAAATTATCCCGTTATATTCGATTTCTTCCCTAAAATAGTACCTTCATATCGCCTTACCAGCTCCTCATCTTTCTCCTTGGCCACCTTGAGCTTTGGCATCATCATGACATCCTCAATGACAACACTGGCTGCGGAATTACCGCCTACACTATCGATGTTGTCGATGCGAGTGGCCTCTGAGGTCTGCACACAATTAAAGTGCAGCTGTACCACCTCTAATAATCCTCGCAGCTGGTTGCTAATGCTTTTGCCTCGAATAAGGTACGGAAAAGTGCGAAAGTCCACGCCGTCTGCAAAAGCAAAGTTAAATAAGTATTTGATGGTGTTGGTCAGAATTCATTTTGGTCCGATAAAACCTATAGAGCTCAGTCGCTTGATATCCAGCCCAGTCACTGGCAAAATGGTGGCGCTGCTGCGAATCACATTGGTCAGCGCCACAGAGGAGCTTGACCCGTGTCTATTGATGTTGGGGAAGTCAAAGTCAAAGATCTCCGGCTCAAAGGGAAAGCCGTAGAGACCAAAGCGCGTGCTCAACAGGGCACAATAGGGATCCCAGCGCTTTTCTATCTCACCGGAGATCTTTTTTAACAGATGGATAGCCTGCTCGGATATACTGTTGTGGGACTCCGGGGTGGAAGTGGCGCAGGTAAGCATCATGTACCAGCGAACCACGCTGCCGCATTGCGCCCGTGGCAGTTCGTGGAAGGTATTGGATATGGCCGCCTTAAAGCTGTGATCCAGCGTCGTATGATGCTGCAGCTCTGCCGGCAGATTGGTAACTCCCCTGCAGACAGGATGAAGGTTTCAAAGATTTCTTAAGAGTTCCCTGGAAAAACAAATTTTTTGTATGGTCACTTACTCTGTGAGCATGATCAGCAGCTTCACACACTTGTGGGCCGTGCTCCGCTCGCTGTAGATGACGCAGTTGCGCAGGAGTTGTTCAATGTGCTTTTCGGAGAGGGAAATACACTCAAACTGCTGTGCTAGCAGGTCCTGGATATTTGCTGCTGTCTGCTTATTGATCTGTTCCTTGAGGCGCTCGGATTTGGGTGACCGGAACCGATTGAGCCGGACGAAACAAATCCAATTGAGCACATCGAGTGCCATGTTTTTGGCCAACGGACTCGAGCCCGGATCGCTGGCTATTCGCAGCAATTGCTCCAGCAGATGGTTGCTCTCCAGCATGGCTATACGCTGCATTCGGCTGTTGGCGATCCGACTGTGCGACTTCACCGCCCGAACACTAATGGAGATCTCGTGCAGCCAGTCGCAGCCTGCGAAGAGGACAGACAGAGTTACAGTAATAACTGGCTAGATTGAAATTCACCCTCATAGAAAACTGTGGCCACATGTGGGGCGGGGTAATACCTTCCCTACTTGGTGGCAGTTGCTCCGTTCCCTGTCCCCCAGACGGAGCAACTGAAACGGGCGGACCCAAAGGCTTGGGTTTCGCGACATGGGATATGAATACCGGAATATTGCTTTGCGGCTTGAGCTTGAGTGCTTGATTAATATTAAGGGCGCACGAATTACATGCGGCTTTTGTCACGGGATATACTTTGAGTACGGCTCTCTTGATAATTCGGACCGCATTGGCCAGAGTAATGCCGTTCTTGCTTCGGTCCACCATTGCTTCTACTTGATGCGAGCGTTTCTGCTGTGACGAAGAAGCTGCAAAATACGGTGGGTAAACTCAATCAACTTCATAATTCGCGAGTCATCTATGCAACTATTGCTACTACAGCGTTCCACAACTTTCAAGATATTTAAGAAGGACATCTGAATATAACTGTTCGCCCTCCTACGTATATTCTCGCAATACCTAAAAAACAATATTGCTACTTTTTGTACGCTTATTGCTAATTGCTTACAATAGAAAAGTGAATCTTAAGCACAGCATAAAAACCAAAAAACGTCCAGTGTCTCTACATAACTGGAACTTTCCTCAATTCTTTTTCCCCCTTTTTTCACACGCACGCAAACATACCCCTTGTCTTGTTCTGACCCTCCTTTGATGGATCGGATACCGTCTTGATGTGCAGTAAGAAGTTTCGCGTACGCGTCTTAAATAGTTTGGGTGAGGTCAAGGTGGCAGTGCCACCTTGATCGCATAAATCGATACACGACGACAGCTCGATGGGCCCAGCCAAGACCTCCGCGTTATGGGCCAGTAGATACTCCTCACTGAGCACGGGATTCTCATTGGCAACTGCAGATACGAATAAATTGTTGATTAACAAACGCCAAGGGTTTATTTAGAGAGGTACTTACTGTAGGAGAGATCAATGTTGTCGTCGATTACATTTGGCTTATAGTTGGAGTGAGGTCCCTTCATTCTATAGCCAAATCCATTGGTGTTCTGTTTGAGGAGCGTCACCTGAATGCCCGCGGGGTTGGAGCATTGCTGATAAACCGTGAACTTAAGATCGATGTGGCCCAATGACACGGGCTGGGCCAAGTTGAGTTCTATGATATGTTCGTCCCAGGTAGTTCTGAAAAAGAAAATTCTCGATAAATTAACCATCTCTAATACAACGGCATACCTACGCATCGTTATGTAGTCGCCAGGTGCGGGTGAAGTCACGTTCATCCCCGCCATGTCGCAAGTTCTGCGATTGCTTTCGGTGCTTATGTACCTGGCCGAGATCATTCCAGCAGCTGGGTACTTCTGCTGAGTAGACGGTCAGCTTGTCTTCAAACTGAGTAAGGGCATAGAAGACTTTCAAATCGTCGAGGGTCAGATCTGCGGTTTTGTAGGCGAGTAGGTTGGCACTAATGGCGGCAATGGAGGCCGCCGAAGGAGATGTTTGGATATGGGAGCTCTGTCCAGCGGTGGACGGCGCCGCCGTCTCTGTGCCCACATCCACGCAGATGGAATCACTTGCCAGAAGAGTTTTGCTTATCAGATCCGCGCCAGACACATGCCGGGTTCCATCCGTTACACTTAGATCGGCCGCCGCCTGGGTTAAGGTTGTGCTGCACTCGTCCTCCATTTCCAGCAGCTCGTCGCCAGAATCATTGTCACCCTCGCTTAGCGAAAAGAACACGAGTCCGCCCTGGCGGGAACAGCAGCAAAGCCTATCCAGGTTTCGGCAGTATACTACCGACTCAAAATGCTCGCCCTCCTCCTCAATCACCATGGTACCCTGGAAGTCGGCGAGTGAATATATCTCTACGCTACCATCGGCACACACAACGCAAATGGAGCCAGCGTCCTGTTGCTGCGCGGAGGAGTTGAAGTGCGGCAGGATGCACAGTTGCTTGGGGCACTTGGCCCGACTGAAAGTCATGGCCAATGTATAGTCATTCGATATCTGAGTGTCATCGTAATCGAAAACCAGGAGTTGAGCTGCAACATTTCCCTCGGCGTTATCTGCATAAAACATAAAACTTGAAATCTTGTAAATGTAGTCGAGGTTATTCCTCTTACCCATGTCCATTGCCTCATCCTTCCGCTGCTCCTCGTCGTCTTCCTCCTCTTCCTCCTTGGCGACTGTGGCCATGATGATCTTGCTGCCCTCTGTTTCTGGGGCCTTGGTACGCAGCAACTTCACCAGCAGCTGGTTGCACTTTGGCGTCGTGGGCAGAATCTCGGCAATCTCGATGATCTCCTGGATCGAATGGGCCACACTGTTTGCCTCACTGCTGGCACCATCCAGCGCATTCATGCGCTTTACACTCGTCCAGCTCTCCACCACGCAGTCTATTTCCTCGGTAGCCGTCATCTTGTCGCTGCTGCTGCTGCCGGTGGAGCTGCCGTTGATCGTGATGTTGTTATTGTTGTTGTGGTTGGACGAACTCCCGCCTAGTGAGTTTGCTTCATTGTTGTTGTTGTTGTTGTTATTGTTGTTGTTCTGGTGAGTTATCTCCGCATCGTCGACAAGCTTGTCGATCTCATTACCCATGCCAAGATTGCTGACATTAACTGTGTTCGATCCGACCATCAAGCCGACAAGGGGGTCCTCGAGATTCTGATCGAGGATCTGAGACAGTGTGCACAGATCGAAGTCGTATAGCACAGAAGCGTCGTCGGTGTTCTGTCCAACTCCATTGTTCTTGTTGTAGGTCATTAGGGCGGAAACGAATCCGTTGCTATCGAAGCCGTCGGCGAATTTCTCGTAAGGAGTCATGGCCTTATTATCATCATCCTTGGACTCAAGATTAACTTGGGTCACAACCGCGTTGCTGCTTTCGCTGGATGCTGGGAAAAGAGTTCAACAACTTATTAGTCCAATCTAAATTTGGTTAAATCAAACAATAAAAAAACTACTAAAATAGTCTTATTTAATAGACTCAAAACAAAATATGGAAAGATTAATTTTACTCACCAGTGACCATTGGAGACGAGGACTTCATCAACTGCCCACCAACGCTCGAGACGCTACCGCTGTCATTGCTAACCGTCGCAGAGGTCTCAGTGTGCCGATCGACCTCCACGATATTGAGCACCACCATGCGCAGAGCCACTTCACCGCTACTCTGGCGTACGCTGACCCCCAGTACGATCTTGGAGCCAACGACTCCGGCCCGCAGAGTTGAGGTTGAGGTGATATGTTGGGCATTCATGCCGCCAAACTTTCCCCCTGATCCGGCGTTTGATCCCGAGTGGGAACCAGATCCATTACCACCGCCTACACCACCGTAATTCGCAGCGGAGTAAACATAGTTAACCTTAGTGCGGGCCCTGGCATTCGGCAGAACGCAAATGGCCGTAACCCTAGCCCACTCAAAGCTCTCCTCGAATACGTCTTTAAGTAAGGTCGGTACATGGATGCTGTGCATTAGCTTCAGGTGACGTTCAATGCTCCACACACTCAGCTCTCCTGTTTGCGAGCAACTAGTGCAGAGCACGTTAGCGTAGTCACTGTTGGAGATGATGTCGAATCCGAGTCCGGGCGCTGCCAATGCCGGATTTGTGGCGTAGGTGATGGACAGTGGCACATTTTGCGTATACTCGCCCTTTACGAAAGGACACAAGGGTGAGTGCCTTTCGTGCTCGCTCCAGGGCTCGTCGGTCTTCTCCCAACAGACGAGACACACGTTGCAGGTGAAGCACATGGCGCGATCCTCACCGGAGGAGGAGGGTTGGTGGTAGAAACCAGCCTGGGCCATCTGATCCGGCAGCGCCCACTTGTAGTCCATGTGAGGCCACTTCTCGAACGTCTGACGACGCAGTGCCTCCGAGTGCATGAGCACACGCTGGAAGTTGCTAAAGTTGAAGTAGTCCGGCAGGCGGGAGCCCAACATCATTTCGGTGAGGCGCTCGTTGATAGCAGAGGCGATGGCAAGCACAGGAATGTGGCGCTCCAGACGCTTCAGCATGATGACAACATTGCTGGCCACCAACTTGAGGCTAGAGTAGGTCACCTCCAAACAAATAGTATTCCACTAAAAAACAGAAAACATCAGTTTACCTCAAATGTTAATGTTAGAAGACAAAATCTTACCCGTTGGGCCTTGATGCCTTTCTTGGCATTCTGCTGTGCCTGGTTGATCTTCAGAGTCAGTTCGTTGCTTATGTCGCAGGGACACTCCAAGCCCTCGCTCTCTAGCTCAAGTATACAGTTCTGAAAGATTATTGCCTCAGAAAGGATAATCTCCAGTTTGATGTATTCGTCGCTCTGCCCAATCGGCGCCTGCAATATGGTGTCCAGCAGCAGAACGCCATTATAGTCTCCACGGAGTCCAAGGTTATGGCCATCCCAGAACAAGATCTTATCTTGCAATGGCATATAGCGACCATTCACGAGACTGTCGCCTTCAAGAGATATAATGAAATACATTAAAGGATCAAATTGTCACATTAAGAGCTGATTTCATCAGAAACAAGATTGTAGTAGAATTGCAGGGTACTAGCAAGGATAAAAAAATAAAACGAATTCGGTCCTCCTAAAATATTTTAACACATTTATCTATATACTGTTTGAGGCAATGTTTAATTGTTATTTATTTTTAGATAACACTCAAAATAACGATAATAATTAAACCCCTTTTATATACATATGTATGTACATAATTTAGTTAGAAAACAGATGGAACCGCTGAAGTCATGAAAAATATAATTAGTATGACCGGAACATTCCTAAAAAGACACTTCCGTAGAACGAGCTTTTGGAGCCTCGGGGAAAGTATATGGGGGTCATCAAACAGAACTGCGTAATAGAGGCAAAAACAAAAACGCATGCGGGTGGCAGGTTTCCGTTTCGGAAACAATAACAAACGCATTGCGATAGGACGAGCCGTAGCAAGACACTTTCGTGGGGATCTATAACTCCGCCTTTGCGGATTCTGTCCAAAACAAAAAGCTTTTTTCCAAATTAATACCCAAACGCATACACAAAAACGGCCGACACACAAGCTGGCGAGTTGCAAGTGCAAGGCAATTACATACAGAAATGCAATACAGTGGCCACTGGGTAACTGGGCAAATTTGAGTTGTAGTACGAGATCTTTGAGAAACTTTGATACAAAAGAGCATTAAATTGTAGAAGAAAACTATTATCATGTCGGATAAAAAAATACATAAATACAATCACAATTCTAAAAAATAAAGCCAAAGCAATTTATTAAAAAAAAAAAATAGAATTTTAACTTTTTTCTCTGTGTGGGTTCTAATTCGCAGTTCTCCACTGTATTAACATTTGCTTGTGCTTGTGTGCGCGCCCATGCCCATGTATTTGTGGCTATTTTTCCCCAACTTCCTCACCATTGGTGCCAAGCACATAAGTCTGCAGAATTACACCGGAGTTGGCGTCCAGGACCTTGACGAGGTTTCCGCAATCGAAGAGCAGAAGAACGTTGAGCTGCGGATGATACAAGATGTTGCGCATCTTGCAGGGAGCGCCAGGTAGCTCCAGGTAGCCGTCCTGCTTTAGCACTCGCTTCTGCGGTTGCTGGTGCTGCTCCGTTGCCATTCCGGGAATGTGGGGGTGCGAGTGGCATGCACGCGCCACTGCAGTTGTGTGTCCTGGATCCGAGTTCTCTGGATTTATTACAATTGTTCTTGATTCGGGACGAGAAGACACAGCGCAGCGCTTTTCCTTTTGCCCTTCTGTTTCTGACAGATGTAGTGTTTGCCATTCGCCGTGTACGTGTGTCGCCTGGACTTGCGAATTGTCAATTGTCAAACGGCGGGCAATTTGAATGAGAGTGTGGGTGTAACGTCAAATCAGCCAAATAAATACATTTAACGAAACGAAATATTTTGGAGAGGTATTGAAATAGAGGAGAATAAACAGCCCGGGCTGCCTGATACCACAATATTTCTGTTAATACGAAAAAAACATAAAATAGTTTCTATATGAATAGAAAATAGAAAATAAATCGATTAATTCAGTGACAAAAATAGTGTTGTCAACTACTAGTCGTCGTTGCTAGCTGGACGGGCCAACTAATAAAGCAACAAAGAGCTACAATAGCCAATTTTACATAGGAAAAAATAATACCTTACATACATAAGTAGCATTAATAAGTTTAATAATCGATGGTGCAAAAATCTCGCAGCGCAGCGCCGTGTACGTTTTTCGTCTATGTTTGCGAATTGTCAATTGAAATCGGCGGGCAATTCAAACTAGATTGTGGGTGCAACGGCAAATCTCCCAAATAAATAAATTTGACAATACTTGCTGCATAAGTTACCCAAATTCTCAATTTGTGAAGGATGGTATACAATATATATATTTTTCGCAATGGTAACTTTAAAAAAAATATCGAAAAATACCAATATCGCAACATCGATATTTGGGCAAACAAAATATCACGATACAAAATAAATAATTTGGAAAAAAATATCGATACGTGGACATTTCGATATATTTTCACAACCATAGTTTTACAGCCAAACAACAAAAAACCAAAAAAAATCTCGTCTTTTCACCTGTAAAGACATTTCGACAGGATTTGTGGCCGGCATATATATATATATATATATATATGCTTAAGGTGTCATCAGAGCTTGAAGAGTTTATCCGGAATCCTTCGCCCCGTGCGGTAACTGTGGACTACCATAAACACTGCGAAAGCCAGCGGCAAAATGTCCACCGAACTAATTGAATCCGTTCCACTGGTTAAAATAAGTCCCCAGGGTATATTTAAATATATTCTTATCAATATCACTGACGGCGGCGAGTTGACAAAGACCGTAGTTCGTGGTTTCGACGATTGCGAGTGGCATGGTAAGCATCTACAGTGTAGATTCTACACATTTTCTAATCTTCACCACTCCGACATTGACATTAATGCTACGTTAATTTTAGCTGACATTTTTGAACGGGAGGAGGTAATCTTTTCGGCTCAAAAGCTCGAAGCCGAATGCATTGGAGGCGGACGCATCGAGCACGATCCGGAGAAAAAGTATATGAAGGTGTACGGTTACTCTCAGGTATGTGAAGGCATCCTTTTTGTTTTAGACAATAGTAAAAACGATTGTTTTTTAGGGATTTGGAAAAGCGGACCACAGTCAAAGCAAACAAATCTTGAAAACGAAATACCCAGACTACAGGATCGAAATCTCTGATGATGGCTACTAACCCCGAATTAATTAAAAATAGAGTCTGATATGTTTCTAGACTCAGTGTGCCAAGACATTTGTGAGGTGGTAATAAAGATATAGATTTCATAAACAGTCATCCATTAGCCGTGTTTCCGTTTGATTTAATTTTTTTGGACCCCAAATAATTTAAATTGTAAAAAAAAATGAAATTGTTAAGAAAACTTGATCTGATTCCGCGATGTGTCCTTCCTTTGCGTAAGCTTGAAAACGAAACTGTGTACTTGAGGCTCAGTTTTATATATTTCTATTTTTCCTTTTCGCCTCAGAAAAAGGATTTTCAACCGATTTGCCGAACCTATTAGGCATTCCTAGGGTTAAGATACCAGAAGGCCAAAGTCGTTATTTATTGCTTATGGCTCATTCGCATGGCTACACAAGGTTTGGAAGAACCATCGTCAGGGGGGCTGATGTTCCACATTGTGGGTCGGATGTTGATTTTACGTACCTTTTAAATGACTTCACGATTATTTTTAGTGAAAATATTCGACCAAGCGTTGGAGGAGATGGAGCCACAAGGAATTTGTGCGAAATGTCTTGGCGGTGGAATGATTCACAATGATGTGAGCGGAAAAAAAATACGAATATATGGCTTTAGTTCAGTAAGTATGCACAATGTTTCTTGGAAAGCTGAATTAGTAGTTCTTCCGACGTAGACTTTCGGGAATGCTGACCACTTCAGGACAAAAAACATACTGCAGTCGTGGTCCACATTCAGGGATTTCGAAATCATCATCAATAATTAAGCTTCGGAAATCTTAATCTCACAAAATAAAAATGGCAAACGGAATGCATAAATTCATTGTTTTTTTCTGAATTTAAATATAGGCCTCAAGATAACATTGGAAAAAGCTCGGCTCATGTTTGATCACATGTAATATGCAGCCACGAACTGTCACAAGCACCAAGTTTCTTAAACAGAGCACGGCATCAGGATCATTATCGGGAATAAACTGGAGAAAATGTAATTCATATCCAGCTGAAGGGAAATATTAATACAGAATTAAAGGTTTAAATATTTTTTCATTTGAAAATTTACAATCGCTTACTATGATTGCAAAATTTATTTCAAAGCTCACAATATATTTGTGCGATTAGTCCGTAGTGCCATGACATTTTTGATACTTTTAACGAGGGGATTTGAACCATAATTTATAAACAGTTCAGTCGATCTGGAGCTGGCATACACTTCATACGACGCCTTTTCGGAAAGTAGTATCCAAATTAAAGCGTTTAATATATAATAAAATGAGAAATTTAAAATTTTTGGTCCCTATCTCGCAAATAGTTCGTCCCACTCGCATGCTGAGTGTTGACAGGGTAAACGCTCTTTTGTTAAATGTACCAAGAGTTCAGCTTGCGTCGGGAAAAATCAATATCTTTTATTGCTGATCTATATTCATGGTCAAACAAGATTCGGCAGGACCATCGTCCGCGGAGACGCAGATAAAAGCCATGGTCAGTTGTCTGGGGCTCACAGGTTCATAGATTTCTCTATTTATTTATCGGCTTTTCAGAGGAAATTTTTGAGGAAACTAAAAATAAAATGAATGAGATTGGCATATGCACAAATTCCCTTGGAGGCGGCTTTATAGAAAACACGGAGAAGAAGAAGCAGATACAGATCTATGGATGCTGCAAGGTAGGTAACGTGGGTTTCCTAAAGAAATTATGATTATTGAGATTCTCAACAGACATTTGGAGAAGCGCCTCATGGCAGGACTAAGGACATTTTGCTTTCGTGGACCAAATATCAAAACTATAATATCATCTTGCCTAAAAACCAAGATTAAAATTTGAATAAACCACAGAAACGACTATTAAGCCTATTTAAATTGAACAGTGCTGGTAAACGGGTTAAAAGTCTATTTCTTATTTGGTGCAAAAAGCCGTCACCACATTTCGCGAATCTGGTCACACTAACGGATGTTTTGTAAATAATTTGGCAGAGTCCCCGAAATGAATTGTTGCATTTGCCAGTTTTCTGTGCGCACTCCTAAGAACATATATACCGAGACAGTCGGGAACCCGCCAGTTCTGATAAGCGAACTGGTCCTGCAATGCACCAAGGGAACCAACTACGCCCTGACCAAGGAGTCATCAACGATATGCAAGAAGTGCTGCGAAAAGCTGGCACGCTATCACAAGTCAATAAAAATCGCGCGGAAGCTACGTCAGGAGATCCTAGAACTCATTCACAGTCCGTTTCTTGCCAAAGACCTGAAGCATTCGCTGCTGAAAGATGATGCGGTGAAAGTCGAACGCATAGCCAAGTTTGATGGAAATATTGAGGACGCTGCCGACGTCGAGGAGCAGCATTTTGTTGAGGAGGAGGGCGGGGAAGAAATTGACAGCGCAACGGAGACGGATTTTGTTCACCAAGCGACTATTGAGGAGGAGGTGGGAGAGGATGAGCACACCTTTATACTTAATGAGGCAGATGGCGTAGGCCAAGATGAGGAGTTCCACTCGATGGACCTAGAGTTAGATATTGATAACGAGATAATCATAAATGAGGAGACCACCGAGGAGGAGATCGAGCCGCAGACAAAGCATGAAGCAGAAGATGCTGAATTCTTCAAGGAGGACACCATGAGTGAGTTCGAGGACCATCTGGACGGTACAATAGAATATATAATATCCGATGCCGAGGACCACGAACAAGACTTGGACAGTTCAGGTGACTACATAGTAAATATACAGTGCCCAAGCTGTCCAGATAAGTTCACCAGCCGGCGCGCCTACAATGCTCACACAAAGCGCGAGCACTTTCCAGGCTACGTCTGTGATCAGTGCGGCAAAACTCTGCAATCTTACTCGGGATTCATTGGGCACCTGCAGAACCACGAGCCAGTAAAACAGTTCGCATGCCCCGTCTGCCCGGAACGTTTCAGTCGCAAATTCCGGCTGAAGCACCACATGGCCTGGCACACAGGTGAAACACCCTATCAGTGCGAGGTGTGCTCAAAGCGATTCGTCCATAAGGTAGCACTTTACAAACATAAGATGATCCACGACAACGAGACGAAACGGTTGGAGTGCCAGGTTTGTGGATTTAAGACACGCACCAAGGCTCATCTTGAGCGGCACACCCGCTCTCACACGGGCGACAAACCCTTTGCTTGTCCTGTCTGCAACAAACGCTTCTCCCAGATGTACAACATGAAAGCCCATCTGCGGGAGCACGAGAGCCCGGGCACCAATCGCCATCGACGCTTCCACTGTACTAAGTGCACGCACACGTTCATAAACGAACAGAACTACATAAGCCATATGCAGCGTGACGACTGCACGGCAGTCTAGAAATTGCGCGCACAATTGAATATTGTATAATATGTTTAGATAATTCCACAAGGCGTTAATTTCAAAGCGAGCATACAGCTGCAGTACTATCATATGATTACCATCCGGCTGAGGAGAAACAGCTCAAGGCAAGGAGTACGTTATGTTCTATCCATGTACTTTTTTTTTATTAAATCTATATGCATTTTTCTCACAAATAAAATATGTTTGATATAATAAATTTATCCGTTATTTGCATATTTCTGCGGTTATTTCAGTTTTCTTAAAAAAATATGTATAGTATGTGGTGTATGCATTAACTTATTTAAATAAATCAATCGACCGACCGGTCAACATCATACGTCTCGGCCACTTGGCCTTTAAAGAGTCGCTGGACTGGACTGATCGCTTTCGAAAATGAAATGTACCTATTGGTTAATGGTAAATCGGTTGATGCAATTGACGCAATTACAATTAAAATACATTGTATAAATACATAAATTTCAAGTGTGTGTTGTATGTATGCTGTGTGTTATAGATTATACAAAAATAAAACAGATTATCTTTTGATTTTTGTCGCGTTAAATAGAACTTTGTTAATATCATCATCATATCATCATAAAATGCACATCACAAAAATATTAACAAAATTTATTGCAGGCAGTCCGTAGTTAGTAAAAAGTAACAAACAAATCCCAATCCAGGAAAATCCATACCTTAAATCTTCTTAATACATTCGATTTTGTGCAGTTCCTAATAATCTCTCAGCCCTGTTTCGGGCCCATTCAACAACCCAGCTGCGACTGATTTTATGAACTCGCCTCCACGGTATAAACAGAAATTTACGGTCTATTTATGTGGGATTCAAGCTCGTTTTAAATAGTTGACGATTTACAAATTTAAGTGGCTTGAATTTATCAGTTTTGGTTGTTCAGAGTAGTTTGTGATGCTTACAAAAGTTTGTCGCTTTTGATTTTCGGTATTTGCTTCTCAAGTTGGTATGTGACCCTAAGATGCTTCGTACACTTGGTGCGTCCGCTTTTTCGTTCGTATTTTACCGAGTGCATCATCAGTGCATCAAACCACTCACTCCCAATTTGCCTTAATACAAAATCTACACTAAATGCTTAATGCTTAATCGGATGGCTTGACAAGACCCATCGCTTTGTCTCCGAACAGAGGCAGTATGTCGGAGTCGTTAACAATCTCTTCCTGAATCACTGGACTGTCCGGGTCTTCGCAGTGCGTCTTGAAAAAGAATCTAAAAAACAAAAGATTTAAAGTGTGTGAGAATGAATACTTCGATTGCCGAATAGTGAATACTACCTAAAGTGACCCCTTCTTGGTAGATAGTCCTTGAACTGACGCAGGGTAGGCTGGGTACCGGGTATTTTTATTCTGTATGGAACTGGCTCCTCGCAGAATGAAAACACTACTATCGTCTCCGGAGGCTTAGCCGGCAGAGGAGGAGGCGCAGCATTAGTCTGAAGTTGAAGTTGGTGTTGATGAGGCAAGCTAATGCTACCGCTGCTGCTGCTGCTAAAGGAGGACATTGACGGTTGCGCCAGGTGTCCCTGCTGCATAGGCGGCTGGGTATATCGTCGAGAGCGTCGCGGCTCGTCTTCCAGTCTTCGTTTCGCCTCCTCTAGCTTCGAGACTGTGCTTGAGCCGGATCGACTGCTTTAAAGTATATAGGGTTTTTATTAATTTTTTGCATCGGAGGAAATTTTGCTTTTAAAAGTGGTTCTGGTTCCAGTAGTATGAGAACCGTATTACCCAACCTACCTCGACTCTTTGTACTTGGTAACAGTGTCGGCCGAGAACATGCTAATACCACTGTCTGTATTCATTGAAGGCCATTTATTTGTCAACTTCCTCGAGGAGCAGGAACTGTGATCTGGCATGGACTTCGAATGCTTCATGGACTGCCCACCTGTTGATGGAATCTTTGTTAGGTCACTGATTCTAGAAGCAGAGATTTTATTAGCCATACTTAGGCTCATCGCGCCATCGCTAACCATGCCCGAGTCATGTGTGGCGGTGCGCCTTCGCGATGGAACGGGCGGACAGGGGGACATTGTTCCTGGAGAGCGGTGCGGCGTTTGGTCCTTCCATACTCGCGACACATGCTGGTCAAGAATGTCTTGGTCGTTGTCCTCGTCCAATGCGAACTTTTCGCGAATCGCCTCGGCAAATGCCCGATCGCTGGCGGTGGATCTTTCGTTGGTCAGCAGCGTAGCTCCGGGATTCCGCTGGGAAAGTAATAGGCGAAAAGAACGTTGTTAGATTACAATACCCGAAAGAGATTCTATAAAGTACTTCTTTACTTCTCCGAAATACGCCATGAATAAACATTAATTATATACGGTGATAAATTATTAGAATATGAAAATATGATACACATCTAAATAAAATTATAATATTCTAGATAACTATAAAAAATATAAAGTAAAAAAAACCTATTACAAAAAAAAAGAAGAAGTTAAAAACAAATAATTTTACCTTTACTGTTATGTTAAAAACCGGCCATTTTATCTTACCTCGCGCGCTCTTTCCTCCATGTCTCGCTTTCGTTTTACTTCTTCCAACTTAGGTATCAGAAGAGCCACAAGCTCATTCTCCTTCAGTGGTCTGTGCTCGTTCGAATGTAGTCGTTGTGTGCGAGGTATAACCTGGTTTTTATAATATTAATAACAAAACATTATTTACAATATTTAACAGTGCTACGCGTATCTGAAGCTCTTACAGAATTCCTTTTAAAAGGGTCCATCTGTAACGTTTAAAAAATCAAAAGAAACAATAATAGACCAGTGTTTACCTGAAAGGTATTGGTCTCCTTATTTGCCATCGCGCTCTGGCGAATCGCCTTGCTTTCCGTCGAGCTATGTCTACGTTGTATGTACGGGCGACCGTCCCTGAAACGAAGATGTATTAAAAATCAGGCGAGCTGTCAGCGAAGAGTCCTGTCTTCCGCAACTTGACATTCAATCTATCATCCCGTCATAATCGCTGGCCGGCCCACTCCGTTGGTTCCCCTACTCACATTGAACAACTGGAGAGCGACATGGTGTCAGAGTCGGTACGTCCGCCGGAACTGACGCTGGCCCTCTCCGAGTCAACCCGCGAATTTGGCACATAGGAAGTGTTCGTGCTCGCTGGGTACACATAACCGTGGGCACTACTCGCATGCAGATCGCGAACACAACCAGGACATATAGTTTCCATGCAATGGCGTCCAATTTTATGATCGTGTTTACATAAGTGTGTGGGGGAATCGTCGGGATCCACAAACAAAAATGTTTAAATCAAAAGAACACAATGTAGTGTAACGGCAGTGTAGAGTTTTAGGTCCAATGAGTGAAGTGGGGCAGGTGCACAGTATTCAGTATGTAGTAGTATGCAGGTGGGTGTGGGGCGTGCGTATTTGTGTGTATTTGTGAACGTTCGATTACACCATATGTTGAAAAGTAAAAGAAATAAAAGTAACAAATTAGGAGTTAATCACAGAAAATCATTAAATTTAATACGAACTTAAGGACAAAAAAGAGGGAATGTGGATCGCGTCTGATGTAAAAATAAGTGGTTTAAAATAGCAAATTAAGTCAGAGTTCCTTAAAATTATCTTCCCTTTGGCTTTCAATTTAAAAGTAATATATTTTGTAATATTAAATGTCTAGATTAGGTCCGAGACTTAATATTTGTGCGTTAATGATATTGATTGTAAACAAACGAACTAGCCTACGTGAATTGACACCAAGAGCTAGAATTACGAGTGAGAAAAATGTGTGAACATACCCGGGAGGTCGGATTTCCAGTCTTCTTTTTTGTGTTGCTATTAGTAGGTCCCGAGTAAGTCGTATCGGGTAGTCGGGCGCTCGCGCCCCTGCCCCTCCGGATCCACCTCCGTCCTGCATTTGCACCTTCTCGAAGTCGTCACAGAGTGACAGCACCGAGTCCTCATGCAACGTGGGCAGCGTGGAGCTGCGTGGCAGTGTGTCGGTGGCGCTGATGGAGCCGCTTGAACTGGCCGACGTCGAGGGACCGTACACACTGCCGCTGGCACTACATGTGCCAGCAGGCGGCCCGCTCACGCTGCTCACTGGCAGGTTAATGAAGGCACCGGGCGGCACTAGCTGTTGGAGCTGTCGCTGCTGCTGTTTTGCAGTGGCTGCAGGAAGGGCGCACGCCCCGACGAGGCTACTGCCACCACTACCGCTGCTTCCGGCACTGCCCGATCCCGTCGCGCCGCTGCTGCTGCAGCGCTCCTGCAATGCGGACATTTGCTGGATATACAGAATGTACATATCCGAGCAGAGAAACGTTGGGTATATGTTGTCCCGGATGGTAACCTCCACATGGTGCTGCATAGGATCGAAGATGTGCGGGCTAAGCGAGATCTCGGGGTTCGTCTTGATTGCCTTAATCTGGGCGCGCAGGTCATCGGAGATAGAGAGCTTACTCTTGCGCAGAAATCTGGGAAATCAAGCGGAGGCATAGGTATATGAAGTTTCGTACTATTTGAAGACATCGAGACAAAACTACGCTCTTTACTAATACTATTTTCATTAACTGGTGAAGGTATGAAGGAATCCCACCTATAGATAGCTCCGATTATCTGCTTGACTTTCTCCGGGTCCGTCTGCTGCTTGAGACCCTCGCACGCAAAATAGAAGTTGAGGTGGTCGTTGTAAGCGGGCGCCTCTTCCTCGACGTACTTCTTGAAGAGCTCGACCCCATCTCGATCCTCCAGCAAGTGGTTTAGCGTCCGAGCCCAGTTCAGATAGGATGGTGGCGAATTCTTCGAGGTCTCTCCTGCCCCTTCGGTCATCTGATTGACCGAAAATTTCAGTAAGTCAACTTTTATTAAACAAGTCACCTTTTTACCTTTTTAACACGGCTCTCTTCTCCTGGTACAGGTGGTCGTGGCCCACTACACTCATTATCATCATTTTTCCGGAGTCCCAATGATGGATGGCCACTCATGCCACTCCAAATTGGCTGCACAGGACGAGCGATCGCTGCTAATTATTTACCTATTCCTACTATAAGAATACCAGTTACCAGTTACCAGTTACAAAACGTTTCTGTTATCTTTTCTCTGTTTTAAATCACAAACGCCCGGTATTTTACAAATAACTGGTACATGGAAGGTGTGCACGTCTGCGAATTTGGAAGGCAATTAGACAAGGCCTACAAAGAGAGGAAAGACAGGGACATGTATAAGAAAAACCACAAATGTGATGCAGCATTATATTTAAACTTATTTATATTATGTTATAAAAATATATATAGAGCAAAAGCCGTCTTGAGCTGTCTTATCCGACTCGTTCCGATTTACATTGTCCATATACATATACCACATAATAGAAAACTATTTAGTAGGGTTCAATCGAGATAACTAAAAAACTTGATTATATGCTATAGATATGCAAACGGACATTTTATTCGGAATTACAGTCTTAATTGGAATTCTAATGCGAATTTTTCAAGGACGCGGAAGCCAAATGACCACTTAGTGGCACCTCAATGGCAGTTGCTTTCTTATCAAAGGGCACACACAAATTGCAGAAGGAGGAATCGAACGGCGGCCATTTTGAGAGCGCTTTTGATTGGTTGACGGCATCGACCAATGCAGCATTCGGGGCGCATGATAAGGGGAAAGAAGTAGGAAAAGGGAAAGGACAATAATCCATTATGTACAAAATTTGAACACAAAATCCGAACACACACACCCACCCTAATACCGGGGATGGTGATGGGTACTCTACAAACCCTGCTTCCACTGGCGTTGTCTGCCGCGTTTGAGAGCTGCCTAAAACTAGAAAGTAAACATCGCATCGCGCGTTTGGTAAATCAAAAATATTCCCTTTTTCCTGGCCCTTCCGTACCCATTGCACCAGCGAGTAAACCATTGCTTCAAATTCAGCTACTTTCTAGCGAAATCGCATATCATCTTAAAGACATTATTAAACATTATTTTAAAATCGTAATAAATCACCACATCTCAAGCTACAAATAAATTCATTCAAACTTTGATTTGCATATTTTAATGTTGGATGAATTTTCCTATATAGATTTACCAAAAGTACCTATGGCAGCTATGTATAAGATACAGTCCGACATGACCAAACGGCTTAAAACCGTAAATCAGCACTATATTTTAGGTTCTATTCGAATATTTTGAAAAACGAAGTTATGTCCATTTTTGTATTATTTTCCTATTAAAAGATTGTTTTAGGTTTATGACTTTGTTAATTGTTTTTAAATATAATATTTTAATAGAAATTTTATAAATATCAGTAATGGTATACCTCAGAAAAAAAAACATGTTAATAAAAATTTCGAAATTATAATTATTTTTCTTTAAATTTCCAGATCGTTCCAGCTATGTGTGATTTAAAGGCCTAATCTGACCCGTTCCGAGTTATATAGCAATGGAAATAGAAATAAAACTATTTGACATGTTACAATAAGATAGCTCAAAAACTGAGGCTGGTACATAAAAACAGAAATGAGTAGATTGACTCGATTATTGATGCTGATTGAGAATACTTTCTAGGACCAGAAATGACGCCTTCATTGTTTTGCAGATTTCTGATTACAACTAAAACATCCTGATCGTGTACAGTAATTCACAAAAACCTTAAGGGTTTATAGCTCTATCTCCGTGGCGTTAAGGTGAACCCCAGCAGCAGAATGTAGCGCAATTGGCATGATACATAAACTGTAATTTTCAAAAATATTAAATTTTGTATTCTCAGTTATAAATAGGTAGATTCGCGCGGAGTGAACGGGCATCTCTGGAGCAGACGGCTGCCATCAACAAAGCAGCGACAAATAAAACAACCGGGAGCAAGGGACATGAGCAAAAGCCTGGCAAAAAGGAAAAGACGAATGCTGGGAGGAAAAGGGGAAAGCAGGGTGGCTGACAGGAGGTGGGAAGGTTCGAACTTGAGCCGAGCAGCACTTTCCTGCCAGTCGTGACTTACAAACACACATCCGCACACAGGCTCAGTGATACAAGGGGATGAATGCTGTTGTTTGTTGTCGCTGAAGAGCCAGGACAAGCGAACAACTGAACAGCCACAAAGCGCTAGCGCCAGAGGAGGGCCAAGGAAATTCGTCAAAACGCCATTTGCATAGCACTCCATTACGGCGAAAAGAACAAAGACAGGCACAATTAAAACGTTCGGCACCACAAAGGACCGAGCCAGAGAGCGACTACGTTGAGCCAGCAATGGCGTTGTTTCTAGGAGCAGGACAAGCTTCGACCACTTGATGGGCGCGTCATTCCCCGTGGCCATGCCATGAAGAAGACAATGCCGAGAGGCAAAGGAATTCAGTGCCTCTTTAGTGCATCTTATAATCCTTCCTTGCCGTTTATCTTAGGTTTATCAAATACCAACATCAAAGAATCAGCTCGACCCTAATGACATAATCCCTACTAAAAGTATCTCGTTGACACTTAGTAACTCGACTTTGTTCACATTTTTCATAAACTGAGTTGTTCTCGGTATGGTCAGCATTTCTTTATGGTCATATACTGACTAAACTCTGAATTTCGTATCTGAAAATTCATTCATGAGTATTACAGGTTTATTTGGAACAGGTAATTAATTGAAATAATTGCATAGTTTCGGAAACCCTTAGCAAGATATATGTACATATGTATTCCTTCATTCATTCATGTTGAGCACCAGATTTAAAGGTTTTTTAACGAATCTTGAGATGTAGCCTTTGCTTCTATTGCAGATAGTATTTTATTTGGAATGAGACGGATCGGAGGACTATAGATATGTAGTGATATGAACGATCGAAAAATCATAGTTATTAATATATGACATAATTGAGATAGGACCAAGGTGTACATTTGCAGAAAGATTTGGGAAAATTAATAAGAGTTTTCCTTTTATGTATTACACATTTTGAGTACTGTGTATCAAAAAGAATCAGATGTTAAAAAAAAAAAAACAAACAAACCATAAGGGGGTAATTTTGAAATTTTCAAAATATCAAAATAAGAGAATATCATATATACATTTAACTTAGATTTATTATTATTATTATCATAACTAAGCCAAAAATGCATTTTATTCAATTTGGAAAAATTTTCTGTCGCTCGCGTGGCTAACATCTTTCTAACTTAATAGGCGGATTATTTCCCAAAATATAAACAGACAAAAAAGATTTCCGAATAGAAATAACGACACTTCCACTATCCAATTCTAAACTGCAAAGATTAATATATAAACTCCGGCTTATTTACCTATACAAAATAACTTTAAATCGTAAAAGTTTCATAAATATTATATTTAGTCAGCAGAACCATTGAATGCCATCTAAATATGTATGAATTCAGATAAAAAACAAGAAAGGAAGCTAACTTCGGCTCGCCAAAGTTTATATACCCTTGCAGATAGAACTTGATAGCTTCAAAACTGAGAGACTAGTTTGCGTAGAAACGGACAGACGGACATGGCTAGATCGACTCGGCTCCTGGTCCTGCCTCCTTCACTGCGATGCAAACTTCTGACTGAAATTATAATACCCTGCAAGGGTATAAAAAGTATTGTAGTTTTAAAATTCGGTAAGGATGTATAAGTAAGGTGAGAGCCATTGATTAATTTAATTTGATTGATTAGTTTTTGATAAGTGTTTTGGATTTTTAATGACAACATGAACACGAGAAACACATATATTTCGTTTTTATAGTTTTTATATTATATTCTGTCATAATCATAATCAAATTACATATTACAGAGATTGTACATCCGCGTAGTCCATTGTTTCCGTTGTCTACCAAAAATATTAATTTTTCATTGACGTTCCATCGCAGTTGAAGGCGAATTGTAAAATAATTAAGTAAATACCTATTGATTTCAGATGGCGAAGAGGGGAGTGAGTTTCAAAAACAACAAAGGATCAGGAGCATAGCTGCTCAACGGCAGATGATTATTTTTCTATCCCTATTGGATTGCATACGCATGACCGGATAATTCCCTATTCTTTTCAAGTTATGAGTTCTGTGATTGGCAGGTAAGTCTACCGTGAGATAAGGGCTTTGCAAAGGCTGCCGCAGGCTATTCTTACAGTTTTCCTTGAAAACGGTTGCCAGGTGTCCGCGGCAGGTTGAGAATTTCGCTCCTGTGCTAGCCCCAAGCTAATTGTCGTCCCCTGTGGTAGGCTAGGTGACATAAGATCTCTATCGGTGCACTCACAATACCTCGACAGGTTGCTCACTTCAGAATCCAACGACTCTAAGGATTATTTTCGACACTAATTGTTGACAAATCTTGCCACGAGCCAGGGAGCACAAGGTATTCGGTGACAATGTCTTTACGAGCGGCAAGTCAAACTGAACGAGTCCCGACTCCGGAATCCTCAATCTTTAATTCAGCGTTGACAGCGCTTTCAGATTTCACCCTGGCAGTCACGTATGTGTGCCCGGGATGAATCAGACAGTGTATATAAGCCATTTACCTCTCTTTCCACCACCCGCATCCTCGTGCTTTTTCCATTCACAATTGTTGCATGCGGACATGCAGGGTGGCGATTACGTCGTTTATATACAGCCGTTCAATTTAATTGATGAGGAATACAAATACAAATCTGTATTGAAGAGTTACAGCACTCTTTTCACTTTTATTTAAATTGTATTAACCGCTGTATGTCTAAGACAGAATTAGTTAGATTGATACAAAACATCTATGTAAGTTCATCTTTACATATTCGTCACTTGGCGTTGCATTCTATCCTACTTAATTTTTTCAATTTTCAAATTTATTTTTTACACAATTGATGTTTCTGTCTGTGCAGGAGTCCTGCCAGGCAGAGCTTCCGAACAGCTGTTGATAGGCAACTGCCCAGCAGAGGGGAAGCGAAGTCAGTAAGAGGGACGACCTCCAATATAATAATGCTTCATGTACATTGTACAACTACACACAAAAGATGTACTTTTCAAAGTGTCCGCGGTTGCGGAGGTGCGAGCGAGACGGCATAGAGGAATAGGACTCATTGTGTGTGCAACCAATATGCGCAGGTCCAGGCGCAGTCTCCAGACCCTCCGATAAGGATCCTGGCCCACTGCCAGAGACCCAATACAAGCGGCGAGCTGCCCGCCCATCCTGATTGTACATAAGCAGAACAGCAGAGTTGGGTCTTGTTCGCTTCTACTTCGAATGCTCGAACGGAGTAAGGGTTGCGCTCGAAAGCCCACTCACTCCATTGTACCTGCAACCCTCTGGATCTCTTTGCTCTCTCCCGCCCTTCCGGGCAGGCAGGCAGCGGCAACCACCATTAACTAAAAACAAATGTGGAAATTATTTTTGAATAAGTTTGAGAACAATACAACGGGGAGGGGCGACCGGCAGCAGCCTCGTTTGTTTAATGAGGTTAAGAGACCGCCATTGCTGCCAACTGCCAGCTAAACTGAGCGTCTGATGCCGGTCTAGACTGCCAGCGAACTTACGGCGAATATTGCCGAAGGTCAATAGTGGCACTTTGTTAGTGGCAAAGTTGCCAGCAAAGCCAGAAAAGTTCGTTACGGAAACGCACACTATTCAGGTACGATGCCCATTGCAAGGCCGCCAATGTTGCCCTTTTGGGTTGACTGTTGATAGTTAAGTAAGTAATGATCAAGCTTTAAGAGTAAAGTCTCTTTTTAACCATATTACTTAAAAGTGTAAAAAAATACCTACAATTTTGTCAGTGTTTTTTACTAACAGTGTTTGCCTCCGATTAAAATAAATACCTAGTTTTATAGTGGGACTTCAAGACATAATACCTGAAGTGCTCATTATGATGGGTTTTCTCAGTAACTTTATGTACCCATTTAATTAGACAATTTATTTATATCATTTCCGAATATATATGTTGTAATATGCTCTCTGCTCCCCCAAAACGGCTGAATCATATCGTAGTTTTTAATTTTTTCAACAATTTATTAGTACCCTCTAATAAAGTAGTCATTTAAATAAATTTAATTCAATAACTCAAAAAATATTATAAAAAACTAAAATAAATATTCTGGTTTCTTAACCTAATAAAGCTAGGCTTAGTTATTTCCAAAAGCCATATATATTTCGATTCATCTTAATTATAATAAATCAACATGTTGAACAAATTGAAAGAAAACAAGAAAGGAAGCTAACTTCGGCACGCCGAAGTTTATATACCCTTGCAGATAGAAATTCTATGACTAGGAATCCATACCATATAAATTAAATATATTTGTGTTAAAAAACAATGAAGTAATACCTGCTTTCATTTCATTCACCTATACATATTATATTTGCAGTTTTACATTCACAGATTTGCATTTTTCCTCTTCATCAAACGATCGTTTGTATGGCACCTATATGATATAGTCGTCCGATTTTTATGAAATTTGCCACAAAATTTAAGACTAATATAAAATGGCTACACCTCAAATTTGATGAAAATCTGTTGAAAACTGAAAAAGTTATAATTTTTAATTTTATTAATTTCTCGATCGTTCCTATGGGAGCTATATGATATAGTAGCCCGATTTTCATAAAATTTTATACAAAATTGTAGAGTAAAATGGCTATATCTCAAATTTGATCCAATTCTATTGAAAACTGAAAATGTTAAAATTTTTTTTGTAAAAATTTTCCGATCATTCCTATGGCAGCTATATGATATAGTCGTCCGATCCGGCCCGTTCCGACATATATACGAGTGAGAGTATATAGAAGGCTAACTACAAAGTTTCATTCAGATAGCTTCAAAACTGAGAGACTAGTTTGCGTAGAAACGGACAGACGGACAGACGGACAGACGGACATGGCTAGATCGACTCGGCTGTTGATCCTGATCAAGAATATATATACTTTATATGGTCGGAGGTGCCTCCTTCACTGCGTTGCAAACTTCTGACTGAAATTATAATACCCTGCAAGGGTATAAAAATGTAAATTGTAAATAACTAACTTAACATGTAGTTTTAATACCCCTATAAAATAGTTTGCCTTGTGGAAATTTATGCATTTTTGGCTAAGTTATGATACTTGAAATACTTTGATTTACATTAAACATTCAACAAAAAAATTTATATACTTAATCGAGCGGCAAGGATGCTGGCAACCTATTAAAACACAACGCCATATTTATACCCTTGCAGGGTATTATAATTTCAGTCAGAAGTTTGCAACGCAGTGAAGGAGGCACCTCCGACCATATAAAGTATATATATTCTTGATCAGGATCAAGAGCCGAGTCGATCTAGCCATGTCCGTCTGTCCGTCTGTCCTTCTGTCCGTCTGTCCGTTTCTACGCAAACTAGTCTCTCAGTTTTGAAGCTATCTGAATGAAACTTTGTAGTTAACCTTCTATATACTCTCACTCGTATATATGTCGGAACTGGCCGGATTGGACGACTTATCATATAGCTGCCATAGGAATGATCAGAAAATTTTTACAAAAAAATTTTTAACATTTTCAGTTTTCAACAAAATTGGTTCAAATTTAAAATATAGCCATTTTATTATACTCTTCAATTTTCAGTAAAATTTTATGAAAATCGGACTACTATATCATATAGCTCCCATAGGAACGATCGAGTAATTATTATAATGAAAAATTATAACTTTTTCAGTTTTCAACAGATTTTCATCAAATTTGAGGTATAGCCATTTTATATTAGTCTCAAATTTCGTGAAAATCAGACAACTATATCATATAGGTGCCATACAAACGATCGTTTGATGTAGAAGAAAAATGCAAATCTGTGAATGTAAAGCTGCAAATATAATATGTAAAGGTGAATGAAATGAAACCAGGTATTACTTCGTTGTTCTTAACACAAATATATGTATATAATTTATATTGTATGGATTCCTAGTCATTGAAGTTCTATCTGCAAGGGTATATAAACTTCGGCGTGCCGAAGTTAGCTTCCTTTCTTGTTTAAATTTACGTAAAATTGACAACCTTATTTTGAAATAAAAAATATCGCTCATGAATCCTAATCCTTAATTCGTAAATAAAAAATGCCTATCCATAATCTGCTATCTTAGATCCATAAATATGGCCTATACAGTTAACTTATTTACCTTTCGAATTAATTTATAACCCAAAGAAGACCCTCGTGCCCGATTGACTGGCAGAGTATTAACACATTTTTCCCCGAAAATCTATATCTATCTATCTATCTATCTATAATCCCGGATAATTCCAGCTTAAGAAAGTTACAAGTAATGCAACTTTGATGATATTAAGCGTATTAAAAAACCTGTTAAAATCCCCAAACCTGTTATTCTCAAGCAAATTTTGAACTAGGACATCAACTGATCGGAGCAGAACTTGGCGCAATTTAAATATATTATATTGATATGTTCACTGTTATTAATATTTATTTATTTAATATTTATTTGGGCTCTGCTGCGAGAAAAACTTACAAGAGTGGTTCTGTGCTTCTTTAGCATTTGAAATAATCTGAATTGGAACACGGCCAATGGAAAAGGTCGATAAAAGATTTCTAACAGTGGTCTAACCCCATAACATTTACCTCACTAAAAAAAAAGGCATCAATCAAGCAACTCTTACTTCCCTCTCAAATACATACATATGTATGTATGTTAGCGTATATGTACATAACTTATTGAATACCATTTGAATTAAAATTCTTGGGGGGGACAAAAATACTTCTCGCACGACTGAATACAATTTACGCTTAAATAAATATAAAGAATGTATTTGATGATAACTTACGAATTTAAGGGTTTGTAAGCACTAGCCGGTTAAGCTCCAAGGAGAAGAGTCACAGCTTGAGACAATAAAAAATCAAATTACTGAGTCCTTCAAGTTAGGTGAATTCCTTCCTGTCCGGTTCATAGAAATGTGCAACTCTTTGTTCCACTTGTACGCTTTACTTCCTATATACTTAGCTTATATTATTGTTAATGCAGTACTTGCTGTACCTAGAAGGAAATAGAAACAATTGTTACAAAAGATAATATATAGTTAAAAATTGTAATTGTAAAATATATAGTTAAAAATTGAAAAATTGTTAGATGAGCTGTAAAAACTGTTGTTTTATCTTTACAGGCAAAATTAGTTTTTGCAGGCCACATAATTTATTTTATTTAAGTTCTGCTGATTCACCACTTTCACAATGCACAATTTAAAGGGAGCTGTTCCCTGCAAAAACATACATAGTTGCTTAATAGATTTTAATAGTATAAATGTTATCATTATTAATATATGTATATGTTTTTAGCATTACCAATCAAGTTGATGTACCTTTTCGTCCATTTCTTTTCTTTTTTAATGGAATGGTAAAGATTGTGTCGCTTAATAAACTTATTATTTTTTAGCAATAGTTTAAAGTATTTTATTTTAAGAGTACAACTTTTAAAATATTGAAAAAGCTAATCTAAGCTAATCAGCCGAATCATTAAAGGCATGTCATTTTTTTTTTTTAATTTTCAAAATTTCAGTGTCTAAAATTAACAAAAATGTTTATTTTTTTTTTTTAATTTTAATTTGAGTGTGCAGATTAAATAGCCTAGTAAAAACTAACGTTGGTCAGCTTTTTGAATTAAGATTTATGCTTTTTTGGCTCAGTTATGAGTTTTTAGCATTGATTTTTAGTTAACAAATTGCCATAAAATTATAGATAAATATCGACCGAAAGAATGGTTTTATAATTTTATACAGAAGCTTGTATGTCTGTGAAGGAGTCATTTCCGACTCTAAAAATCATATATGTTCTTGATCAGCATCAACCGGCGAATCTTTTTAGCAATGTCCGAAAAAAATTTAATTTTTTTTTTTTTAATTTTTAACATTTAACATCGATAAAATTTTCAAAAATTGACAATAAGTTAATTTTTTAACTTTTAATTTGAGTATGAAGATTTATTAACCTAATAATAACTAACGTAGGACAGCTTTCCGAATTAAGATTAATTTTTTTGGCTCAGTTATGAGTTTTTATACCCTTGCAGGGTATTATAATTTCAGTCAAAAGTTTGCAACGCAGTGAAGGAGGCACCTCCGACCATATAAAGTATATATATTCTTGATCAGGATCAAGAGCCGAGTCGATCTAGCCATGTCCGTCTGTCCTTCTGTCCGTCTGTCCGTTTCTACGAAAACTAGTCTCTCAGTTTTGAAGCTATCTGAATGAAACTTTGTAGTTAGCCTTCTTATACTCTCACTCGTATATATGTCGGAACGGGCCGGATCGGACGACTTATCATATAGCTGCCATAGGAATGATCGGAAAATTTTTACAAAAAAAATTTTAACATTTTCAGTTTTCAATAGAATTGAATCAAATTTGAGATATAGCCATTTTACTATACTCTACAATTTTGTATAAAATTTTATGAAAATCGGACTACTATATCATATAGCTCCCATAGGAACGATCGAGAAATTAATACAATTAAAAATTATAACTTTTTCAGTTTTCAACAGATTTTCATCAAATTTGAGGTGTAGCCATTTTATATTAGTCTTAAATTTTGTGTCAAATTTCATGAAAATCGGACGACTATATCATATAGGTGCCATACAAACTATTGTTTGATGTAGAAGAAAAATGGAAATATGTGAATGAAAAGCTGCAAATATAATATGTATAGGTGAATGAAATGAAAGCAGGTATTACTTCATTGTTTTTTAACACAAATATATATAATTTATATGGTATGGATTCCTAGTCATAGAATTTCTATCTGCAAGGGTATATAAACTTCGGCGTGCCGAAGTTAGCTTCCTTTCTTGTTTAAGCATTGATTTATAGCAAAAAAATTGTCATAAGAATATAGATAAATATCGATCCAAAGAATGGTATTATTTTGGTCAGAAGCTTGCATGTCTGTGAAAGAGTCATTGAAATTGTTTTTCTTTTAACTTAATGTAATGCTTTGAATTGGAAGAAAAAAACTATATTTTAGGCTATGTTTATTATATATAACTATGCATATGTTGAAATATAACGAAGTCATACCGATTTCTCCATTAATTTATAATCATTATACTTTTGCAGGGTATTATAATTTCAGTCAGAAGTTTGCAACGCAGTGAAGGAGGCACCTCCGACTATATAAAGTATATATATTCTTGATCAGTATCAACAGCTAAGTCGATCTAGCCATGTCCGTTTCTACGCAAACTAGTCTCTCAGTTTATGAAAATCAGACTACTATATCATATAGCTTCCATAGGAACGATCGAGAAATTAATGCAATTAAAAATTATAATTTTTTCAGTTTCCAACAGATTTTTATCAAATTTGAGATATAGCGGTTTTATATTATTCTAAAATTTTTTGTAAAATTTTATGAACATCGGACTACTATATCATATAGCTCCCATCAAGAAATTAATACAATTAAAAATTATAATTTTTTCAGATTTCAACAGATTTTTATCAAATTTGAGATATAGCAGTACTATATCCTATTGCTCCCATAAGAACGAGCGAGAAATTAATACAATTAAAAATTATAACTTTTTCAGTTTTTAACAAAATTTGATGAAATTTGAGTTATCAGTTTTATGTTTCTTTACAAATTTGTGTAAAATTTTACGAAACTCGAACTACCATATAATACAGCTGCCATAGAAACGATCAAGATATTAATAAAATTAAAAATTATAACTTCTTCAGTTATCACCAGATTTTCATCAAATATAAGATATAGCCATTTTATTTTAATCTACAATTTTGTGTTAAGTGATTAAATCGGACTACTATATCATATAACTGCCATACGAACGATCAAGAAATGATTACAATTAAAAATTATAAAGTTTTCAGTTTTCAGCAGATTTTCATTAAATTTGAGATATAGCCATTTTATATCAGTCTTAATTTTGTGTCAAATTTGATTAAAATCGGACGACTATATCACATAGGTGCCAAACAAACGATCGTTAGATGTGGAGCGAAAATACAAATCTGTGAATATAAAACTGCAAATATAATATGTATAGGTGAATGAAATGAAAGCAGGTATTACTTCATTGTTTTTTAACATAAATTAATATACTTTTTATTGTATGGATTCCTAGTCATCGAAGTTCTATCTGCAAGGGTATATAAACTTCGGCGTGCCGAAGTTAGCTTCCTTTCTTGTTTTAATTTACAAAAGTAGGTACATATACAGACTCAGGGCTGCTTAAAATTTTGTAAATATATTTATTAAAAATTATATAAACTGAGAGCACATTTTGTAAGTGGACGACTGATGTACTAGGATACCGTACAGATCTTAGTACTGCAAAAAAATACGAGGGGTCTGCGGATGAATTTTAAAGGTGGCACACAAATCGATCATCAGTCATAAGCTCTGATTAACACTAGGGAAAATTCTGTCAAAGGATTCAATCTAGTAGACCAAATAATGATATTACATACCATTATATTCGTGTTTCCTCGGTTTCACTCAATACTAATGAGAAACTGGTCCTGGCAAAATCATGGCGGCCCGGGCGCTAATAATAAATGGCGGTGACGAGGTGGGTTTGGACGGGAGTAATTTGATTGTAGCTTTTGCGGCTGGACGCTTCGATTCAGATAACGAACGTGACGAGGAGGATGCTTTCATTTTGATTTATATGCTCAACGTAAGTAACAATTAATGGCGATTGCACGCGTGGAAGGACGAGAGTTTAACAAACAAACAAACGTAAACAACAAAATGTGTTAACAAGGCGCAGGCACGGCTCGGCGACCGGACTAAACGCTAACGAAGGCCAATCGGGGTAGCACCCAGCACTTGGTTCTTGGCGGGGATCGGAACCTTTAGGGAGCACTCTACCCTCCAGTCTGGCGACTTGGTCGAGACGGGTGATCTATATGGCTATCTGTGGCTTGGCTGTGGACATGGCAGGAGGTGTCTCGTTCTCTGGCAACTCTGATCCCCTGGCCAGAGAGTAAATCAAAGAAAACACCGTCATCTAAAGCATTTTCACTGTGTCCCCTTCAACGCACAGAAAAACTTCTATTAGTTTTCGGGCATGGAAACACTTTTCTGTCTGCTTCTTATTTTGTGTATTTTGTTGCTGTCACTTGTGTGCTGTGACCTGCTGCTGCTGCCTTTTGATTTTCATGGACGTGATGTTGCAGATTCGTAGTGCTACGACTGTAATGAACGCGGACACTTTTTTGGGGCTTCGGCACTAGATATTTTGTGGTAAATAATATATTTATTTAAGGCAACACAAATGTTAGACGGCGACACCGAGACGAACGATTACATGCTAGAGTTGCGTGGTTCGAAATCGAACTAGTTCGATCAGCGGTATCAGGGATGGCAACTGTGGAACCGGTTATCTACCTGCCAGAGCTGGCAAAATATTTACAGTATAAATTAAAAATAAATATCAATATAAATATAAATATATTTATCTAAGGCAATTCAAATCTTAGACGCCGAGACCGAGACGAACGATTACATTCTAGGGCTACGTGCTTTGAAATCGAACTAGTTCGACAGCGTTATCAGGGATGGAAAATGCGGAGCCGGTTTTCTGCCTACCAGAGCTGGCAAAAAGGTAAAACCTTATTAATTACAAATAAAAAACATTATACACCGGTGAATGTTTTATAAATAACACTTCTCTTTAGTAAATTTGTTCTTATCAGTCTATCAGCTTCATTGTCTAATTTCTATTATACCATTGCTGAATGACACAGACTTTCTATTCATAGCTAGGTTCCCCCGAAGTTTGCTCATCTGAATGTTGTAATCTACTTTAGCTCCCGCGATTTTCTCGTTGTATTTGGAATTGAGAAAGCTGGAATCCACCGTGTACATGCCACATACGAGCGCCTCTTTGCAGATCCGATTTAGATGCATCTGGCATTGCCGGTAGTACCTGTACTTGGTCAGGTTTTGCTTCCTCTCCGCTGCATCCAGCCAGTAGAACTCGCTGAGCGTGTCAATTGCTATCAGTTCCACACTGCGGTCTCTCAAGGTCTCGTATGGGATGTTGAATAACGTATACTTCACATCCGCGGTGGTAAAGCACTTCATGAAGCTGACCCGCGCGACGCACTCTTTTGCGATCTCGGTCAGCTCCTCCGCGGCTGGCGGCTTGCCTTCTAATGAAAATGCCTGTAGCTCTGCGCGCACGACCTTCGTTAAAGATTCCCGGGTGATTTTGTGGCTCAGGTTGATCAAATATATGCTCCATTGCCGTCCACCAAATGCATAGGGTGCCACACAATGCGCAATCAGTTGTTGGAGAACCAAGCTTCTACCACTTTTTGGGGGACCGGAGATCTCCACTAACGTTTGATCTTCAAAGCCGCACGGGCCAAAAACTGTGGAATGAAGCTGTCTTGAAGTCATTAAAATTAAATTGTTGTTTACCCGAAATTAGAGCCGGTCGACCCGTCTCTTGGTGAAACAATCGATACTATCGATTGCATACAATTTTATAGATTTGACTATAAGTATTTTTATAAAATAGCTTGTTGCCTTTTAGCCATGTCATTGTCCCAGGCAACTAACTTTTTTATATAAATTACATGTAAGTAGTCAAAAATAAAAAATTACAAAAATACTATCTATATAAATTAAATGTAAATAGTCAAAAATAAAAAATTACAAAAATACTGGAAGAGTAAATATTGACACCCGCAACATATCGATGTATTGGCACTATCACTCACGAGACCCAGCTGTTTATGTTTCTCGGCGCGCACAGATACAGATACTCGTTCAGGCAACTTAAAATACTCGGTTTAGCTTTTGTTGTTGGCCAAACGAAAGCGAAAAGTGAATAACAAACTCACATCCAGCACAAGTACAATAGGCATTAGCATTGCAAAAAAAGAAAATGTTCGTAAAGTGCGGGCACAGTGATGTGATTTAATGAGAAAAGTGCTGCGCCGCAGCAGCTGGTCATAGGTGTGTGTCCGGAAAAGTATATTTTATTCGTCGCCTGGTCGCAGAAAGACAAAGTTACAGTTATTTTACCGTCTTGATCTGTTCGGAATGAATATGTAACACTTTCGAAATGCCGCAGAATGTGGAGGAACCGTGGCGCCTACTCGTGAGCTAACCAAATCATTACGCTGCATTTGGCCTTTGAGGGCTGAAAAATCGATTGACCGTAGTAACTGGCGACCACAACACAAGAGCAAATCAAATAATGATGATTGTGTTAGAGTCCCCTGAAGCAGCTCGGAGCTCAGCTGACTTTGCCGGAACATTAACCAGAGGTGAGTCCAGTGCTCGCCCAATTAACAAGCCCACGACGAATGACAAAATGTAAAAAGCAACAAGAAACAATGCATTTGCTTGTTGTTCGTTTTTGTTTTGGTTTTCCGACCATTTATTTCGTAACATCTAAACCAAAAATACCTGTTCGACCTCATGGCGCGCCCCCCGCTGCCTTCACGCCCCACATTTAGCGCTTGAACGCAGTAGTGGATCCCGCATACACGGAAACATTTTTTGCTTACTTTTCACCAGTCGAATTTCTTATCTACTTTAATCAATTTTCGAGAATTTCAAATTGAAATTTCGCTTTACGGAATCTACCCTACTGTTTTCTTTTAAATACCTATAAGGCAGAGTTTTAAACATATTTTCATCGATTTTATTTATTTAATTCGTTGTCAGACTTCATGAAGCACCATAATTCGTTGCCTGGCACTGAGGGCGAAATTGTAGTTTCTACAAAATAAATAATAAATATTATAAGCTTAATCATCACATCTTAACTTCACGTAGGATATAACAGCTTTTCTTCTTAAAATAGGTGAAGTATATACCACCTTTAATCAATTGATAGAGATACAAGAGGCCCATTGAGAAATAAAAATTATCTAATAATATAGACCTTTAGCAGAGGCCCGCGCAATTACATTTAAGATATTCTTACATTATCTTCCTAGTGACAGAAATTATTAAGTGTTTCCTCTTTCTGCCACAGAGATTACAATTCCTCCGAAGATAATATATTTTGTTGAGCTACTGCCGCCCGCCATCCGAATCTATTTTTATGTCAATTGGCGAGGCCTCGGCTAGTGGACGGACGGCAGACAGAGACGTGCGCGCCGCCCCTTTACAGGCTCTCGAACTGCGTGCCGTGCTCCATACTGTGACTACGTGTTCCCGTCAGTGCCTCCAAGCCCCTCTCCAGCCTCTTTTATCCTCGATCGGCTAGTGGGCTTCTATTGCTAATTAAAGTCAAGTGCCAAGTATGGCTCTGAGATCGCGGCGCGACGGAGGCTGCTCGACATACAATTGAGTTTGCCTACTTGTTGCCTTTCTGATTAACATTCCCGTTCTTAATCCCATTGCGCACTTAGAGTACTAAAAAAACTCATTAGAACAAATTGAACCTGCATATACAACAGTATTGTAACTTTTTACATTTATAAAATAGAATTCATATGATGTTTTTTCCCCATCTCTGCTCTCCTCTTAACAAACTTTCGAATTTTGGCTTTTCCATTATACCCTAGCTCTTCACTATTCCATTTCAGATGTCAAAGTGAATACGCTCTCTCAGTAAACACTAGCTAGTACTCCAGGCGGAGCGAAACGAGACCGAGAGACGCAGATATGTCGAAAACGAGGGGTAAATACAGGGAATCGTGGGGATATACATACATATATCAAAGTTTGCCAAGCTAAATCTGTTTGATGTTGAACAGGTCGCATTCTGATTCCACTTCCTAATACCGGAGCGATGGGGCGCAAGCGCAACAATTTCTACATGCGGAGCCTCTTCCTACTGGCGCTCTGCATCTTCGGTCTGCTACAATACCACAATTTTAACTACTGTGAGTCGTTAGGTCTGGGCTCTGCCGTCAGAACAGTGTATTCACGTCCCTGATTTCCCTTTTGTAGTGGACTCGCGGGACAATGTACTGGGTGATACGGTCACCAACGACTCCGACGACGCCATACTGGCCATGGTTCCCGCCACACTTCACAAGTATCTCACACCGCACTCCCGCAATCACACTATTTCGGGAGCCGGATCAGGTAGGTAATGGTAATGTTGAATATGTCAACTGGGATAATTAAGAAATTGGGCCAAATCAAAGTTCTTTAACCATAAATATACTCTAGCCTATGTTTTGAATATGCACTAAATGAATAAATAATTGGCGTTCACTTTTGTTTCTGATTTGCTTTCTTTTCTTCTCGGCAGCCCTGCTCCTTAATGCGAGCAGCCCCGGAGGCGTGACTGCCACCACACTAAGCTTTGACGTCTACCACCCTCCGAATATTACGGAGATCAAGCGTCAGATCGTGAGGTACAACGATATGCAGCTCGTGCTCAACGAGGACACATTTGGGCCCCTGCAAAACGATTCTGTGATAATTGTAGTCCAGGTGAAAAGCTTTGCGCCTAAGATAATCGGCTTTTAACAGTTCCATTCTAAAGGTTCACACGAGGATAACCTACCTGCGCCATCTAATCGTTAGCCTGGCGCAAGCGCAGGACATCTCAAAGGTATTACTGGTGTTCTCCCACGACTACTATGATGACGATATCAATGATCTAGTGCAGCAGATAGACTTTTGCAAGGTCCTGCAGATCTTTTATCCATACTCTATTCAAACGCACCCAAACGAGTACCCCGGAGTGGATCCCAACGATTGTCCGCGGAACATCAAGAAGGAGCAGTGAGTTTCCCATCCACAGATAATGATGACCTATAACACTGTAATATTTTCCACAGGGCTTTAATCAGCAATTGCAACAATGCTATGTACCCTGATCTCTACGGACACTATCGGGAGGCCAAGTTCACGCAGACGAAACACCACTGGATCTGGAAAGCGAACCGTGTGTTTAATGAGCTGGAGGTGACCCGTTTTCACACAGGTAAGCAGGCTTTTCAATGGTTCATAGCCCCGATCTTATCAGCTACTTTTTCCTGAAGGCCTGGTCCTATTTTTGGAGGAGGATCATTACGTGGCCGAAGACTTCTTATACTTACTGGCCATGATGCAGCAACGAACTAAAGACTTGTGCCCGCAATGCAACGTTCTGTCCCTGGGTACCTATCTGAAGACCTTCAATTACTACACCTACCACAGCAAGGTAAGATCTGGAGCAGAGTGCTTACCCATGCAATGCTTAGAAACCATTGGATGCGAAAGGGAGAGTGCTAACCAATCGAATATATCCTTTTAAGCTTATGTTGCTAAACACACGCATCATACATATTACTTACACAATGTCGCATCCATCCATTTGTGGTTAAACATCCGGTCATGAACGTCCACACAACAAACGAGTTTATCATTGTACTACTGTAATTTATCATATCTGTATCTATTTTATTCCGAATGCTGGCACGCAGACTAAAAAAAAATCCTATGCTTCCTCGCTGATCTCGACAAGCAGTCTATTAGGATACAATAGGAATAACAATAATAGAAACTCGGTGCAGTTAGCCGGGTCGTCCACCTATTCTTCCTCATCATCTGCAGCGCAGTCATCATCTACGTCATCTCTCAAATCTGCCAAAGTCTATGTAGGCGACACCACTGACAACCAGAAAGCCAGTGATTTAAAGAGAGATAATACCAGTATCAAACGGGGAAACCTCATCAACACTGTCACCGCCACCGCCGCCACATCCGACACCAACAATGAGCAAAGTAGCAAAGATAGCAGCAACAAAAATGGTGCACAAACATGGAACTATCATGTCCTGCCGTCATTGTATTCCGTCTATCAGAAGGTAGCAACATCGCACCGCTAGCACAGGGCGTTAATTCCCGTTAACACCATCCCAGCCTTTACAGCTTTAGAACAGTTTTAGTCACGCACTTGCCTGCCTGTCCCCAGCACCATAGTTATTTAACGTAGATGTTTTCCTCGTCCCTATTGTTTGTTGCATAGTTCATTCATTTACGCTTTAGCAATTCTATATATTCTATTATATTTACATCCTAAAGCAATGCACCTCAGGTGTGATGGGAAATCTATTGTTGTATAGATCCTAAAGCAATGCACCTCAGGTGCTTAAAGTATTCAACATATTTTTTCCATCATTGTCTGTTTGGTTGGTAAATTTGTGTACTGTTTTGTGTTTAATTGTACTTGTCTATATGTGTCTGTGAATGGCATGTCTCAACTCCGATCCGTTCCATTCTCTGACCTGTTCTGGCAGTTGCACGCTCGCATTCGCTCCCAGAAGATCGATAGGCAGAAAATCATCAGTGACTATCCCCAGGTATTTGTTATGGTGTGTACTGAGCCCTGTTATTCGGCACTTTTAACTCCAACTAGTGATTAGTCCAAAACGATGGCGTCGCAGTATGGAGTGGCCATCTTAAATGCAATTTAAACAGCTGGCTAATCAAATTAAAACAAATTTGCATGCCAAACCCACTCCTTTCGGCCTCCTTTTGATATATTCTGTTAAAGTTTTTCCTACTGCATTATCTTTTATTCTACGTTTTTATCCGAGATGTTTTTATCTGCAGGTGGAGGTAATGCCCTGGGTCAGTAGCAAACACAATATGGGATTTGCCTTCAATCGCACCACCTGGACAAATATCCGAAAGTGTGCCCGCCACTTTTGCACCTACGACGATTACAACTGGGACTGGTCGCTGCAGCACGTTTCTCAGCAGTGTCTCCATCGCAAACTCCATGCTATGATCGTCAAGGGGCCCAGAGTTTTTCACATTGGAGAATGGTGGGCTGTCAGTATTATGTTGCTTATGTAAACTTATTCAATGATCACTTGCAGTGGGGTCCATCATAAAAACAAGAACTGCGAGTCTAACCAGGTAATTTCGAAGGTGCAACATGTCCTGCGCATTGCCCGGAACTCACATCAGCTCTTCCCCCGCTCCCTGACCCTGACGGTGCCCAGTCTGATGAAGAAGTCGAAGCTTCGCAAGGGTAACGGTGGGTGGGGCGACCTCCGGGATCACGAGCTGTGCCTGAACATGACGCTATCGAATAGGTAAAGGAACCGTGAACGAAAATATGATCGTACCAGTCAAAAGCCAAGAAACGTAGCTTTTAATGTTGTCTAAGTAACAATACGAAGCAGTAGCCTTAAACACTATAAACGAACAAGAATTCAGCAAATACTCTGTATCAGCTAACTACCCGAAATTAAGCAGAGCCAGAAAAAAGCCCAAAGATACTCGCCTTGGGCGCAGCACAACTCCTATAACTACGATTAAGTAAAATAATAATCTAGTCACGACCTTACGCCATTATTAAAAGCGCATTGTTGCAATCTCCTCTTTATGTCGTGGACAACCACTTTATATTGTTTAGCCTCCGTCCAGACTTCAAGACCGGAAGAATTCGATTTCCATACGACGGCAAAGCAATCCTTATAACAAAAGAACCAGAAACAAATAAGGAATATATCTACTCTATCCCCAAATTGTGCCGAAACCGTTTAGTAAATGGTCATGATGTAGTTCGAGTTAGTTAAGCCAGCAAGTCGCATAAACTAGTCATAGCAAGGTATTGTGCACTCAAATAAATAAATATATTAGTTTACCCTTTTGATACATCTTATGGTTATATGTTTTAAGCCTGTAAATAGTTGAATTGCGTTGTATAATTGCATACATATTTTTAATATAAAAACTAAACGGAACTAAAGTAATTTGTTATTTTAATTCGTTAGTCGAATACGCTTTTATGTAATAGGAATTTTTCATTAATCAAAACGAATAATCGTCGAAATAAACCCAAATAAATTCTCTACCAATTGTGGGCGAGTTTTTTATTTGATCTTGTTAGTGGGCGCTTTTAGAGAAAAAAAAAAACATTTTTTGTTAAAAGCAGTATTAAAAAAAAGCATTCACAGCTGTACAATTTAACAAATAATTACTTTCTTTTATTGGTACTGGTTTAGAAAAACGTGTGTAACGTCCCTCAATTATTTTAAATAATTTAACTTTTCGCGTTCAGCACTAAGTAGCAAAGTATCTAGCCTAATTAAAAACTAGTTAAATGATATACAATTAATTTTCGGTTCTTCAAAATCGACCCAAATTGATATCAGATATTTTGGAAGTTGAAAGTGCTATCGTCAGATTGACAAAAGCTAAAAGCTAGTCTATCGGTCTATCGAAACTTCCTTTACAATGACATGCTGCCCTAATTAAAAGCTGCTCAAAATTCTTTTTTAAAATTGAGGAAAAATTCTAAAAACATACACTAATCCTAACTAACTGGCAAAACCACCGAGGCACAAATGAACCGTACCCAACAAAAACATCAACCGGAGAATAAGCAGAACTAGATGGGATCGACCAGGGCTGCGAGTAAAGGAACTTTTGCGAAAAAGCTTTTATCTCGCGATTGAGCTTGGGCGCCTTTTGCCACTAGCCATCGCGGTGTCGTAGCGGACGGAGCTTTATATCAATTATAAAAAAAACACCTTCGCCGCGTAACTACTGTTCGCATCCTGTTCATCAAGTGCGTGTCCTAAGTTGAAATAATGAGTAAGCAATTGGCGCGCCATGTGGGTCAGCTCAGCAAGCTCCTAAGCAACGCGACGGCGGCGGCATGCACTACTTCCGCCCACAACAACTACTTTACCTACGTGAATGAGCTGTCGCATCCCATTGCCCGCGACCCACCGATTGTGAAGCCGGCTGAGGCTGTTGCCTGCATCAAATCTGGTGAGTTCCTACTTTCAAAAAGGGGTTGGGGGCACCAGAAAACGGCTTTCATCGATGAGAGCTCGCCTCGCGCGATGGCAATGTCTTTGGTTATGCAACATTTTAGTGGGCCTGCTTAGGAAACCAGAACAAAAAGGCAGCACGGGGTTGCGGGGCCAGACACCGGAATGCAAATATATGAGTGTAGGTTCATGTGTGCGTTTGTGTAACGCTTGTATGTAGTTCGAACTGCTTGCCGCCGACCCACAGGGACGGGCAGCTACAGGGTACCCAATAAACACATCACTTATCATTGAAAACAATTAAATGTTTGTGATTTCAACAGCATTTTTTTTTTATATGTGTATATAATATTTATATGTATATATCAGATACCAATTGTGTTTGTATTTAATGACCCTTGACGACATGTGTATGTTAATGTTTGACTTAAAGAAATGTGATAGCTTTCCGTTATCTAAGAACAAAGCCAGGTACCCCCATCCACCCATACACGTTCGGAACGAACATTTAAACGAATTTAAAAGTTATTTGTTGACACTCACACATTCAAGCGATTCAGATCTGAAAATTATATTAATTAAATAGATAGAAATCAACTGTGCCTGCATGTATTTTCAGTATGTACTTGTATAGGAGCATCTGCGTTGTGGAAGTGATTCTGGGCGAAAGTTGTACTTTGTACCCGAAACAGAAGCAGGCCAGCAATGGCAACAAGCCCGCCTGATGCAAAGCTCAGCTTATGGTACATATGTATGTACATAGATGATGTGCATGTGTCGTTCGAAAACAAGCCCAGGCGACCGGCCTTTAGCTGTCGTTCTGATAACAGTCTTTATACTATACTATAGATGGAGGCAAGGTTATGTAACGAATATATCAGCCGGTGTGTGTGTTCTCGCTCAGTGAACGATCAATTCGTTGGTGAAAGCATTATCACAAACGGTCTCCCTCAACTGGAATACATTTGGACACGCCCACAACGCACAGGGAACATCATAATTTCTTAGCACCTTTATGGCCTCTCATCAGCATGTCCGTGCCAATTGATAAACATAAGGAGCGGGGGCAAAATGTGTGGGGATCGTGGGGGTAGCGACATATCGCACGACATAATCAAATATGTATAAATGTATGTGTTTACCAAAACGTCACCCTGCATTCAGGCCCTCTAATTTTAGCCAAAATCGCCGACACGAGTCATGGCAGATCTGCTACGCAGTTTTATTTGGAAAAGTTTTTCGCTTGGCACGTTTCTTGCAGATAATAATAGGTACAGTAGACACACGGCCAAAGCGAATATAAATTTATTCAGGCTATACGGAATGCAAAACTGTCAATCCACACGTTTGTGGTCGACGTGGCTTGATTTTATACTTCGTTAAAGGAACTCGTGCGAATTTTCATGCGCAGTATTGTAGTTTTCTTTCAGAGAAATACAAACGTTGACATACCAGACTTTATATCGCGCTTCCGAAATAGAAATGCAAGCCGTATGCATCGAGAGTGCCCCGCAAAAAACATATGTAGAAACATTTTAAGCATAAATCTTTCACATTCGAATGTAGGCTAGAAACGGGTCAAGATAATATAAGATCCAATATTGAAATTTTGCAGCGTGACGATGTAAAGAGTATCCTTTCATTAAATACAATATACTCTAACTATATCACCTACTACCTACCATCTTAAACTTACGTGAGAAACATGGAAACATGGTCTACAAAGATTCCCTTTGTCACAAACTTGAAAATTTTCCACCATCCAATCGCCGGTTATGATATGAAAGCAAGCATTCTAAAGAGATAAAGATAAAACATCGATCAGTAAAAGAGCAAATACATCTAGAAAATAGTATAGCTGATGGGCTAATAAAGGTTAATTCTACACTTTTGTGAAAAAGTCGTAAAAATAAAATCAAACTATGCAAAGATAATTTTAAATAATTTAAATTTCGTTTTGATCGTGAATAAAATTCAAAAGACGTCACAGAAATTTAGAGATTTACCTTCCAAAACAAAACAAAAGTGACAGTAGTACCATACACTGTGAATGAGAGCCAAAACGTTGTGGAATAAGCTAGTTGCCAAGATCGATTTAGTCCATGCTTGATTCGGAACATGTTTAGCAGATTAACGATTCATATATGTTGCCTAATGAATTTAAGATCTAGATTAACATTGCATGGTCCAAACTTAATGAATACTTATATAACTTGCGATGTTCTTACCTCTACCAGGGGACACGGTGTTTGCACAGGGTGCTGCTGCCACGCCCGTGGCGCTGCTGAATGCGATGGCCAAACACGGGAAGGAAAATAAGCTTGAAAATGTGACAGTGTGCCACATGCACACGGAAGGTCCAGGAGAGTACGCTAAGCCGGAGTACAAGGACATTTTTCGCTCCAACTCGTTCTTCATGGGTGCCAATGTGCGAAAGGCCGTGGCCGAGGGACGTGGCGACAACGTGCCCATTTTTCTGCACGAGATCCCAATGCTCTTCTATAAGAAAATAGTGAAGCCCGATGTGTCCTTCATCCACGTGTCGCCGCCCGACTCCCACGGTTACTGTTCGCTAGGCACCAGTGTTGACTGTGTTCGGGCTGCTCTGCTAAACTCGAAGCTTATTGTTGGTAAGTGGTCGCACTTTGGCATTAAACAGTGATTCGAAATCTTACTGATCCCTTGCTTTCAGCTCAAATTAACCCCAAGATGCCGCGAACGTTTGGCGATGCCATTATCCACAAGTCGCATTTCGACTTCGCCATCGAGACGAACGACGACCTGCCGCAGCACGGTACCGGCGAGATTTCTGCTGTGGAGCAGAAAATTGGTAAACTGATCGCCGAGAACCTGGTCAAGGATGGTGCTACGCTGCAGATGGGTATCGGTAGTATCCCTGATGCTGTACTCGCCGCCCTGCACAACCACAAGGATCTAGGAATCCACTCCGAGATGTTTGCCAATGGCGTCGTCGAGCTCGTGAGGAAGGGCTGTGTCACCAACAGCAAGAAGAAGATGCACCAAGGTCGAATTGTCGGATCCTTCCTTATCGGTGACCAAGCTCTATATGACTTTGTCAACAATAATCCCTTCATTGGTACGCAGTTCAATTTTAAATATAATCTATTATTCAACTTCTCAGTATTTCTAAATAATAGATTTAATTTTAATTGTTACGAGATTATAATAATTGTATTACCCGTTTTACACCTGTCAGAAATGTATGCCATCGACTACGTGAACAACACCAGCATCGTAAAACAACAACCCCGAATGACGGCAATCAATAGTTGCATTGAAGTAGATCTGACAGGACAGGTTTGTTCTGACTCGATTGGTACTCGTTTTTACTCTGGCTTCGGTGGCCAGGTGGACTTTATCCGTGGCGCCGCGGAAGGACTGGATGGACTGGGTGTTCCTATTATTGCTATGCCCTCGACCACCAATAAGGGCGAGAGCAAAATTGTCCCCACTCTGAAGCCTGGTACGTTTACCTTGCATTTTCACTAAGAAGCCTTTATAAACCGGCATTCTAAACATCAATCTTTAACAGGCGCTGGCGTCGTCACTTCTCGCGCCCACGTCCACTACGTTGTCACGGAACACGGCATTGCCTCACTGTTCGGAAAGAATGTGCGTCAAAGAATGTACGAACTCATCCAAATCGCCGATCCCAAGCACCGCGAAGCCTTGGAAAAGGACTGTTTCGAGCGCATCAAGGTGATGCCATGCCCAAATTAAGCATCACCACCTATAGAAAACAATTTCTGGGTAGCATCCCTGTGTAGCATTATTTGAAGGCATTCCCGAAATTGTTTTATCATTTTTTTAGATCTGCAATGACGATATAGCCCTTAGCATTACCAAATTTTTGAATCCAAATTGACGAGCAAAGAATTTCAATTGAAAAATAAAAATATAAACGAAAACAAACCGATGTTTAAGTTGTATGCAGTGCCGCTCACTATGAAGTAAAACTATGATTATATTTGAACGTGTTTTTTTTTATGGCCAGAACAGGTGGTCAACATTTTAAAAATAACTTCAGTTGTATTCCGACGACAGTTTATTTTCATAATGTAAATATGAATGGGCGCGTACAGGTAGTGCGGCTTAGCTTCGATTTCTTTTAGGATATATATACAAATCTGTGTGTTCGAGTAGTGCGTCGCAGTCACAGTTTAATCTGTTCCCAACTGGGAGCACAACTGAGGGGCAGACTTTTTGTTTAGGATAACACGAGCCGAGCACACAACGTTGTTTTTGAATTTAATGTAGGTGTAAAAGGAGCTGTTCAAAAAGGAACCAGACAGTATCCTTAGTATGCATCTCATAGTGTATTAGGGGGCCTAAAACTGTTTTTTGCTTTAAAATCTACACAACTCATCTAACACCTTGATGGATGATTGGCGTCATAGGGATTACTTCTTTTTGTTGTTTTTAGCATTTTTACCGTCAGCGGTGTTCTCTATCTTGGCTCGCTTCTTTGGATGCTCGTCTTCCTCATCCTCGCCGATGTCGTCCTCCTCATCCTCCTCCTCCATGTCAACCACCTCTACGTCGTCCTTGATGTTGTGTCCATGAATATAGACAGGTCCGCTGCCCTTGATCAGCTTGAACGTCACCTTCGACTCGTAGAACTCCACGTCGGGATTGACGGCACGCGTCTCTCCGGCCTTCAACACAGCAATGGGAATTTGCACAGAATCCTTCACTGTGTTCACCTGATGAAATAAATGGTAATTCGGAGATAAGTAAATTAGATTGGACCAAGATCGACTCCCGTCATAAGCATGCCATGAGGCGTTGCAAACTGATGGTTGCTCAATTTGCAGATGATAAACATTCAGTGAAGCGGTTTAGTCACGTTTCACCCAAGTTTAACTAAAGTTTACCAATTAATGTCCTTCACTTTGTCCATTACCTGCGTAAGAGATCAGATTGGCCTGTATAGATTCCCGCCAATGGCATTTAAGGTAGCTCACAGATAGATGTTAAACCTAGATTTGATCTAACTAGAAATACACATCAAAGTTCATCACCGCTGTCCTACTTTATCGCTCTGCACCGCAGCTCTTCGTCTCTATCTCTTATCTTTGTCAGACGAGCAGAGTACCTTCCCCCAACTGTCCAGTAGATAACTGTCTCCGCTGCCTACGCATTCGCATATTCGGCGGTTTGCGGTAGTAACCCCGTCGACTGACAGCCGCTTAACCATTCGTCTGCCCACGCTGGTGCGGATCGGTTCGTTCCTACTCAGAAGAGCCTTGCACACTGCAGCCACTTCCAAGTCCAAATCTAGCTCATATAAGAGCGAAACTAACAAGTGGCCGCTAATTAATCATCGACAGCAACGTGTTGTAATAAAAATCAAAACTTCTCGCATTATTAAAACCTAGCCATGCGAGATAGTGAGGGTAAGTGCTTTACCTGAGGAGAAAACATAAGTGAAAGCAGCGCGAATTCTAGGAAACTCATCGAAGTACAAATCTATTTAAAAAGTGCCAGAACTTGATATCTCAGCAACAATTTAATAAGTTTGTAATCAGCCACAAGAGTTTTAAGAATTAAATTACATTCTTTTGGGAAAGATGTGTGAAATTCACAAGAACTAAAAAATATCAAATATTAAATTAAGGAATAATATAGTTAATCGAGGCACTTTGGTTGTTAAAAACATGTCGGCATACATATATAGAATAAAGTAGTTTTCTTGCAAAGAGGATTAGAAATATTAACTTAAAAGTTCATTACACAGAATGTTATTCATAAATTTAAACAAACGGAAATTTTAAAGATGTATGTCAGCGCGTCCACAATATTGATGACACAATAATACAAGAAAATTAAATGCTTTACTTTTGGATTGAACTTGTCCATCAGTAGGACTTTTGTCTTATTTTTTATAATAGATTCAGGAAATACAAACGACTCAAAGATATTTAAGATATTAATGGCAGCTAAAAAAGTTCCAAAGCTCTTTAACTTAACCTTCTTTGGAAAGACAGGCTTGCTTCTTCTGGATGAACTTGTCTATCAGTTTGTCGACATCTTAAGGTATTTTTCCAGAAGTCACAAGACTGTCCAGCCTTAAAAAACCATCAAGGTACTTCAGATCATGTGCAGAGATTATAAAAATGTATACATAAAAAAAATTTTTCAATCAAGTAACCCACTTAACTGAGGAAGATATCAAGATTTCACACAGACCCCACCGCGGGTAAATTAAACTACCTATTTTTGTGCCTCCAGAAGATCTCTATCGGGAGCGCCTGCCAGATGTCTGCGGAGCGGTAGGCTCCAAGGCCCGAAACTGCTGCAGCATGCGTACCCTTCACAGATACCTGCCCGTCACAGATTGGTTGTCAAAATATCAGTGGAACTTCCTGCCCATGGATCTTGTAGCGGGTCTCACTGTGGGGCTTACTGCAGTGCCACAGGCTATAGCCTATGGAGCTGTGGCTAACCTGCCACCCGCCTATGGACTTTACTCAGCGTTTATGGGTGGATTTGTTTATATACTGCTAGGAACCTGCAAAGACATCACAGTGGGTGAGTTCGACTGATCAGCAGTCGTTAAACGAAAAGTTGTAATTCCCAAATCCCTAACCAGGACCCACAGCCATCATGGCGTTAATGGTGCGCCCGTATGTAGATGGGAATCCAGCGTATGCGATACTACTGTGCTTCTTATCCGGCTGCATTATAACCATCATGGGACTGCTTAACCTGGGAGTTCTTATGCGGTTTATTTCGGTGCCAGTGACGACGGGATTTACGATGGCCGCAGCTATAACAATTGCTACAGGCCAGGTTAACAGCCTGTTAGGCATTAGCAGCAGTGCTAATGGGTTTCTCGATTGCTGGATACATTTCTTTGGTCATATAACAGAAACGCGCCGAAACGACGCTATCCTGGGGTGTAGCACACTAGTCCTGCTGCTTCTTATGCGGGTTAGTAACAGTGGATAAGTTTAACATTTTTTATAATTGAAATATGTATCGATGTTTGTCCTATTAACTAGCAACTTAAAGACCTCCCATTTCGTTTTGGGGGTATCTTGAAGTATATTTCGCTGTCCCGCAATGCTGTAGCAGTGTTGGTGGGGATCCTCCTGTGCTACCTGCTTAAGAAAGACGGTAACTTGCCATTCATTGTCAGCGGAAGCATTACACCTGGCCTTCCGCCCTTCCGCCCACCACCATTTCACACGGTGGACGCAGATACTGGAGAAGTCATCAACTTCGGAGGTATGGTGTCGAACGTAGGGTCCGCCTTGGTATCCATACCACTGCTTTCCATATTGGAGAGCATTGCTGTGGCAAAAGCCTTCTGTAAGTTTGTCACTAGCACGATCAATAGTTATTTAGTTAAGTAGGCCCACGAGCCCCATTTTCGAATTTCAGCCAAGGGTAAGATAGTGGATGCATCGCAGGAGATGATTGCCCTGGGCATATGCAATGTGCTCAGCAGCTTCTTCTCATCCATGCCCATTACTGGTTCGTTTACCCGGACAGCTATAAATAACGCCAGTGGAGTGAAGACGCCACTGGGCGGGGCTGTGACTGGTGCCCTTGTTCTCATGACCCTCGCCTTTCTAACATCCACCTTCGCCTACATTCCTAAAGCCACGTTGGCAGCCATAATAATAGCAGCTATGTTCTTTATGGTAGAATATGAAACTATCGGGGAAATTTGGCGTGCAAAAAGTAAGATTTTCGAAACTTTTCCATCACTTAGTAATTGTTAACTCTTTCAGAGCGCGATATGCTGCCGTTTCTAGTCACAGTGTTTTGTTGTGTCTTTTGGACATTAGAATATGGAATGGTAGTTGGCATCATATTTAATGCTCTGTTTCTTCTTTACAAGAGCATGAAGCCACAGTGTAACTTGGAGATCCAAAAGGTACATTTCAAATATTACCTTTCCTTTTTAAACAGATATGGGATACATTTTTGTTTTCAAACCAACAGTTTAACGGCATCGAAGTGACTATTGCCGACCTCAAGGCTAGTGTGGATTACTCAGCAGCAGAATGTTTGAAAATGACAATTCTGTCTCACGTAACGGATAGAAACGGTAACACGTTGGTGGTCATTAAGGGGCAGGAGATCGCCTCAATTGATACGACCGTGGCGCTGGTAAGACCTACTCACCCACTTTCGTGTGACTTGTAATTTCTAACCCCAAACCCCTTCATAGAACCTCAAATCGCTGCGCGAAGATCTTGCCCTTCTGCAGTGCGAACTGCTGTGCTGGAACTGGAGCATTCCCGCAGCCGGAGTGATTTGCCGGATGGATACTAATCTGCGTAGCATGTTTAAGTTCTCAGAAAGCTTTTCCGACCTAATGCAAACAATGACAAGCAAAGCAGACGATTCGTGTACATTCGTCAACTTGAATCAATAAAGGTGTTATTTTGTTAGACAGAGATAAAAAGTCGAACTTTTCTAACCATAATGGGACATGAAAAAGATATGAATACGTTTCTGTTAAAGTAGAAGCCTACTGTATTTCAAATGCTAAATAACATCTAAACCGATGTTGCGCATGGAAGGAAGTACTTAGCAGTGTGCACATGTATGTATGTACCTTGCACATTTCCCATACACTGTGATAGTGCAGAAGTACAGACATAATTATCCTAACCTTAACAAACACGGCAAAATGCGAAAAATGGCCATCTTTGGTGGTTGGATGAAAATGGGAAGCCGGTCGACTCCGCCGGCATAAACGAAGCAGACACCGGCGCGCGCATACCAAATTAATATGGCAAACTATGTACACACACGGGACTCACCTCGACCACGTTGAACTCATTCTCCTTGGCCTCGGCGCCAAGCAAAATCTGTTTGATCACCAGCTTTTGGCCGCGTCCGTAATCCTCGTCCATGTCCCATGTCACGCTGTCCTTCTCGGCGGTCAATGTAACTCCTAAAAACGAAATACATATATGTACATACATATACACAGGAATGGAAGAGTGTGGGTGCAGACAAAAAACACCGGCAAGCGTCGCCGGTTGTTGGCCGCTTAGGGTAGAAATACAACGCCCGTCGGCCATTTCTTGGCTTTTCCGGTTGCAGATTACTCCGCACACGCAATGTGTAATTACCGTAAAATGATTCTTCAGCCATTGTACTTATTTGATCAATATAATTTCACAAACGTAGCGGCGAACACGTGTTGAGTAAAAAATTTTGCAAAATGGTAGATGGTTGTTCGTTAGAGGTACACGAAAGATCGATAAAAACATCGATGCATCGATACTGATATCGGATTTAGTATATTCTTTATTGAGTATTAATAAATATATAAACTATAATTATAACTTATAAAGCTCTACATTTTATTGAAAAGAGACGCTTCGCTTAGCTTTATGTTTCCCTCCAATTTCTTTAGTTCGCAGACATCGATTTTTTTCGATGTGAAAAGTTAATAAATTGTAAGTAATTGAAGGGAACCTAACTTCGGTAAGGCAAAGTTAGTATGTGCTTTCATTTTTTAATTGGATCAATTATTTATTGATCTAAATGTTCATGGCGAATACATAAAACACTGCATTTATTTCTACAAGGATTTCTGTGCTAGTCTTTATTAAGTTAACAAATCAGCATACTGAATTAAAAATTTAAAAACATTAAACTTTTCTTAAATTTTTGAAAATTTGAGAAAAAGGTATATATAGCGTTGAACAAAAATCTTGGTAATGATGCTAATGATTGATACTGATCAAGAATATACATATATTATGTATTGATTTCAATTTTCATGGCGAATCGATATATATATTTTACATATCAAAAATAAAAAACAATATATTTCATTCTACAAGGATTTGAGTGCTAGTTTTTATTAGGTTAACAAATCAGCATACTGAATTAAAAATGTAAAAAATTAAACTTTTCTTAGATTTTTGACAATTTGAGAAAAATTTTATAAATGTAAAAAATCAAACTTTTCTTAGATTTTTGAAAATTTGAGAAAAAAATATATATATATATTTATATATATAGTTTTGAACAAATATCTTGGTAATGATTCTGATGATTGTTTCTGATCAAGAATATACACATATGAAAAATGTATAAAATATATAAAATATTACTTCTTTAAAGCAGTAAACTTCTGGTCAAAATTATAATACCACAACAATGTGTAACTTATTGATTTAAAAAATCTTTGCAAAATCGCGAATGCATAACGCTTAAAATACTGAATTGCAAAATGCGGCGCCAGTGAAAATGAGGCCTCGTCGTCCCCGATAAAATGAGAAGACCATCGTCTATCGCATTTTCAAACCATCGATGGTAACATCGATATATTTCTGCTCTGCATCGCATTTGTAGGCACGTGTAGTACAAAATTTTTTAATTATTTGACTGTACGTTTGCTGTCCAAGGCCTAGAAATGGAGTCTGAGTCGTTTTATGGTAAGCCTTGATTGTCATATGCTGAGGGGCATCTAATCACAAGGCCCGGTATGCGAGAAGCATAGGTTTATCTGGGTGCCCTCCAGCCGGCAAAAAATTTTAGATATAGCTTAAATCCAACCCTTGTCCCGCTTCTCAACTTTTAGGTGTTACTCTAAGCGAGAAAGAGCCTATCGCACAGTTCGACGTCCCAGATATACCAGAGGAGTATATCGTACATTCCCACAAGCTCATCATAAAACAGATCTCTCTCGGATCTGAGGCAAAGACCGGCGAGTTTAACGTTGTCCAGGTGAGCCCTGTTGTAGAGTGTTTGACAGCAAGAACGCTTTATTAAGAAGGAGTATCTTTTTGCAAAGGGTATTACAATTTTCGACAAAGGTGCGCAATATCAAATCACTGATTTGAAATCAGTGGTCATCGATTTCAGTATATTTTCATCGCTTCTTAGATTTGGAAATTTTTAGAGACTATTAACTACGGAAGAATGTTAATTGTAATAGTTCAAAGGGTATATAAACTTCGAATGGGCTAAGTTGACAGCATTTCTTGTTTCTATTAACTTTAGTACAGTCGTTGACAACTAGCAAATCGGTTAGACAGATCTAATGTCTTATATATTTAAAAATACATTAAATATTATTCTCCCACGTTACGAAAAAAGAGTGCATATCTTTATTTCTTAGCAAAAATCGTTAAAACATTTAATTGTGACAGTTAGCTCCCAGAATGCACCTAAACACTGAAATTTGAGATTCAGTTAGGAAATTATGAACCTTGTATTTATATTGTATTTTTGTAGGCCGAGACAAACGTAAATGACGATGGCGAAAAGAAAACTGTGAAGATTCCCATTGCCGTTCTTAAGGCCGGTGAGACTCGTAGCTTAAGACCAAACGTTGAATTTCCAAACGGATCAGTGACTTTCAAGCTGGTGCAGGGCACTGGACCCGTCTACGTATGTGGCAAGGTAGGTCCACCGTTATTTCGAGTACTTTTCGTGTTGCAACTGTTATCATTTTAGGCGGAAATGAACTTTGGCGAGTTTGACGACGGCCAAATGTACGGAGAAGAGTATTCAGATGAAGAAGAAGAAAGCGAAGTGGAATTTGATGAAGAAGCTGCTCCTCAAACAAATGGGAAGAGCAATAAAAAGAAGTAAACCCACAATAAACTACCAAGTAAGAAAACAAATTATACACACAAGGAAATAAATAAAAACCAACGCCGTAGATACTAAATATGCTACGTTGGATTAAGTTGGCTCGACATTTGGGACTATACTATACGGAATTTTATTCTTTTGTGTTATTTGTAAAAGTCTTGAGAACCATGCTCACGGAAGAGGACCGAAAGGCGAGCCGCTTTATTAAATTCTAGTTGCAAGCTCGCGCCACTGAAATCTTTTGGCGCGGTACTCTGAAATTACAAATGTTTACTGCATGTTCGAAATACCAAAAGTTGTTTAAGCTTACCGTATGTGTATGACACGGCGCCTCTCGTCGCTTGGATGAATAAGGTCTAACTTCTGGCTCCACTCGATTAGCTTCATTTCGTGACGGAGTTTCTTGCGATCAAAATAAGAAATGACACAGCTAATTGGAATCCAAAAAACTGCGGTGACAAGCACCACGGCCACTGAAAAAAAAACATTGAAAAATGTTTCATATTGTATTCTACTCAGGCTAAAATTAAAGTCTTCCCTGGGTATAATTAAAAAAAAAAACGTACAGCAAAGACTTTGGTTGTTGATATACTAAACGGTACTGTTTGTTTCAAGTTTTAAAATGGATATTGTATGTTTTTTAAGTTTAAACCAAACCTTAAGAAATTTGTTGCTTACTTACTGACAATATTATCCTTCAAAAACCGCAGAGTCTTTGCCACATTTATTTCTTCTATAATATCCCAAAAGCGTTCAACAACGTCTTGTATAGTCTTTTCGCAAACGCCCTAAAAGATAAAAAATTTTTTTTTAAAGTTCAGTGGGCATAGGCCTACGTTCGAACCTTATTACAGAATCCAGTTATGCAAGGCGTGCCATCCGGAAGGACATCCGGTGGTTCCACAGGGAAACACGTCTCGTTGATGCTCATTCGACAGCAGCGCTTACAGGCATCCGCGATTATATCACACATACAGCTTTGCAGGCCCTGAGTCTCACAGTACGGGACGCATTTGCCATTCCGACACTGTCCACGCTCCTGACAGGTTGTTCCGTCAGCCATGGCCGGCGATTTGGGGCACTCAGCATGGGCTCCAGTACAACGAGCCTCCTGTTCACAGGTCGCGTACTGCGCGTCTCGACATTTCATCCCGGAAGCCATGAACTGGCAGTTCTGACAACACGGTGAGTTCTTGTCGCTGCACATAGCGCCCTGGGTTCTGCGCAGCTTGCAGTTTTTGTCGCAGCACGAGTCGTTGTCTTCCGTGCCAAGCAGCCCGGCATCACACTGTTCATCGCCTTCCACGCGCAGGTTGCCGCAGAAGGACTCCTCTGGCTCCGAGAAGCACCTGCCTGACTTGGCTTGAAGAACTTTGCGGATGGAGCGAAGCGAGCACGGTGAAAATTTCTGGAATAGGTCAGACAACAAAACTTTGCATTTAGAAATTATCATCCATATTCATATAATTGTATTTACCTTGTTGTTCACGTCGTAACCGCTAACAGAATAGGTGTACATGAGAAAGCTGCCGCCCTGGGAGGCACTGGGCGAGCACTCGGGTATGTCGGGATCGTGCTCTGAGCCCCAGTTGTGTCCGAACTCGTGAGCTGTCACCAGATCCGCCTCACGAGTGATGACCCGCTGTCCGTAATGGTTACGGGAACTGCTTAGCCCAGAGTTTAAATATAGAGTGTAGCCATTTTTGAAGTACTCTTTAGGATTGGGAAAATAGAGAAAAAAATTAAGTTTCCGAGGAAGCGAAGATATATGTTTTAGAAATCAACCAAATTGGGAAAAGCAAGTAAAAGCAAAATGAAAACGTGAGATTCTGAAGTTAGGAACCTGGAGTACAAATGCCGCCAACGGAGTTGCGGCGCGGGGACCCAACATAAGCCAAGCCTAAGATGCCGCCTTCGAACTTGAGATCGGTAAAAAGATGGGCTAAACAAAAGTCTTTATGGCTATACTCCCTCGAAAAGACCTAACAAGTTAAATGGCAGCCATTGGGAATCGGAATGAAAGTGAGAGAGAGCACAAGACAATAAGTTACTTATATGACAATGAAGATCAGCAATTACACGACCAACGGGCATCGGCACGTAGCCAAACTTACCTCCAGCAGGTTGCGCACATCCCACTTCTCGCGGATCATATTGTAGTGGGCCTCACCTCCACGTAGTCTCGTTGGCTCCGAGTGCACAACAATCTTCTTGATCACAAAGCCCATGCCTTTAAAACCCTCCTGATCAGAGCGGTCTTGCCAAACCGTATCGTTGTAGATCTTGTGCACCCGATCGATGAGACTAATCTGAACGATTTTTGAAGGTATAGGAGGAATGGAAATAGATCCCATAGGCATGCTTACCAAGTAGTTGATTGTGGTTTTCGTGTTACCTCCACCCATCTCTTGAAAGAATCTATAGTCTGCCACTAAAAGTAGAGGACATCGAGTCTTGGTGGGTGTATATTCATACTGGTCCGACTGGCGCTTCTCCCGCGAATGCAACTCATTGTCCAATTCGTCGCTTTCTTTATCCTCCAAGTCGAGACCCTCCTTTATATAGCCACAAGTTTTCGGGATGGATCCGGCGTCATTTTTGTGCAGCTTCACATCTGAGGACTTGTACGCCACCATGGTGTCCTTTTTGGCGTCTGGTAGGTGCCTCCATGAAGGCTCAATGTGATATGTTTCCTCCGGCAGGTGGATGGACATTGTCATGGTACCGCCTTCAATGTGAGCTCGCACTGAAGACTCCAGCTCGCCAAAAACACGACCCGTATAGAAGCTGTCGTGATCTATGTGAGATCTATGTGTTTCAGTGCAACAGAACAAGGGAAAGGGTTTTTTTTTAAATCTTACCCATGTGCACTACGGTTTCATTACCATCCGCATCCACGGCGTAGGCCCGAAATTTACTATGGAGCACATCTTTGTGCGGATGCAAAATCAGGCGGAAGTTCTTCCCTAGAGTGGTGAACTCCACCTCCTTGATGACATTAAAGGGGTTGGAGCTGTGTTTGGCTCCCCGCTTGACCACTCTATGCAGCACATCATCCTTGTGGAATACTTCGTAGTGGCGCAGGGTCCTTTGCAAGGCAGCTGCAAAAATGCAGCCGCGTAATCATTACTCTGAAGTTTCAAATAATCATTTTGATCTGGGAATGCTTACCGCAATTTTCGACACAAAAGCAAGTAACGAAAACCAAAATGATCGCTTTGGCACAGCTACTATCGCATCTTGTAAACATTTTCCTCCCGCAATTTCAGCATTATCGATTTTTCGTTTGCTGGCGTGACCAATGGTGTATTTCAGAGGATTCTTGCCTGTTAAATTTGAATGGGGGCGGTTTTTTGGAATTGGTACAGGGTGGTAACTTGGCAGTGGCAACCGCGCACATTCAAACTATATACTACTCTCAAAAGTTTTTTTTTAAATTCTTTCACTGTTTGCACGAAAACTTTTTTCCACAAAAAAATATACCGGAAATTTTTAATGCAACATAGTTCAAAAATAAATGTATGTGTATATATTTCAGGCAAATTTAATTGCGATGAGGTGGTGACCGGGGGTCTGCGACTGCGGGAATGGGGGCCAACTTGTTGTCCACTCCGTAAAACTGTCCATTTAAACTCTTTCGTCTTGGTTTTGGCATGCTAAAATACAATATTTAGAAAATGTCATGTCTTAATGGTTTTAAGAAAAATATAATAATTGAAAACAGAATAAAGCGTTGGTACTGGTAATCCGATTTGGTTCTTTAATGGTAAAATATACGACTGTTGACGTTTTTAAAGAAAGCGATTGAATGATAAGAATGTGAGTTCAAAAACTTACTTGCTTATATTTGAACCATATGCAGAAATTGTTACGTAGCTGCTTGGGACATTGTCCAGAAATTTACGGTACCGACAGCGCATATACGGGTTTTTGCGAATAGAGAGATACGGCACTAGATGCTCCAACTGATACTTAAAGCTAGGAAGGACCACCCAGTTTTCATCAGGTCGATGTAAAAATCGCGTGGTGTCTTGTCCTCGTCCACCTGTCCCCCTCCACTTCAGGTTGGAACTCTTTTATCAGCTGCCTTATGTCGAATTTTACTGGAAGGTTTGTGAAAGGATCGCAAATGGTACGCGACATCGTAAACAATCCGAATTACCAAAATTAATTTGTACGACAATAAAATGACAACAAAATGCCTGCTGCCAGTAACTGATTTATATGAAATACCATTAAATCGTATATTTGGCTTAATAAATTAGATTGTTACAATTTCGTAAAATGTACATAATCAAATGAGAATGAGCACAATAAGAGACAAGAGGACATTGCATGAATAGACGTAAATATTTAAACCTTAAGTTGTAGTTGTTAGCTGCTTATTTTTGCAGTTCCGCCATGTTGGCCTCAAAAATGGCCGTGTTGATTTTGTGCTTTAGGGCGATAAGCACCTCTCGGTTGCCAATGGCACGCATCTCGTTAGCCACATACTCCCCATAAGTGACGAACTCATCGCGGGACGATGGCAGACTGACAACCGTGGGCGATGGTGGACCGGGAATGGCTGCACTGGCAGGCTTCGGGGATGGGGATGTGTTAAGTTTGGGTAATCGCAGATTGCTCATCGTAATCCCAGGTGAAGCAGTCAGCACACTGTTGGCAGTTCCATTTGAGCTGTTCTCCAATGCGGGGGTTAAGATGTGGGGGGTTGAGCCGGCGTCAAAGTACACACGTTTTGGAGTCGGCGGATGCAGTTGGTGGTGTGTGTGCTCATCAAAATAACCATCTTCATGACAAGAGGTATCGCGCCTCTGGATTTTAATAATGCGAGTAGGTACAACGTGCATTGAGTTGTTGGTACTACTCTGTGATGGTGCTGACTGGTAGTGAAGCTCTCCATTCTCACTTGCCTGGAAGCTAACGGCCTCCATGGCATTGGCCGAGTGGTGCATGTCAATTAGCGACTGCTGATGCTGGTGATGGTGATTTTCCAATGGTTCCGCTTCTTCTTGCTCACCTATGCTGACGTACCGCACGTTAAGCTCCTTTCCCAGCTTGGGCTTGGATTCCGAATCGTCTATCTCCTGCTCTTCAATGTCATCCACGTCTTTAGTTGTCTCCTCAATGAGTTTCTCCAACTCCTGGGCCCGGCTACTCGCGTGACTCTTGCGCAAATACTCTTCGTTCATGTTGCTGTTGCTATTGCCCCCGCTGTTGCTGTTGTTCACCGGAGTGCTCCTTTCGCTGTGGTTCTCTGTATTGACCTCTCCTACCGTAAACTTTCTTTCGTCGCCCTGCAGATCAGCTTTTAATCGACCTTTCGTGGATCGACAGGCGTAAGGAGAGCTGAGGAATACAAGGTTTTTAAAACCGAACCACTTGGAGTTGTACGGCTCCTTGCGCTTCATGCGACTGATCTCACGGTGGTACTGCGTACGCAGCGTGTGAAACTTCTTTTCTAGTTCGTTCACCGGAATATTTCCGCCGAGAACTTGGCTGACTTCGTTCAAGAGCCGCTGCTTAACGTCCTTCTTTCGGTACTCGTCGCATGTCATGTCCCACAGACCGCGACGGGAGCGGTACTCACTGATCAGCAGCAACGTCTTCTCTCGCGTCCACTCCATTTTTAGCTCAGCTGCCGCTGCCGGGCAAACGATGTCACCAAGGCAGAACAATGAGATCTGCTGCTCCCTTTGATCGAGAAACGAGAAAAGCACAACAAACGCTCTTGTTAGACATTTACACACAGGCGGGTTTTTAATAGCCTCCAAGAGTTACCTCAAAGCGGATCGCCTGCACTGGCGCTAGCTGCGTTTTATTTTGGCTACTCCAAAACAGTTGCGAGCTGGCGCTGGGGTGCTATTTTTGCGGATGTGTTTGGGAATATATTTTGCCCAGGCGCCAGCTTCTTTTGTTGGATTGTTCGACCTTAATTTGTGGAAACTTGACGGGTACAGATCCAGAGTCCAGTGAATTGCGAAATGCTTGGCCTCCGCTTGTTTAAAGTACACAATAACAGCAAAAATTTCCTCCCCTCGTTAAAAAACATTGTGTATCCATGCGGACAGTGTGACCAGGCTGGGTTTACAAGATTCCTTTACAATATACTGGAATATATCAAAAAATGCGATAGTTTCAATGGAGTACAGGGAACTAAATTTTTTTTAAATATCGACTAGTCGATATTTACCTTAATATATTTTTACACATCGCTAATGTCTTTTGTTGGAATACAATAAATATACAATGAATATTTTACCAAAAAAACGGTGCGTATAAGTGATTTAACGTAGCTGATGTTTTTCTAACTTTATGCCTTTTGCAGCTGGCATGTGCGCACCAAGGATAACATTGCCCGCGTGCGCCGGGATCAGGCAGCAGCCGCAGCTGTGGAGAAGATTCGGCAGGACAAGTTGGAATTTGCTGTAAGAGAACAAAAAAAATTGTGTGTCTTTGTCTGTTTACGGCCATATCTTCTATATAGGAAAGCGAAGCTCGCATAAACTTCCTGCGTTGCCAGTCGGGACTTCCAGAAAAGGTCTCTGCCAAGCAGGCTTTCGGCCCGGACAAGAATGATGCCAACCCTGAACAAACCAAGGGTGTGGACCTCTTTTCGGATTACAGGAGCCATGTAAAGACGACTAACAAGGACCTGGAGAAAGAGCAAAAGGAGGAGCAAGAGAAGTACGAGAAGCAGATCGGCTACCTCACCTATCTAGGACAGGACACAAACGAGGCCCTGAAAGTACGCAGCTGGTACGAGGTGGCTCCTAAGAGACCAGAAGTGGGTAATACCAGTTCCGCTGAGAGCCATCTAAAGCAGAAAATGGCTCACGATCCCCTCACCTTGATCAATGCTCTCCTTCCTCCCGCGAAAAAAGATAACAAGAGGGCGGTGAAAAGAAAACATGAAAGGACTACTTCTCCTCAGCCAGTACCACCAACCTGCACCATGCCCTCCACCCATAAGGTCAAGAAGCAGAAGAAGGAGAAGAATCGAACTAAATCGAGCGAGATCAAGGTAAAAAAGCATAAAAGGTCAAGTCGCGTATCGGAGGCCGAAGAATCTAAGCTTACAGAGTGTTACAAACGCGAAAAGCTGGAGAGACTGAGAAAGGAGCGTCTGCGTAGAGAGGCAGTCGAGCGCCAGCGCTCTGAGGCTCTTTTCGCTCCCAAAGAGACGTCCGTGGCACCTAGTGCAGCATCTACACCAATTCCAACGCCTAGAATAGTACAAAAATACAATAGCCAGTTCAATCCGGAGCTCGCCAAACAAAACATGCTTTGAAATAAATTGTATTTTAATTGAAATAAATAATTGATAATAATAATAATAATAATTGAAATATAAAATTCTAATTAGTCCAACCGGATTCACTTTACTATGGCATTTGAATATTTCTAAATATGCATTTCAAACTATTGTTCGCTTGACATTGTTTAAAATCCGGTTTGAAGGTAACGGCCAATTCTACGCAGAGAAAAGGGTCAGTGTTGGGAAGCGCCAAAGTCAAGATAATTATTTACTGAAAATAATAATAAATCAATTTATAAATAGAAAACTGCATACGAAATAAACTTGTTTTCCACAGCACCATTGATTATTCTTAGCTTGCTTAAAACTCGATATAAATGTGATCACCATTTGAATTTTAACGGGCGCAGTAGGGCCGCCGGGAAAAAGCGCAACAGCGGGCCAGTGCTGTAAAATATTCAGTGTGGCACATGTCGATTTCACTTCATTTGTAATTTTCGGCGTTTGATTCTCGTTTTGTCAACTCATTCGCTTGCAGGACGAGAAACTATAAGTTTAATTTAGCTTGTAATATTCTGAGTACGGAAAGCAAAGTCAAATGGAGGAGAATACGGAGAACTTGGAGGTTCAGGAACTGCGCGGTGAGTGGCTTAAATGTGTGGATCGAGCGCGAGTCCTAGCAGACAAACGTGAAAAGCAACGGGATCTATGTAGATGCCGGCGTCCGAATTCGTGACCTTATTTTGCAGGGCATGCATCTAATTTTTTCGTTGAAAGAAATCCACATAAATCAAGTTAATTTGATATACAGGAAGTACAAGTAAAATGGGGGTGGGGCAATACAAAAAACACGGAGGCTCATGCAACGGGATCCGTGTGCATATGTTCATATGTATGTATTTACATGCATATGTACATCGTTGCCGGCCATTGCACCGTGTGCTCCGCTTTTTTCTCGCTTTTTCATATCCATGTTTTTTTGTCTATCATTTCTGTAGTGACGCGGGCTCGCACTCGCAGGATGTCCTTGCTGGACACAGATAGTCGGCCAGGAACGCCGCAGCTCGACACTGCATCAGATCGGGGTAAGTCTTAGTGAAATCACTAAATCAGAGGAGTCAGCTGCTCTCAATGATTACTGTCCTCTTTGATAGGTACAGCTTCACCACGCCCAACTCGCCGCACGCGCCTGAACTCGGTCACCTTGGACGTTAGGACTCCGACTCGGTCCACACGTGCCTCGCTGGCCCGCGGCGAAACCCCAGAGCCCACCACTCCCTCCTCCGTGAAGAGGACGGCCCGCACGCCGGCCAAAACCAAATCAGTACGCCAACAGTTGACGCTCACAGAAGAGGCCGAGGAAACCGAAGTAAAGGAAGTGCAGAAACCAAGCTCGCGAACAAACACGCCAACTGGCGAGAAGAGAGTGACACGCTCCATGTCTCAGACACCGCCAAGCGTTACCCGACCTTCGTCGCAACCCGATCTGAACACTTACCCAGAAGACAAACAAAAGCGGGAGGTGGAAAGTGTAGAGAACCCACATGTGGCGAAGAAGGAAGTGAAGGCGCCAGCGTCAGTAAAAGTGTCTACACCCAAGGTGTCAGTTAGGCTGGAAAAGCTTAAAATTGATGAAAAGGGAAGAGATGACAGAGTTTTAACAGAGGAAATCAAAGAGAAGATAAGAGCATTTCCTATAAACCCGTTGGTGGTCGATGGACAAAATGATAAGGATCACAAACAGTTGGTGCTGACTCTGGATTCTGAAATATCCCAGACGGTATTGAACGTTAACGAAATCACGGCGTCCATTCCCATAGCCGAGCCAAAAACAGTTCTTGATTCCCCTGAGCCATCAGAGAACACTAAGAAAATGCAACCTGCAACAGCGTATTTGCCGGTCCAGCCTCTTGAAAAAAATGATTCAATGGAGGAGCAAGAGTTTTTGGATGCAGAAGAATCCCTGCCGGTAGATGAGAGAGTGTCATTGATGGAACACGATTCTAAAGGTGAGCAGCAGGTTACGCCGAAACCAGATATAGCTGAAAACGAAATTATTTGTGAGGAGAGTCCAAAGCACAAAGAAGCAATAATTGAAACTCCTAAAGAAGAACTCATTGCGGATCCTGAGGCGGAAATCAAAGCTCCAGAAATTCTAATGATGAGTGTAGATGAGGAAATAAAAGTTCCAGATAGGGAAAATTCGGTCGTTATTTCAAGCCCGGACCCATTTGTTGGCATTAATTGCTGTGGTGAGCAAAAGAAAGTTGTCGGCTTTAACAATGATACACAGGAGACTGACGTGGAAAAGAAACGATTTCCCAAGACTCCGGGCCGCGAGAAAGCCCCATATTCCTTCACCTTTACCCCGAAGCCATTGAAGACAGACGTAGACCAGAGGCGGAATAGCTCCACGCCCTTACTGAAGGGCCAGGAGTCACAGTTGGCCCTCAGCAAGATGGAGTTGCAGACACCGCCGCTTCAAATAGACGCCATTAAGCCATTCGATGAGCTGGAGAAAGAGAAGGAGCTATCATTGGTGCAGCCAGTGAATATGTCGCCAAAGAAAGCTGTGAGCGAAATTCTCGCTCTCCTGAATAGCGATGAAGAGCTGGAACAAATTGGGGCCAAAGAGGAAGAGGGCGATGAGTGCGAGTTCATTGGTAACGAAGCGGTGGAGGCGCCTGCTGATTACCAGTCAGGAGACTCCATGGACTCATCGGAGCGTCAGGAGATTGAGGAGAATGAAATTCACCACGACGGGGAATCCGTGGGAAGCCAGGACACCGAAGACGAGTCTGCTTGCGATACGGATGAATCTAATGACTCCTTTGTCGTTTCCGACGACGATGTGGAGGAGGATTTGGACCCACTATGCTACTCCACTAACGAGGAGGATGATGTGGAATATTTCGAGTCGAAGGACAAGAAGAAACGTCGCCGTATTTTAGTGGCAGAGTCTAGTGACGATGAAAACAAATGTAAGGAGCAGAACAAGAGCAAATTGGCAAAGTCCAAGGACCAGACGAATTGTTCGTCCGATGCCAGCAAACTGAGCGAGGCTGCCCAAATGATGAACGGCAGCGCAGAGAAGTCTTCGAACTCGGAAAGCGAACTGGAAAACTCGCGCATCTTTGCGCTTAACGAATTGAACAAGTCGGAGAGGTTCAACAAGACAGCCACGCGCCAGGACGCTAGCGTACTGGAGCTAGATTCCACAGATCAAGAGGAAGAGAAGGAGGAGGGCTTGACAGAGAAGAGAAATAGGAGTGTCTTTGTGATCGTGGACTCCGAGGACGATAGGGGCCCCGCTGACGAAGACGCAGACGAAGTTGAAGAACATGAAGCTGCTGCTGAAGCTAAGAGTGTGGAGGCAGAAGAGGAGGAAACTGTGGAAAAGTGCACCGGCTTTCAGACCCAAAAATCCTCGAAATCTGCGGATGAGCTTACCTCCAGTTGTCTGCGTCACCTGGATACAATGTTCAACCCTCTCCAAAAGTCACGTCGACAGTCCTTGATATTGCCCAGTCATGAATTGACTGCCAGAGAGCCGAAGATGAAGCGACGCAGTGACGTGGTTGGTAGTGACTTCTGTCCCTCACAATCCTTCGTGGAAATGATTGCCGAACAGAAACGACTTAAAAACAAGCGCAAACGCCTCTCCAAGAGCTTTTCAGGCGCTGCCGAAGATCTGGAGGAAATGAGCGGAATTTGTCATGAACGAAAGCGCTTGAAAAGCTCGAAAGGGGACTCAACAGAGTCTTTGGACGATGACGATGACCCCAACGCAGAGGCGGGTCTCGTGGAACATTCTGCTAAAAAGGAGACATCTGAACCGGATGCCTTTAAGGAAGAAGAATTCGGGGAAGGACCGATGCAGACTGAAACCAACCCAGAATTAACCCCTGATAAGGAGGAAAAGGTTACAAAAAATGTTTCTTTGAAAAAATCACCAGCAAAGAAGACGCCGTTAGATAATTCACAATCCACAGAACAATACAAGCCAACACGGGAGGCTGCAGAGGATAAAACGATTCCGTCTGTTAAACGATCAGTATCCAAGGGGAAGCCTGAATCTTCCAGTGAGCTTAGGACTGCAGAATATTACCTAAATTACTGCAACAACGTCCTACAGAAAGCCAATGAAGCTTTCCTGAAGAAGAAAACAGAGGTGAGTTAATGAATAAGTATGAACTAAAATGATTATAATCTAAAACATAACTTTTTATAATTTTTTCAAAGGACATTGCCGCAGGAAGAAAGCAAAAGAAGCAAAAGCGACCAGCTGTGTCACCGGCTGACAAATCCGAACAAGCCATAACACAGACGACGGGAAAACAAACTTCTAAGCCAGCCCTGGCCATATCTACATTCCAGGCGTGGAAACAAGCTTCTAAGCCTGCCCCTCCGCCTAAGAAGGATTTAAAGCGTCTGCAGGCAGCTCGCCAGGCGGTGGGGCATGCTGTTAGCCTCCTGGCGCCGACCAAAATCGCCGATAAAGAGGTGAGCTTGATCTCGATATTTTAAGAATTGAATTAATCTCTCGCTCCTCTACAGCCACGTTCTCTGGTACGTAAACTGTCACCGCAGCCGCCCCTACAGGCCAAGAAGGAAAGCAAAAATATAAAGAAACCCAAAAAGCAGAAGTTGGTAGAGACATCGCCACTAAAGAGTTCCGATGAGGAAAACCATGTCGTGCGAGGCAATCGTTTCCGCACGAATGCCGGCTTTGTGACAGTGTCCAGGATCGATTCTCCACCAAGAGCACCGATTATTGAGCTAATTAAAACCAGCTCGGGCATAATGCGTGTGGAGCCAGCCACACCGAAGCAGAAATACTTTCGCGAGTCGCCGGTTACTCCGAGGAACCACGCATTTCAAGAAGAGCCAGCTTCCTCTGGACACCCCAGGAAGCGAGCCAAACAAAAGGCGTTGAAGGCAACCGCAACTGGCAAACAAAATCCAGCTATGCAGTCTGCGTTGCGGTTCAAGGAACAGGCTTTTGCCCGCAAGTTTTAAGTCAAAATGCAAGTGGAAACCTAGTATTAAAAAAGAAACTATAGTATCAGGCCAGAAGCAAGGATACGCACTTTATTCTTTTCTTTTTCTTCTGCTTCATAAGTAATCGTTTTTCAAAAATATTTCTGAACAGAGTTTATAATTTTTTTTGTTTGTATTTTACGTTTTATTGAATTAATGTTTTTCTATTTTCTTTTCTTCTTCACATGCAGTAATTTTTGGAGCAAGTTGCTCTTCTTTTTGTTAGTTTAAAAAATTGTATCTATTTTTTGCGTACCATAGATCTTGCCATGATGAAATTTCGATTATATTCCAATCACTTATATCACTATTACTTATTCTTATTGAAATAAATATATATATATGTTTGTTAGACCATAAAATTATTTGGGTTGGAGACTTTTGGAAATGAACAGATTTAGTATAGTCTTATTTTTTTGCAGCTGGTATTTAGGGCTGGCGGACGAAGTGCTCCGGGAGTTCAATTTGACCAATAATAGAATATAAATTATCTATATTTATGTTAAAAAAACAGCGAAGTAAGCCTACATTCATTACATTAACCTATGTATTTTATATTTATATTTATACAGTTAGCAGTGAATTCACAGTATTGCATTTTCCTCAATATCGATGATTGTTTGTATGTAATTTTTTCCAGTTGTCAGACCTAGCAACAAAAGTTCATCTTTGATTGGTCACACTGCATGCATTTGTACAACTTGCAAAATTTTGTCGGCAAAATCATTTTTTATTTCTTCGGTTCTTTCACAAGGTACGTAAGTTCAAAGCTCGACGTAATCTGTTTTTCCGGCGCCATAAGCTTGTCGGCGGAGGAGTGTTTTGTTTTGCGATTGACTAACCAGCACGTTTGATTTTGTTGAAAATCCACATTGTACTGTGTGATCAGTGGCGTCCTAGCTTGTTATCCATGCGGTATCCATTTTGGCCGGCTCAGATTTAAGTCCCGTATATTCCTATTGGTTAACGCCTGCTTAACTGCCACTGGTCTGCTGGTTTGTGGGACAGTCCCGAAAAGAAAGTGCATCCATCATAAGATTTTTGTTACGTTTATTCCCCCCCCCCACCAACTTGATTTTTCTTTCAAAATTTGGTATAATGCGTAGCATTTTACATTTTCCAGTTTGGGCGACGAGTTATGTAAACTGTCACATAAAAGTTGGCCCATTTCGAAATTCCCCCAGTAATGTTTTGGCTGAAATCCGTACTGAGGTGCCGGCAGCATCTAAACAGCAGGCTCTGCCAAATCCGCTGTAACCGAATCGATTCCGGGAGAACTCCCGCTCTCTATGGGGCGAATACTCCGCGATTGTCCAGAGACGCATCCGCCGTTTGTAGCTCTTTTAGACTCAGACCACTATCGATCCGCTACAGGTATATGGCAGGCTTTATCTCTGTTATCCAGACAACTATATCTAACCCCCTAAACCCCTCTGTCATTGCAGTTGCAGCGTAAATATTCCCCAGCCCGCTGACATGGCTAATAAGACCGCGCACTTCGTCCTGCCTAACACGCAGCCCATCGCCGACTTGGACTGTAAAACCGCCTTCGAGAACCTGACTGAGAAGGAGAAGCTCTATGCTCACCACTTTAGCAAGGCTTCTTGGGACGGAGGCCTCATCGCCGTCATCCAGTCGAGTCCTGAAGCACCGCTTATTTTCTCCTTGCTGCACCGTATCTTTGTGGCAGAGAAGCCGTCTGAGCTGAAAGTCAAGGCTCTACAAGCAGGAGTCAGTTCTGATGAGTACACAGGCTTCCTGGTCTATGCCTGCGGTGTGTTCGCCAACGCGGGCAACTACAAAGGAATGGGCGATAGCAAGATCGTGCCCAATCTGCCCGAGGCGAAGTTTGAAAGCATTGTACGTTCCTCAGCTGCCTACGCAGCCGAGCCACGAGTGGGTAAAATCTTCGAAAAAGTCAAGGACTTGGTATATGCGCTGGAGTCGCGAAACGAGATATTGGGATTTGCTCCTGATGGGATAACTACGTACTGGTCGGACAACTGCACCAAGGAAGATTCTGTGATTGTCAACAAGTGGCTAACCTCCAAGCGCATAGAACCCTACATGTGCCGCACGTTTAAGGTGCTAGAAAATGGTCAAACCATCTACGATGTCAAGTTGGGATCAGTGGCGGAATCCCCGCAGGACGGGATCACACTGCCGCTGGAGGAGTTCAAGGGCAACAAGTTCAGAGTGACCCGGGGAGACTACCGAAAGCTCCTGCAGCGCGTCAACCAGCACCTGTTGGAGGCCCAAAAGTACGCGGCCAACGATAATGAGTCCAAGATGATCGAGCACTACGTTCGGTCCTTCGAACAGGGCTCGCTTGCCGAACACAAGGACGGCTCGCGCTGGTGGATCAAGGACAAGGGGCCTGTTATTGAGACATACATTGGCTTTATTGAAACCTACAGAGATCCGGCTGGAGGTCGCGCCGAATTCGAGGGCTTTGTGGCCATGGTAAACAAAGAGAGCTCCGCGAAGTTTTCCGAACTTGTAAATCGAGCCGAGAAGCTTGTGGAGTACCTGCCCTGGACGAAGCCGTACGAGAAGGATTCCTACTTAAAGCCTGACTTTACCTCCCTCGATGTCCTTACCTTCGCAGGTAGCGGAGTGCCTGCCGGCATTAATATTCCAAACTGTAAGATGGATTTCTACCTGACCGTCGAGACATTTATATTAATTTCATTTTTTTATGTAGACGATGAAATCCGTCAGGACGAGGGTTTTAAGAACGTCTCATTGGGCAATGTGCTGGCCAACATAAACCGCAAAGACCCCATTCCCTTTCTTACCGGAGAGGACCAGATTTTGATGAAGGAGTATAAGGTAAGCGCTTTCGAGGTTCAAGTAGGTCTCCATGAACTTCTTGGTCACGGCAGCGGTAAGCTGTTCCGGGTCGACGAGAACGGACTCTACAACTTTGACAAGGAGAACACCAAGAACTTGATCACTGGCGAAAGCATCTCGACGTGGTACCTGCCGGGGGAAACATACGATACGAAGTTTGGGGCGATTGGATCTTCATATGAGGAGTGCCGTGCTGAAGCCGTGGGACTTTATCTCTCCCTGCAGCGGGACATTCTAGAGATCTTCGGTTTCAAGGACAAGGTGGAGCAGGACAACATCATCTACGTTAACTGGCTCAGCCTGATTTGGAACGGGATGGGCGTGGCCCTGGAAATGTTTAACCCTAAGTCCAAGCTGTGGCTACAGGCCCATTCTCGCGCCCGGTTCGTTATTATGAAGGTACTTCTGGAAGCTGGTGACGGGCTGGTGAAAGTTGAGGAAACCGAGGGCGGAAAGAACCTTCTGTTGACCGTAGATCGTACCAAGATCGAGACCGTAGGAAAGAAGGCACTAGGGGACTTTCTCACCAAACTCCAGGTTTACAAGTCGACGGCGGACATCCAGGCGGCCAATAAAATGTACGAGCACTATTCGGAGGTGAATGACAGCGGATCGCATCCTTGGGCCAAGTGGCGGGACATCTGTCTGGCTCACAAGAAGCCGCGAATGATCCTCGTGCAGGCCAACACTGAGGTGGGAAAGGACAACAAGGTGCAGCTGAAGACCTACGAGCCAACCCATGAGGGCTACATCCAGTCCTGGGTGGAGCGTTACCCCACCACGGACATCGATGATCTGCTGGAATCCATTGCGGAAAAAGACAAGAAGTACTTTCCGACGGCCTTTGAAAATTGATTATGCATTTAATGACTTCTTATAGATTTAAATTATGATTTTGAAGAAATTATTAAATTGTCATTTAATGACGAAGTACCCATTTTCCATCAAAGCTAGTTTTTGCTTAGTTTAAGATTTTTTTTAAATATGAAAATATTCTCCGCAGGAAGTGATTCGACCTGACGTTGCCATTCACAGGGATGCGATGACAAGGATCTACCTGAGTAGATACTTAGTAACGCAGACATTATATAAAAGTTGTCATTGAGTTTTGTGTAATATTTCCCACTTCCCTGCCACTGTGTTTCAAATATATTGTTTACCTTTCCTCGCCATGGAAACCGTTAAAGGTCGATGTTGCCAGCGAGACTATGACGTGTTCGCAGTCGGAAAAGCCAAATTTAAGGTGTCGCAGTGCATGCGCTTAGAGCGCGATATGCACAGCTTCAGAGAGTTCCAGGAGATGCAGCACGACCTGGATAAGATTAACAGTCTGAAACTCTCCAAGGAAATGACACGGGATGCATTCGACAGGACGGCCATGACACATGAGATGCAGCAATTAAAGAACGCGGAGTTCGTGGAGAAGAAGCGCCGTCAGCAGTTGCGCCAGGATTGCGAGGAGCTCCGGGATTTGGCAGAACAACTCCGTCTGGCTGCCATTTCCAAGCAGATAGCCGATGACCTAGCGGAACGGAGTCGCATCCGCCAGCTGGCCGTTCAGGATGAAGCAAAGGAGGTGTCCGAAGACCGCTGCTTGTTTGAGGCGAAGCGGCGCGAGGCAGAAGTAGCCCGCAAGGAGCAGCAGCGTTGCCTACGTGAATCCCTCGTCAGCCAAATGGAGGAAAATCGCTTACGTCGCCAGCGGCAACACGCTCAAGGGATGAACGACCGGGAGCAAAGCCAGGCCAAACAGAAGCAGATCCAGGAGGAGGATCGTGCTATTCAGCTTGAACTGGAAGAGCGAAAAGTGCAGAAACGGCGTGACATGTTGCGGTCCATCGAGGAGAACAAGCAGCAAAGAGAGTGGGAACGGGCACATAATCTGCAGGAGCTGGGAAAACTACTCGAGAAACAGTCGGAGATCGAAGACAGAAAGTTGCTGCTGGAGGAAGTACGTCTGCAGGCACAGCGAAAGAAGCAGGAAATCAGCGATCGCCTGGGCGAACAGGTTCTCCAAATCGAGGTAATATAGTAATTCAGTGATTTAATTCCCCTTAGCGACTCTGACACCTTTTTAATTGCAGAACCAGAAGCGTTATCGAGAAAACCTTTTGCAGGATCTGCTGGAAGCGGAGTACATAGCCAAGAGTGACGAGCGCTTCCGTCAGCAGATTCAGCAGGAGCAAATGTCGCGGCGTCGAAGCAAGCTCGAGATGGACCGTTATCGTTTGGAATTGGAGCACCGCAAGATGGAGGAAATGCAGTTGAAGCGCACTGAGATCGAGACCCGCCACCAGGAGGTGTCTGGCACAAACTTGGAGGCCGAGAAACAGCTCGAGAGCTACCGCAGGCGTAGGGCGCACGGGGCCTCCCTGCTGGCCATGATGGACGACAATCAGCGCAAGCGAGCAGAGGCCACCGCCGAAACCGTTAAGTACTTCGACATGAAGGCCAAGTCCGACGCCGAGTTAAAGGACCGGATTAGGCGAGAGCGGTTGCTCATGTTGGGCCAGGTGCCAGCCTCTGTTCTGCGATATTTGCCAAATCATGTGCTGACCTCTACGGATCGAGAGCACTTCTTCGTCTCGGGGGAGGATCAGCAGCCAATGGGCGGTGGTGATATGTAGTCTATGTTGGCCCTGTAATTGTCCTAATAAATCAATTCAAATCTTCATCCACCCGCCACCCAATCGGTGTACGTGACGTGTATCACCGCCGAATTCGCGATGTTGCCAGACAGAAACTGAACTGGAAAAAATTAAAACTAGTTCCAAACAATTTTATGGGATAAAGAAAAGTAAATAAATACGAAAACAAATTTATAACAAAGATATTACAAAATTACGAAGTTAATAATTATTTGAACGCATCATCAAAAATTGTTTTGGTACTTTTATGATTGTTTCAGAGTTTTGTTTGATTTCTTGCAATATCGCAGTCAATATATAAAAAGCGTTATAATCGAGAAGCCATGAGTTCCGAACGAAACTAGTTCACCTATTCCAATTTCTTGAAGACGCCTTCCAACAAGGTGGCAGCTCTACTGGGCCACCGCGCCCGTATGGCAACACCGTAGGCAGTGTCTCAGTTTTTTTCAGTTTAATTAATAAAGTGGGAGTGATCTGTTTGCAAAAATCAAAACAAACACGGAAATCGTTTCACAGTTTACAGTGTTTTGGCAAAATGCCAGGGCAAGTGATAATTGTGTTCTGCAGTGCATAGAACGCAGAGTACGCTGCGAGAAAAACGAAAAATTCGACGGAAAACAAGACGCGGAAATAAAAGAAGAAGAAGTGACAGCGAACTTTGTTCACACACACGCACACACAAACAAACAAAAACGCAAATCAAAGGAAAAACAAAGAAAATGTCTGCCCTGCGCTTGAATGCGGCGGAGCGGGACCTGGAGAAGTTCATCAAGTTCCTGGTCCTAAAGTCCACCCAGGTGGTGGTGCAGTCGCGGTTGGGGGAAAAGATGCAGACGCAATGCAATCCACTGGCGGGCAGCGACTGGTTCAACATCGCCGTCCAGGATCACCCGGAGGTGCTAGACGAAACCAAGAGGGCATTGGGTCTCAAGACGGGCGAAAGCATCCTACAGCGGCTTCCGCTCTGTGTGGAAATCTCGCTTAAGACTTCCGACGGCGACCAAATGGTGTTGGAGGTGTGGTCCCTGGACCTCCTGCAATCCGCCACAAACGGCGCCGCTCTGGCCTCAGGAGAACCCAAGGCCGACCTCGCAACCGCCAACACTGAAGGACAGACTCTGAAAGCGGCCCACGCCATCTACAACCGAATGGGCATTATGCTCAAGTCTCTAATCTCGCTCACCCGCACCACGCCCGCTTACAAACTGTCACGCCGGCAGTGCCCCGACTCCTATGGCATCTTCTACCGGATATACGTGGACAGGCCCCAGGTGCACACGCTGGGCGAGGGCCACAAGCACGTGAAGATCGGCCAGCTCAACACGATCGTGGGCTCCCTGGTGATGTCCGTGGCCTACCGCACCAAACTGACCATCTCGCCAACGGCCGCCCAGTCGGAGAGCAACACCATCATGCTTAAGTCGGACCACTTCCGACCTGCCACCGACGTCAGCTCGGCTGGCTTTCAGCAACAACAGTTGTCAAATGGCACTGCCGTGGTTAAAAAGCTGGCCTTGAATCCAGCCATGGGCTCTGGCGTTGATCGTCGCTGCATCGACATAGAAAAGCCGCTCCGTCCGGGAGCGTTCACGGATATGGGAAAACTAAAGCAATACACGGAAGACGATTTCGTTCTACCCGAAACGCCGCCTTTTGAGTGGCTTCTACGAGGACGGGGCTCTGTGGAATCTCTTAACCGCTTAGACAATAATGTGGTCGCCAGTGTCTTGAGTGCCAATAACAACAACAATCACCAAGTCAACAATTTCAACCAGAGCAGCAATATTAACAACAACTCCACGGGATTTAAGAGCTTCGAAAAGAATGTTGGGAACTATGTGTCGCCAATCAAGAGTCTACTGATCCCCGCCAGCTCCTCCTCCGCCTATCGCCACCACTCTGAACCGGCTCTGCAACCTCCGCCCGATGATGATAACCTGCTTAAGGAGCTGCACTTTCCTTTCGCGTCGCCCACGTCTCATGTGAACGATCTGGCAAAGTTCTACAGGGAATGCTACCACGCGCCACCATTGCGCGGTCTCAACGAGCTGCAGGCGGAAATCTCCTCCTTGGCTTCAGCGGCAACCACACCACCCTCCACTTCCTCTGTACCAGCGTGTGGAGCCATAGCAGCAGTAGCCACAGCGGTAGCTAACAGCCCCGCCGATGCCAGCGCCATGGATGACCTGTCCCGGCAGCTGGAACAGTTCGAGACTTCGCTGGAGGACTACGATAAGCTAGTATCGCAATTTGGACTCACGGGCTCTTCTTCAACGGGTAGTCGCAGCAGCGGCGGCCTTCAAATGAGCAACTGAGCTAACATTTACATTTTAAATTTACTTTAAATTATTTTTAACGGGGCGGTCATGTTCGGTCAAGTAGCTACCTTCCATCGGCACGAGAGTCAGTAGAATAGACACAGTGTGAAAAATAATATATTTTATTTGGTGTAACACAAGCACATTATCTTATCAGCAGTAGAGCATCTCAGAGTTGCATATTTTGTGAGTAAAGTTCCCAGAACGAACACCCGCCCAAACTATGTATAATTTATGAATGCCATTGAGTTTAGTTGAGTTTGATAGGCTGCTATTTTACGTTACTAAGCTATGTAAATAATTTTATAAAGCCCCAACAGGAGGCTCTAGTTCCCTCTAAGTTGTACATAGGACTAGAGAGTAGGGAGAGAGCTCTCTGTTACGTTTTAAATTTTTTACTGCAGCAATTTAGTCTTAGCTGCAAGTGCATATTGCATCGGCCCTACCTATAGGTTTTTGCATATGTTTGTAAGTTGGGCGCTCTCGACGCTTGTTTGTTTCTTTGTTCAAGTGCCTTTTGCCTTGCTTATAAGTGAACAGAAAATTATAATATAAATAATATATCTAGCGATAGATAAAATCAATTGTTCATAAGTTTAACCGTTTCTTTTGCAAAACGATTAAAATCGAGAAGCGAACCCAATCGAAGGACTTCAACAGTAACGAAAGATGTGTACATATGTCGATTCTAACCTAGAAATTGGAAAAGAACAGTTAGTGTCTATTAGTTGTAATCGTAATTTGCTGTTACCTATATATATTTATTGATTTTTGAAAATTCAAAAATATTGCTAACATAAACGGAGTATACATTATCACTACGCAAGTAAACGATAGGAGTAAGAGAATTTATACATACAAACAATGAATAAAAGCAATTGTTAATCAAGACACAAATCAAAATGTTGAATACTCAGGAGACTGGACTCAGGGCCGTGTCACTAGTTTTTCATGATGTCCCATACCTTGCCTTGTCAGAAGTTGCGGCTATTGGTGTATCTTATACACATATCTAAATCACACCCCGCGGGGGCAGAGACCATGTGACGACTTACGACGCAAAGATTTATGCAAACAAACACTCCCCCGAAAGGGTTTTTCCACCGCCTCAAACCGGTTATCACTGTTTTTATTTTGCATATTCACCTGCTTTATCGAACTGTCCGGAATTCTATCGTAAAATCAGAATAGGCGGGGAGTGCTGCACCTGACACTACCTGGCAGATTGCGGTGGCTATTATCAATTAGCATGCGATTAATGAATTCGATCTCCCCGCAGCTGGCGTCTCTCCCATAGCTCTGTATAGTATATTTAAGCTTATCGGTAGTACTAATCCGCAGCCTGGAGATTACAGCTTTTTCGCATTTCAGACGCCATTTCATCGCGAATTAACGTCACTATTGGCAACGGCAACGGCATCGCAGAGGCTAAATAGTTTTATTTTTAACTAAGCACATATAGCATACGTATACGCTTACAGTTTGGTTGATGTTTTTGACGCCTTTGCTTGCTTTGCTTTGCTTTGCTCTTTAGCCGATTCTGGCCTTTTCTACCCATTGTCAAAGTGCAAGGCGTCCGGCAACATATGTATGACCTAATGGATTGTCCTATGTATTAGGAAACTAACTTTGGAAAGCCCAAGTTTATATATCCTTGCAGTTTGAAATTGAATTATAGTATCGTTTCGAAAATCAATGTAATAATGAAAAAACAAATATTAAAATATTCGCATTCTTACAATCGTTACTTAATTTGTATAATTATATTGTATGTATTAGGTTAATAAATCTGCATAAAACTTAGCGGTCGCACCTTGGCGACAGGTCGTCGCCAGATTGCATTTGTGTAACGAAGCCGTCGTGTTAGAAGCGCGTCGAATATAGTATGAATTTGTGTTTTCTTTCCGTTTTAATTGTCAAACATTCCGCCGTGTGCCTTTGTTTGCATTCGCTGTTACCAAGTGACCAATTGGTAGCAGCGCCAACAATTAAATGTATTGGATATACTTCGCTCTTTCTTTCGTTATTTTCCCTGTCGATGTCAACGCTCCAAGTTTTACTGCCCACGAGAACCGGATTGAACTCTCTCTGTGCCCATGGTTGTCTCTTTTTCCCTCGCCCACGCACCTTAGCTTAAATTATTTCCACAGTCCAGCTTCCCAAACTGTACCCTTGGCTCAAATGAATTGCTGAAGTTCTCAATTACGTGTCCTGGAAAAACTGTATATTCAGGGAATTCGATCTAAGTTATATATTTTATATCGGAGTGTTTCTCCTTAAGGAGTAAGCACTGTATCTCTTAAAGGCAACGGAATTTTTCAATTGTATTCACGTGCCGAAGCGAACGCTGTCGGTCAGTTCAAGCAATAAAAAACCCCGCAAGGTGGATTTCGGTTTCGACATTGTTTGATAAGCTCTCTCGAGCAGTAATAACGATAAACAACAAACAGAAGGCGATAGGGCAAGGCCCAACAAATGCAATGCGAACGCGGTCAGCGCTATAATTGCGTTTTTATGCAATTTGGCCGCATATTTGAAATTTTTATACCAAGCTAACAAAACGATGAATGGACGCAGCTTTGAAGCTCCGGGTTGTGTTTGCAAGCTTTTCGTGCAGCTGCAACGGTACGGCGCACTCAGTGGATCGTGTGGCCCACACATGCATAGGAACACGCAGTGGTGTACCTACGGAAGGGGCTAATGGGGCGAAGACCCCAAAAAATCTTCCAAAATCTCAAGCATAGAACTTTGGTAGGTAAGCTCAGAGTTTTAAATTGTGTGGGATTGGTTTTGATTTTTTATTGCATCCTACTTGGGTCCCCGATAAATATCCCTCGTGTCACCCTTGCATATCACAGTATAAGTAGTCCATCTGGTTCGCCGGCTTTGAAACGCAGCTGCAATAATAAATAGTATAACTGTAGCTATTTTTAGACTCCCACTCTCCACATGCACATAAACATAATCACCACATGTTGCTCATAAGCCTTGGCGAATTTTTGGGAAACAACAGCATAAAAAATGCGTATGAAAAATAAACCTACAGCCTGTTGCTACGTGACGAAAGTCTTGTTCCACTCCCGTCGAAAAGGGAGGCCCATACGCTATTCCCCCTCCCCTTTCGACCCGGCTACGTGAGCGGGCGGGTGACAGTGTGTGGACTGGAAGTGGTGGATCCAATGTTGTTCTTATTATACCCTTACCGGAGGTATTTAGATAATAATCATAATAATTGAAAGGGAATTTTTTTGCCCGTTATATGGCATTAACTGTAGATAATCATAAACATCTAATGACAATTTATAAAAATTGTCAAAACCTCTACATTTTATGCACCATCAAGAATGTTAATATTTGTCAGGGTAGACAAACTTCGGCTTGCTTAGGCTAAGCTTCTTTCTTGTTATGTTCTGCCATCTCCCTCGCACGCCTTGCGGCCTTGCGAGTGCTTTGTTTGTTTTTGTTATGCTGGAAGGAAAAAACTCGATTAATAACAAACAATATAAGTAAGAAAGCTATAGTCGAGCTACGACACAAAAAAAGCGACTGATAAACAAAGAACTCTGATCGATGCCCGACAACTTGTTTTAGTGCTGCTATACAGCAAAAACAGAAACTGCAGCTGGAACTATATGTCTTTTCCGGAAGTCACGGCGAGGGTGCTATTCGCTTACACAAAGCGGAAGTTTGTCGTAAAAAAGAAATGAACTCCAAAAGAATGCGTTTAAGCCTAGAGATAGCATACATATACATATGTATGTATGTACATACTAGCGCTAAATTCTACAGGAAATGCATGCAAATCAAGATAGTTCAATGTCAAACTGGTTTTCAAAAGTTAAAATAAGCATGTGTAGCATTTGTTTATAAACAAAATCAAAATAATGTGTATAAGGAGCAGTAATGCTGATAAGGCAGGCGTTACGAAACGAAGCACTGGCAAGCACTGATAAGCGGCTAAGACAAAGGGGTGCTAAAATTCAAGAGTGCTGATCAAAAGTTTTTTAAAAAATTATTTTTAAAGTTTGCGCCAATTCGGCAGACATCGATATATCGATATCTTTATTAATATTCATTACGCCACAAGATAAGTTTGAACCAGTTCACGTCGTCTGATGACGTGCTTGTGTTTTATTATAATTCTTATTAAAATTAATATTCGTTGATAAATATTTCTACCCGGAATTTAAATTGGTAATAGATAAGAAAAAATTAAAACAAACTCTTAACTATTTAAATGGTATTTTGTATTTAATGAGTTGGAGTGGTATTTAATGGTATTTATTCGATTGCATGGTATTACTTATCGTTATCGGTGCACTACTCCCGTCTTCTTCCACGACGTTTTATTTTTCTTAATTCAACTTTAAGAAGTTCATTTATTTATTTATTAAATTTAAATCGTAACTAATACAGACTATTGGAATAACTCAACCTACATGTATTGATACTGCTGCTTCTTCAACTTTCACAGAAGCTGTTAATTAAATGAAGTGAAATTGATTGGACGGAGTGCTGTGGCCTTAATAACAAAGAGTTTGTTGTAGGTAACCCAAGAGTGTTTGCATGGAACTTAGTGTTTAAAATGTGCAATATGTATATTTTTGTAGGCGATGAAATTCTTTTACTTGTTTAATTTGGCAAGATCCCTTTTGTTTTTGTAATTTTCAGTGTTTTTTTTCTGATGTGCTAGTGATGCTCGAATTCTAGCGGGAAAGAATTCTATACAAAAAATTAGTTAATATGTACTTAAAAATTGGAGTTGAGAATTTCCAGGATTTCTAATGCTTTTATTTAAAAAATACGAATAAATATTTAAAACCTGAAATTAACCGGATCTGACCACAAAAGCGCTGACTCGACAGCACTGCCATCCATAAGCAACAGATTGATCAAGAGTTTCTTCTGTTTTTGCAGTGTTTTCGCTCGTGATCTGGAATCGTTGTTGTGCCCAAAAGCGTTCTGAACTCACAGGTGCAAGTGAAAGCCAGTTGTTGCAAGCGAGAAAACCAACAGAATGCCGCCCGTGCAGTAAGCTTTTGTTTCGCCCCACATATCTGAACGTCCTTGGGCCCGTAGCGCCCACCATCGATTGCATCACTAGCTTCCTCCAATTTTGCATATGGAAAAATTAATAATACCCTTTAGGGCTGCTAAACATACAAATTATTGGTGCTTTTACACAAGTTAATCCACTAAAAACCCGGGTGGGTCCGGTCCCTCGCTTCGCATTCAAATGCACTTTTTCTGACAGATGTTTGCTTCATCAATGACGTCATAGTCTCATTCAAATTTATTTTTAAACACCGTTTGTGTGCGTGTGTCTGTGTATTGTTTACTATTTGCTAATGCCAGTGTGCGTGCTAAATTAAACAAGTGGGCCGTCTTGTGTTGGCGGCAAAACCAAAAACGAAAATCCAATGGAACTTCGACTGATTAAAGGCGGTGAATGGGTACAGAAACCATCTATGGCAACCATTAACGTGTACTTTCTTGAATCCACTCGTTATTTTTGTTTTAACTTGTTCCCTATAATCATGTAAAATCAAGATTTCCCAAATATTTAGTACTTACACGGCCAAAGGTAGCACATCCGTATTGCTTGGCGTTTCTACTCCAACTAGCATGCGAAACCCGCTACAACGAAAGCTACAAATTCAAGCAATCCACTCATTAAAGGAATGCTTTCCAGTGTGTTCATTCAGCGGAAATATGATTCAGCCAGCGTCAACAGAGCCGGCGATAAGGTCCCTCATTCTCATTATTCTGACCAGTTCATCGCTTTCCGCCCTGCCCTAAAGTTGCCATTTATTCGCTCTTCGATTCTCAAAACCATACTCAAATCATGATGTACTCCAAGGCTGAAGTGTAATGATCTCCCGCTCATACTAACTACTAATTCTATAGCTATGCTGATCTCCCGAACTTTCCAGAGTCCAGGCAGTCAACATGTCGCTGGGTGCAATGCATTGCACGCGGTGCGCCGATGGATTTGAGCCCACCGAGAAGATTGTCAACTCTAATGGCGAACTTTGGCACACGCAGTGCTTTGTGTAAGTTCAGAAGTACCTATCTCCATCGGAACTCCTTAATAATGAGACAAAATAATTTTTTACAGCTGTGCCCAGTGTTTTCGGCCCTTCCAGGATGGCATCTTCTACGAGTTTGAGGGCCGCAAATACTGCGAACGCGACTTTCATGTTCTCTTCGCTCCGTGCTGCAACAAGTGCGGCGAGTTCGTAATTGGGCGAGTCATTAAGGCGATGTCCGCCAGCTGGCATCCACAGTGCTTCCGCTGCCAGCTGTGCGCCAAGGAGCTGGCCGACTGTGGGTTCATAAAGAACCAAAACCGCGCCCTGTGCCACGAATGCAATGCCAAGGTGAAGGCGGAGATTACCGGCCGCTATGTATGCCAAAAATGCCAGTGAGTCGTAATGTGTAGTTTGGCGAGAGGATTGTTTCATTGATTATTATTCGCCTTTTTAGCGGTCTCATCGACGAGGAACCCCTGCGATTCCGGGGTGAAGTCTACCATGGCTATCATTTCAGTTGCACGGCCTGCGGCACTGAGCTGGACTCTACGGCCCGAGAAGTGAAGAGTCGTCCCGGCCTGGCTGCCAACGATATGGTGGGTATCATTAGGGGAAACATTTAGTGTCTACCATTCATTCATTTCTAAAACAGAACGAACTCTATTGCCTACGCTGCCACGACAAAATGGGCATTCCCATTTGCGGCGCCTGCCGTCGCCCCATTGAAGAGCGTGTTGTTACCGCGCTGGGCAAACACTGGCATGTGGAGCACTTCGTGTGTGCCAAGTGTGAGAAGCCCTTCTTGGGCCACCGACACTACGAAAAGCGGGGCTTGGCCTACTGCGAGACGCACTACCATCAATTGTTCGGCAACCTTTGCTTCGTCTGCAACCAGGTCATTGGTGGTGATGGTGAGTCACTCCGTTTTATCCGTGTATTCCCCCCAAGAACTTATCCACTTCTTTGAAATAGTTTTCACGGCTCTGAACAAGGCATGGTGTGTGCATCACTTTGCCTGCTCTGTCTGCGACACGAAGATGACACAAAAGTCTAAGTTTTACGAGTACGATGAGAAGCCGGTATGCAAGAAGTGCTACGAACGCTTCCCCAACGAGTTGCGACGCCGCCTGCGCACCGCTCACGAGATGACCATGAAGAAGAACCCTTAAGCATCTCAACCGAGTTCACACGAAACACAGTGCCTTTGCCTATCAATTTTAACATTCGGAAACTAAAACCCAACTTTGTGCATGTTGTAACTTCTTGTTGTGCGTAACTTCTAATTTAAAAGTCCATAATCGATGGCAGCAACGGATTTTTATTGTGTATTAACAGCTCTTAACGTTGTTATTAAATTGAATTTTATTTATACGTATATAAATGGTTAAAAAAAAAGTATGTTATGGGTGTATTTTACGTTTTGGAATAGGTTTTTTCCATCAAGATATATACTACATATACTATAAGTTAGTTAATTACAAGCTCATTAACTTTTCGATCAACGATCGGCTCTTTATAATCGCTATGTCGCTCTGAATGCTCAGATACATAGCGCCATCAACGTGAAGTAGTTGGTGCACCTTGATGGTCTCCGATAAGTAGGCAACCTGTGCTAAACTTGGTTTATGCGGGAAGCCTGTGAGTGGGATATTAGATATATATTATATTTACATTACATTCAGATATATCGCAAACCATCGATCATGCAAATGTTGGTGGTGCACGGAGTGGTAAAGTCCATGGGATACCGACGAATATCTTTCTCGGCTACATCCGCTGCATTGGTGTAGTCCAAGTACAACACTCGATACTTAGTTTGCATGGGTGTAACATTCACTTTTTCCACTCGGCCACGATACCAGGAGCCCTCAAACTTGGCCAGTACAATTTCCTTGAGACTGTTGGGTAAAGATGTTGTTGTAAATTGGTTAATCAAAAAGGAAAGATGCTTTTACGATGGCTTGTACGGCTCCGAATCGGTGATCTCCGCCATACGCGAGTGCAGGGTGGAAAACTCGGAGGCAAACGAGGAATCGAAGGCTCCAAAAATACCTCTGGCTATTTTCGAGACATCCACTACGTATACGTCGATACCTTCTTTGCTTGAAATGTTAAAGCGGAGCATTTTAAATGGCTGAAAGGAAAAGAGCACTCGGATTATTTGTTCTTATTTTAAGGATTTATAATGATGATTACCGGTACAAGCACAGCGCCATTAATCCCTTTTTCTTGACGTTTCGGCTGAGAGTGATGGGTCTGCACCTCCAGTTGCTTCTTAAGCTGTACCTCATTTGTAGCATCGGGACTTGGCATAGTGGGCCTTGAGTCCAGACATCGCATTAGAAAATCTTTGACAGCTTCATCTTTTCGCCCATTGTCCATGTCCATGGTTTCATTCACTGTGGGCTCTTGGGGCAGGATCAAGCTCCGTATCTTAGAAGTTTTCTTGGCACCTTCAGTGCTTTCTTCCGATTCTTTGGCACTGTCATCATTCTGCGGATTAGAATCAGTCCGATTAATATCTTTGGTTTCGTTTAAATTCTCCTCCATTTCGATCTTAGTGCTTTTGCTATCTTGAATAGGAATGCTACTTCCATTTCCTTCTCCAATTTCCATTTTTTTTTCTGTAGAAGTTTTATTTTTATTATGGCTCACTGTCACAGATTCTTGGCTTGGATTGGGTTTATTTAATGCCAGATCAGCATTAGGGTTCTGTTGCTTGGGTGTCTCTTTCTCGATCCGGTTTTTGTTGCCACTGAACGGATTCTCATATATATTCTTGTTTATACAAAACTCACAGATCCGGGTATTGAGGGACATTTTGGTTTCCGGATCCAGCAGCTCAACGTTGATGGCGCCAGGGGCTTTCGTATACACGACCAAAAACTTCTCACCTTCGAATCGGGAGATGAACTCGATGACATCCTCGGTAATGGCATAGTTGGGAACGTTCTTCAGCTGCACCTGGACACTAAAGGATGGCAGTGAAAGCAGCTCTTCGTTGATCTCGCGCATGTCTGAAAGATTTCGGGACTTGACGATTCCCAGGTCGAAGAGCAGAAGTCGCGCGGTGTGGTGGCCCGTTGTAGTCATCACAGAAGCTCGCTGAAAAATGCCGTTGTAACGGGCTAGACAGTAGCCGTGGGGGCGTGCCTTCACCATTATGGGCATTTCATTCCCCATGACATTGACCTGAACAGCAGAGTTGAAAACAAATTAGAGTTTAAGAATGTTATCTACGTAATACCCTTCAAGTTTGTTGTCATTTTCTTTCTAAGTTCAATTGCGATATAAACATATACATATACAAACCTTCTCGCACATTTGGGCAAATGACTTTTCAGCAATTTCGGAGGCATCGCGTATGTAGCAGCGGTTCGGGGAACGGAATCCTGATATGAATACGAGGCTATTGCTCGGAGGCACGATCGCTTTTGGTGGCGAAACATTCTTGTTTTTCGCTTTGAAAGTGTTGTTATTCGAGACGATGCTGTTGCTGGCGTGCGGGATCGGTTCACTGGTAGCAGGAACACTTTTAGGGGCAGCACCTACAGCGATGTGGCCGATCTTAGTTACAGTACCAGCACATTCCAGGTTCGGTATATTGAGTGGCAGGGGTGATGGGCGGCCACTCTCGACTACTACCTTATCAGGCTTATCCAAGAAATTCGCTCCCTCCATCGACAGTTCCTCGGAGCTCTCGCCTAGTTGAATCGAAAACGATTTCGGATAGACGAGGGCGGGCAGCGGGAAGCAGATGTAGCGGTGGCGCTGCCAATCTTGAAGCTGACATTCTTTGGAGCAGTAAAAGTCGCCGCAGCGCTGGCAGGCTCTTTCAGCTGCGACTGCGCATAAGACGCAGTGTCCTTTTTCAGCAGGAAGCTGCAATAGTTCCATTTTAGGGGGTTCCCGGACTTTAACTTTCTATAACCCATTTTCAAAATCCCTTACCTTGGCACCGGCGATTGCTACTAGGTTTTTGGGCCCCATTTTTTTCCGTCGTTAAAATATTAAGCACTTTTAAAAGGTAAATTTTTTTAATGTTAGCACAGATTCGATTTTACCAGTGTTGTCAGCTAAGCTTATTTCAGCCTAGATTTGATTTAGTATATTTAGTCTTGTTAATGTTTAAATACTCCATTCTCACTGCTGAAGCGGAAAAATATGCAAGAATTTAAATTAACTATTGAGCTTTTTGTATAAATAGTTTAAAGCATGAATTTCTCAGGGTCTTTAACGACAGTTAGTTAGTTATTTATTTTCACTATTTTATTTTAGCTTTCGAAGTTTTTTAAATTGTTTGGAAAAGCTTCAAAAGCTAAAATAGTATTGTGAAAATACCAACACTAGCAAGAGTATGAAAAAACCTATCGATAGGTTGTCTTTCTCACTTGATGATGATTGACCGTTACAGCTTGAATCTGTTTGTAAGCTTTGGACTTCCAACGAAAGTGGAATTCCTCCTAGGTTTCTAGTTCATCTTCTCGTCTGTGCAATTATTTTGTTACCGCATTTTTCTTCGTATCCTCGCCATGTTTGAACCCGCGCAGTTAATCATTGGCACCGATAATTGTATAGTGGATGTCTTTATTCGTTCAGAGCTTCTTCAGCTCTAATTTATAGCGTGCATTATATTCGGACAGTTTAATTTGGTATCGACATTTATTAATTTGCCTCGGCTGTTTTTTTTTTTTTTTTTTTTCGAATTTGACCACTCAAGGCTTTCAACACTCTTAGCCATAGGTTCAGTTTCCCTTTCCTGCCGGGCTTCATATTTGCATGCTCGAAGCGCAAAGAGGGACAGCATCAGCGGTGCACATTAATTAGAATGGTTCATTAGACACATGTCCATCAGAAGTGGCCCAGGTCCAGGACGGAAACTGAAGCCGAGACCATGACCGGGACAAGGGCTCGACGCCTGCGCCGCCGGCTAGGGAATATATTCCGAACCGAGCTTGCACGTTGTGTTGCCTGTTTTATGTAATTAAGCCAGGCGCTCACTATTCAAGTTGCTGCTGGGTGTAGAGACGAAATTAAGGAGTCGGGACGAGGGAAACCTGTGCACTTAACAAAATAAAAAAGTGTTTTTTTGCAGTGTTCTAGTATAAATTCAAATAGTTGAAAAATAAAGTAATCATAACGAAGTTCAAAGGTATGTTAAAATAATTATAAACTATTTCGTTGAACCCCTTTCGACATAAATAGAGTTAAACACTAATTGTACATCCAATTTCTATGGACTTTCTAAAAAAATTTATTAAATGTATCCTAAATTGTATCAACAATTTTGTGAAAAAATCTACTTTGAATTAAATATAAACCATTGTAAAACCATTGTTTTTTTCCAAGTGCTTTCCGTATACGCCTCGGTGTATCACGAATTGGCAATTGAGGGCCGAAAGGCTTTTAAGTTCTGGGCAAGCGCAATTTTCAGACAGCCTCCGCCGCATCAAGATCCGCATCCTCGTCCTTGTTGTCTTCTGCGGAGCGACGTTCGCTCGTCAGCGTTTGAGCCAATAATTATGGTTATTAATCGGCCCGGGAATTGGCTGCTAATTTGCAGTTTAGTTACAAATTCTGGCCGCCAGCGTACAATTACCTCCTTAAATTATAGCCTCAAAATAAACAAAACACCGCAACGCCAACGAGAATTGCAACGGCCAGGACTCTGCCAGCCAGTTTACTTTATTTCAGAACAGTTCTGTTTCAGTTTCAGTTTCGGTTTCGGTTTCAGCTGTTGCCCAAAACTTCGCACCAGCCAATATACACTAAAGAATTAAGAGATTTCACTTTTCAATAAATTAAAATTTTTTTCCAAGATCCTGAAACCCTTTTGTACTGAAATGCATTTGGCGTTTTACTACTATTTTTCTTTGTAGAATTAATTTTTTTATATTCAAACTCACATAATTTTAAAAAGAATTAAATGGTAATGAAAAATGTATTGCAGGTGAAATCTAGTTTTCCAAAATATCCAAATTTACAAAGTTATTTTTTAATACTGAGTGGAAATTATGTAAAATTATTTTCGGTGCCGAGTCCACGCACCTAAAGCTTTAGCGTGTTTGCTTATCACGAGTCTTATCGCCGATTAAGCCAGGTCAATGCTGCACATCAGCTAATGATCCCCCAGAGCTCCGCCAATCGCTCCGGCTCCAGCACTTGATAACTCCTGGAACTCATAATTAGACGCCAGTTCGGGGGCGTTACTCAATCAGGAGTTGATGGCACAACCCTCTTCCTTCCATTGGGCCCAGCGCAGCTGCATCATCATCATCATTATCGTTGCATCGTAGAGCACTATCCTGCTGGCCGAACTACAACATAATTTCCAGACGTCGTCGGCGCGTCGCTCTTCCAATTTCGGAGGCTGCGCTGGCAACACTTTTGGACGGCCAATTCAAATCGTGTGCTGTTTATTTAAATAACCATAATTTACCGCACCATCCAGCCAGCGCCCCTTTGTGCCCTGCATTTGATGCTATGTATTTATTAACCCCCACACACATACTGTACAGAACCGAACCGAGGCGATCCTTGGCTTTTATAGCCTGGCACATGATTTTCCTGGGCTGTGAGAACATAAAAATTCAATTTAATATGCTCTGCTTGCTCCGTTCGGATCATTGTGGTAGCTTCTCCCTTTTAAATTGCTGATTCTGATTTAGCCGGATAACGCCTTGTCTTTGGCCAACATTCAATGCATACAACGACTGGCCATCTAAATTTGACATGGGTGTTGATTTTTGTGCCATATTTGGGCTATATCGATCCCGATTCGTGACCACATAAAATCCAATTTAGAGCGACTGAGATTCAGTAACATACTTTTTGGCTTACGGGAAATACGAATTTTATTTATTATAATATTTTTTAGAGGTGCCCCAGAAATCGCTTTAAATTTAAAAATTATATGATGCAGAAATTTAACCTGCAACACTTTGTTGCACTCTTTTGAACGGTTCCTTAGGTGATTTTCCTTAAACTTATCTAATATTTATCACCCTTTTATTATTTTCAAGTCTATTTATTATACTTATTTATGTGAAACAGCTATTATGAATGAAAAACTATGACTTTTGAAAAGTATAGCAAAGAAACTAATACAAAGAAAAGAGGATATCCATCAAGAAGTACTTGAAATAAAATGTATTTGCATAATGCCTAAGCCATTTTCTTCATCGCCAAGTGCCAGGACATAACGCGCCTAATCGCATTATAAACAATTGCAATTTATGATCCCACCGTTGGGAACGTCCCAAAGTGGCCATGGTCAAGTAAAATGGCCAAGTTGCCTGGCTCCAATAATCTGCGGCGATCTTTGCCTAAGTGGATCCTCAACCCAGCCGATTGGTGGTTGGTGGACTCAGCACGTCAAGTTTAGAAAAATGAGCTTGTTAACGCTCCATGATGAGCCCAGTTAGTGTCTAACCCGGAGCCAGATCGATCCCATCCGATGGCCGGCTCAGATGGAGATGGATGGCTGATGCGGCAAAGTCGTCATAGTCGCATCCGATCCAAAGACTAGTCATTAGGGCCTGTGGAAAATTACAACACGATAACACGTAATCATTAGCGTGGCTCCGGGACAGTGTGAGCAAACAATTTTGGGGCTGAGCTGCCAGGCCACTCAGTCAGTTCCCAACTTCAATTTGCAGTTTCATTATCAAACGAGCCAAAGAACATAATTTGACTGAGGCCAAACATTTGGCAACAGCAAACGACAAACAACGAGAGCCAATTTGCAGTTCTGGCCAAAGCCGGCAGTGGTGGTAGTCCGTCTATCGATCACGTTTCGAACTGAAAGCCACGATGGCTGTGACGATCGAGGGCTGCACAGTGGTAAAATATACTCAAGAAGTATACAGAAGAATCGTTAATATATATTAATTTATTTAAACATTATCAATTGAAGATATATTTCAGTAGTTATTTGAAAACAAAACGAGGTACTGTTTAAGATACTGACAAGTAAAACAATAATTTCTCATGATCGATTTTGGTTTTTGGGCGTTACTTTTAAAGCTTCAAGACTCTGCAATTCAAAAAGAATTCTTAACATTAGGCAAAGTTAAGTGGTATGTATGTATTTTTTCCATATCCTCTTTACACTGTGCGATGCGACTTGGCCGGTAATGCGGCGCTTGGCGGCTGCAGTTGCAGTATCAAAGTTTGTCCGAGACGCCTTTGCTGCCCCAAGAGAAGTGGGGCTCAAGGGAGGGCGGACAATTTAGAACTTTTATACAATTAATTGCAACAGTTTTGTGCGAGGAATGCGCCTCGGAGCGAACCGTTGCTGCCGTTCTGCCGTTCTAACCACTTTTGGCCCGTTAATTTAAAAATTGTGCTCACGTTCCGGCAATTTGCTGACCACCCACATGCAAATCCACCACAACTCCATACTATACCTTCGATCCCACTCGGGACCTCGTTCTCGAGGAGTGCGATACGATTCGCAGAAAATTTGCAGCCCCGACAGCGAGTGAGCGCAATGCAATTTGCATCGAGCATTTGATTTGATTCGAGTTGAGTTTGCATTGGGATTGGGGATTGGGTGTGCGGATTTGTGGTCTGCTGTTTGTCTAATTTGACACTTGGGGCAGTCGCCAATTTGCCTTATGGGTTGGTGTGGCTGTAGAGTCCACATAGCACACACATACAATCGAGGGGGGGGGGGGGTTGGGGGGTGCGGGTCTTTGTTAGCATTCGGTGCACAAGGATTGGCTGCCAATAATGGGTGCTAATGCTGGGTTTCGTCTCGAATTGGCCATCTTGTGTGCATGATTGAATCAACTTGTTTTCGAAGGGAACTATAATCCGTCAGATCCCAGATTGTTAGTTCTTGTAGAGTGCTGGTTAGCAAAACGCCAAATGGTTAATTATTTTTAATGAGCAAAATGCGATAAAACAGGTAAGACGATAATGGAAAACGTTTTTTTTGTAAAAGTCTATTTGATATCTCATTCAATTGAATAAGTATATATTTTGTGGAGATTAATTGTTGATGTAAATTTTTATATTTTATTTAATTTGTAATGCAAATTAACTGACAAATTTGCGAATGCCTATGAAGAAACCAATCGACTCAAGCTGGAATTCGAAGTCAGAGCCAGACCCAGAGTACACTCAAAGTCAGTTGCAAAGTTGCAGTCA